GCATAACAAAGTTGTTCTATATTCATTTATATATAATTTATTTTTTCTTCTATCTACCCTCCATTTTAATTTGCTTCTTTTCAAAATTTCAAATTTCTCATTTTATTAATTTCATTTTATAGCCATTTTTTTTATACAACTAACTTAAATTATCAAAAATAACGAAATTTTATTTTATTTTTTATTTATTATATAATTTAATGAATAAAGGAGATATTGAGAGTGAAACCCTAATAAAAACTTAACTTCAGAAAATTATACTTAAAATTTAGAGAAAAATAACTCAGTAAAAAAAGCATACTAATTCTGTTCTTTGCATTATTGCAAGGGTTTAATAAAGATAATGAAGCTGTTAAACAATAGAATATACTTTCATATTAGTTGTTTTAAAAAAGTAAAAAAAATCCAATTGAAACATAGGAATATCATCAATTATTGAAAAATGTCTAAAACCTAAAAACATAAAGTTTAATTGATAAACATTCTATAATTTAATCAGAAATAAAATAACTTTAAAATGAATATATTGAGTATAGATAAATTTATCAGCAAAAATGCAAAATTATCTTCAAATAAAAACAAGTAATAGAGGAACTTGATGGAAAGAAAGCCAAAATACATTCGAAATTGTAGGAATAATCAACTTTTATATTCTATGCAAATGCAATAAAACTTTTAGAGGAAATGCTTAATAAAGATGATCCACGAAATTTATTTTAGTATCACTTTGAGTACCGATATCATTTCATTCGATAAAAAAGAAGTTATCCTAGTCTGAGGCTCACTCATCAAATCAAGCATCTATCACGAATATTTTCGCTACATAAGTAGATTAAGTAGGGCAGGAAATAGAAAAGGCTCCAATAGAGGAAGAAAGGGATTTGAAATTGCTAGAATTGATAAAAAATTTAAATAATGAATTAAATGAATTTAATTACAATAAGATTTATTGGCTTTTACAGATCAAGAAGTTCAAATCTATTTAGATTATAAAGAGTAGTTTGATAGATTAGGATTTGAATTTATTTAGTTAAATGAAAAAAAGTTTGAACTTTAGTCAAATATTAGAGAAATAAATTATTGTAAATATCCTCAGACTTCAAATGGTCTCTTACCTTTGAAATTATCAGATAACTTTAATAGCAATTAGATTACTTTAAATTTATTATCAACAAGTGTTGAGCTAGATTTAAAGGAATAGCGAAATGAGAATCAAGTAAAACGAGTAGAAAATACAGTGATTAGGTTGTTTAATTTTTTGAGAAATAATGTGTCAAGGGTTAATCACTTAGTAAAACTTATATAAGAAATAAGTGAATTAGTCCCATCTACTATATTTTTAGTATTAGAATAATTAAAGAATTCTTTATATATAAATGAAATAATCAGAACACCAACACAAAAGAAGTCAGCCATGTATGCTATAACAATCTTAGAATAGAAATAAGAGTTAGTTCACATGAAACATTCAAAATTATTGTCTCAAAAATAAATGCTAAATACTGTTCATATTACAAAGAAACATGCCCATGCATCAATTAAAAAGTTTAAAAACTTATAAACAGTTCAAACATTCATTAAGTCTCTCCTTTCTGATGAGATAGAAAGATTATTTATTCAATAAGAAATGCTGGATGAGTAAAAGATTAAAATATTGATTTAGCTTAACAAAAGAAGTTGAGAAATATTGTGAGTAATGAAGCTTTTATAAACAAAAAATGTTCTTCCAACATCATTTATAATAAAGAACTAGAGGAATGTTGAAGAGTACTCTCTCGAAATTAGGTGAAACTCACAAGAAGCTAAAATTTTACATTTAATAACGTAATTAGATTTTATATTTTCAGTGAGATTAAAAGGTTTAGATTTTACTGAAGGAAAGTTTAAAATTGGATGCGCTTTTCATAGTAACGAACCGCAGATGAAATCAAATTAGCGCATAGCATCAAATCATTTTGTTTCGAGTTAGCAATCATTTGATAATGTCTCGATTGATTATTCTTAGCACAACAAGGTTGGTGAAGAGAAGGATGTATTTCATTTGTTAAAAAACTGACTAATATCAATGATATGCAAGAAATAGTATAGTAGGATTCTGAAGATGTAATTTACATTAAATCAATCTTAGAGTATTGATAAAGAAAGAGATCGATTAAAATAATAGTAATACTTTATTAAGAGTTAAGTCAATTTAAGAAATAAAACACAAAAGAATTTAGATGACGATGTGTTTTACAGACTAAGTCCTTAAAGGAAAAATCCTAACAAGGAATTAAGAAATTAGTTGAGTAATTTGAGACATATGAGGATCAGTAAACATTTATTAATATTTGCTTAGGTGCAGCAAAGAGCAGCTGTTCAATAGGTTAAGACATGTAATCAGAAATTTGGAAGATTACTGTCTAATCTAGCAATGTTAAAGCTCGAAAAGATACATTTAAGAAATTATTCAAATCTTCAGATAAGAAATAATGTGACACCTAATCTCAAAAAAAATATAAACTTAATCATTTTAAACGAATTTTAATCAACCGCCTTCAAATACATAAGCTGCAGGGGATGATGCTGAAGCTAAATGGAAGAAAAAATATAGAGCCAAAAAATTTTGAATGCAATATCAATAAAGGAAAATTAGAAGGAAAAATTTTGGTCATTAGAAGTTATTTGATAATATAAATAATTAAAATGGATAGATTAAAAGATATTGAGAGTATGGCGCATGGACATGCTGGTGCTTTGGCTGGTCTCTTTTCTACTTGCCTACTTTATCCTCTGGAAAACATCAAAACAAGAATGGCCGCATCTTAATAAAAAGAGGCCATCCAAGAGGTTATTATTAAAGTGTGGGATTAGGAAGGGGTCTGGGGATTTTTTAAAGGTGTCACTCCTTTAGCTTTAGGCAACTATATTTCATATGGAGTCTACTTTTTTTGGTACACTTTCTATATTTTATCAGAAGGTATGAGTATTTTAAGCATTTGTTTAAAACAAATATTGCTAATTCATTTGCCTTAATTAAACCATCCTTAGCATCAGCTATTCTCACAACATTTGTAACAAATCCATTTTGGGTTGTCTAATCGAGGATGACAGTCAGCAAAGATAATCTTAATTTTTTTTATAAGACTAAGCAAATAATTGAAAAAGAAGGATGGGAGGCATTAATGAAAGGTTTATAAGCGTCATTGATATTAACAATAAATCCGATTATTCAATTTGTCATCTATGAAGCATTTAAAAGAAGATTTTAATATGTAGAAAATTAAGCCTTAGTTAATTTTATTGGAGGAGCAATATCAAAGGCCATTTCCACAATTTTAACATATGTTTTAATTTTATTTTGTAATATTAGCCTTATCAGCTCCTGAGGACCAAAATACATATAAAGAAAAATAGTTCAAAATCATATTTTTCAGCAGCAGAGATGATTCTCAAAAATGAAGGAATTCAAGGATTATTTAAAGGTGACCTACTTTCATTTACTATTTAGGGTTGACACCAAAATTGTGTTAATCAGTATTAAATTCTGCATTTTTACTTATGTTTTATGAAAAAATATATGAGATCATCAAATAAGGAATAATTCTTATCATAATTGAAATTTTAAAATATCGTAAAAAATTAAGAAAACTTTAGAAGTTAAAATGATAATCGAAATTTAATTTTTTATGTTTTTATGTTATTTAATTCAAGCAATTTATTAAAGTTTTTATTTGTATAAAGAGTTCAAAAACACTCTAGATGGGCATTTTTTTGGATTCTTATCATCAAAATCCTTTTAAGTAGTTGAATTAAATTAACCATCAAAAGCTGGAATCATTCTAACTTTCTAAAACTATGATTGTTAAATTTACTTGTTCAGGGTCAATTTTATTTAATTTTCCAGTTTGATAAGGCTTATAAAAAGCACTATTTGTAGATTGATGAATAAAAGGCAATTCAGGTGATATTGGACTTTTAAAGCTGCTTTTATTTGCAGTTGTAAGAAATTCTTCTCTCGGAATGGGCTTTTTATAAAAGTTATCCTGATAGGTTGAATGAGTTGTCATTGGCATATCTACTACAGTAGGATGATGAGGAGGATTAATCTTAAGAGAGGACATTCCACCTCCAGCGTAGTCAAGCTAATACAAATCTGGATATTGTTACTCTGTATGCTGAGGAGCTACTGAATGGAATCAAAAACACTTTTTGTTCAGGTTTTAAAGATTCTGCTGGTTTAGCATCAGTGTGAGCTTAATATGTGCTCTAAATTGAATTAGAATTTTAGTACTCTTTAAATTGTATCAATATCCATAGGCAATTAACTCTTGTAAGTTACATTGTGATCAATAAGAGGAATTTACTTCTATTTGCCATGTGTGATAAAATCCCTTTAATATAATGATTCTTATCCTTTCTTAAAATCATTTGACAGGAGCATTTTTGGACATTTGCATTATCCACATACGCATCTGCCACATATACAGTCACCTTTGAGATGATTGAAGAATGCTTCATTTTTATCCAATAATTTTCCAAAATGAGTGGTCAATAATTAACTCTAGTAATTATTGGATTAGAGAGTTGAATAACGTGAATTTGTAGGGTAATCTTATTCACTCATTTTTTAATAAAATGTAATAAAATATTTATAAATGTATGTTCGTTTTTAATGCTTCAAATTTTCTTTTGGTGTTCAAAACATTAATAAGAAAGAATCAACTAATCTTCCTAGTTCTTCTTTTTCATTCAATTACTATTTTTATTGTAAGCTCTATTCTAATTACTCTAATTTTTCAACAAATTTTAAATTATTATGAATATGGCTTTATACTTAAGATTCACCTATTCCTGACTCTTAAGCAATCTCATTCTAATTTTTCATACTATCCTCTAATAATTATTAAAATTAATCAGTTTTTAGAAGTTACAAGGCATCTTTAAATACCTAGGCTTCAACAGCCTTTTTTTATTCCCCAGTTCTTTTTAATGGTAAAACATCATTTATCAATAATTCATATTAATAAATTTTGCGATTTTATTCAAATTGATTTAAGGATTCTTAAAACACCAATTTATAAGTGTATTCCGGATGTTTATCCATATACTCTTTGAACACTCCCTTAAAGTTTTCTTGTTTGTGTAAATTCATAGATTCATTCTAAATATTGATTATTTTTACAAGTGATTTTTTGATTAAATCTTAAAAAATAGGAATCATTAGCTTCCTTAAAAGATTTAGATCTTTTTATTTATCAAAATATTACGCTCCTATAAGAGCCTTTAAGGCTTAAGACTAAATTCTTTGGTTGTTCCTATAGGATTAAAAGCTAGAGATACTTCAAATCCGAATTTTGGTTAATAGAAACAAGCATCTAATTTTTTAATCCTAATTGAATAGCAACTTCTGCTAAATTCTTTTCAGACAATAATTACTGTTTTTATTTTCTAATCTCACTGTAGGATGAAAATGTGTTATGATCTTTATTTGGTAGACTATAATAAATTAAATTCTCAAAGACATACTCTTGAAATGTAAAGAAATCATGAAAATAGAAATCAATTAGATCTGAACCTAATTCAATCAAATTTTCATTAATGCCCAATTTTAATGGATGATCTTTATTTCTTGCCGTATATTCCTAATGATATTGCTTAAAAGTCATGGCCTTATTAAATAGTTCAGGATAATTAAATTCTAAAACTTTGAAGTTTTGACAAGGTTTATTAGACTGCTGCATATTGATATATAATTTTTAGAGTTAAATTTAAAATCATATTTTTCTATGATAGATAAGAAGGTAAGCAGAATCAATGCGAGAGATTTGATCATATGAAAGTCTTTCCATTTCATCATCATTGAAGAGGAAAAACTAAGTAGCTTATAAGAGAATACAATTACTTATTAATTACGCTTCACAACAGCAACATAATGTCCTTCGTCTATGGTGCCAGAATGAACAATCATGGCCGATAAATCATATTTGGTATATGTAATGTCTGTGGCACAATAACTAAGGTAGATTATTGCATAAATTTATACTTCTTGATATTGATTTCCATATCTGTAACGACAGGTTCTTTAATTTTCTTTTTTAGAGGGTAGCTCTGAAATCTTTTGAGGTGCAAAATAAGTATATTAGGTGCACTCGAGATTTTGATTCCTCTTTTAATGTTTTTGGATTGTTGATTACATTCAGAACACTTCCATTCGCCATCAATACTTTCTTCTTTGAAATAATTTGAAAGACATTCGTTGATAGTAAGTTTCCTTTAGACAAAACATTTACTAAGTAAAGGAAGACTAAGATCAAAAAAAACTTCTTAGTGGATAATAGTTTTATTACAATTAGGGCATTTCATAAAGGAGGTTATTTGCCCTTTAAATAACTCATCAATAAATGTTGTCGTTTATAACTAATTGTTATGAGAGAGTTCTTCTCTAAATTTATCAAGAATGAATAACAAGAGTTCAGAACTGTCGTGCATTTCATAGATAGAGAAATGCTTTTGCAGAATCTTAATCAATTCATTTGGGCTTACTCTTCCTTTATAATGCATTTTATTAGCCTTTTTGAGCAGAAGAGTATAGGCTTATATGAATAGCTGAACTTCTTAATCGTAAGAATACAATAAGAAATGATTAAGCTGACGAATTCCCATTAGGCACTGGAGAACACTGTTTAGGTAACAAAAGTAATTCTCATTTTCTAATCCCACAATCTAGGTCTCTTTTATGGGTAATTGACTCAATAATCTAAACTAATTTTGTTTCTTATCCAAATCATCTCTTGGGGGAGATGAAAATCCTCTCAATGTCTTTTCTAAATTCTTTCTATCAAGATCTTAAATGGTTAACATTGGACCACCCTTATAGATGTGAACCAGCATATTCCAAACTTAGTCATTCACTAAAACATAATCTTTTTCAGAAACCAATTCTTTTTAGTTTCTTAGCTTCTCAACTAAGATGTTATTCGTGATTTCTCCTGGATGGATGCGTTCATCTTTTATATAATTTGAGTAGGCAAACGCCCAATAGAACTCTATTATATGTGTTTTCTCAGGCAATTCTATCAATCTCGTAATTAATTCACGTTCTTATTCAATAGTTTTCTTGCCATCTAAAATGAATCTCTCGACGTCTTGGGTACTGAAGTTCATTTTGTCGGATGTGCCTTCTAAATTTGTTAAATTTGTAGAATGTTGATCCTAGTCTAGAGATACACGAATCTAATATTTGGCCTGGTTAGATTGTTGCTAAATTGCCTACTAATTTTAATTTTCCTTTCTTTTGGCTTTCTTATTACTATTGCAACAAATAAACATTTATTAATTGATTATTTATAAAGTATCAAAGACCATAAGTTGCAAGTTACAAAATAATCAATCATCAGCCTTAAAATCAGAATTTATCAATCTCATTGACTTTTTCATCATCCAACTAACTTTTAAGTGATAAATTGATAATTCAATAAATTATATTATATTTTTTATCCTTGTACTCAGAGCATATATTTATCGTGTGGCACTCTCTTTATGACATTATGTTAAAGTTCGTCCTAAAAGGTGGTAAATCCTAAATCATGTTAAAGGTAATCGCTTGTTTTCACAAGTGGATCATCGCCTATTCAAAATCAATATCTATTAACTATTACCAGCTGGCAATTCAATCAAGTATCTCATTTCTAAAAATTATCTATTGTAAGTATAATCACCTATACTATTATATGTCTTCATCTCTAACAATTTTCCTCCATTACCCAATTATCAAATCACATGTTCTACGATTCTCGCCAAAAATAAAACTTTTAACTACGCCATCAACAATTAGCTTGGTAACAAACAATCTCCAAGAACACCTACAATATATGGCAGAGACTTCTTTAATGCCTTGAATGTGTAATTCAATTTCACAATATCCAAAGAAGTAAATGTTTGCAATTATTGTTGTTCGTGGATTAGGCCACAATTTTAGATTTACAACATTTGAAATCTTGAATTCAAGCAATTTAGACATTAATAACTAAAATCAGAATCTTCTCAAAAAACTATTCTTCTTTTAACATTCAAGTATTTCATTTTTTTTAAACTATCCAAAAATAATCTATATATTATCCTGAAATACGGATTTATTAAAGAGAAGATTGACTATAAGGCAACATTATTTAACTTAAATCTATATTCTTTAGCTAACTACATCTTAATATAGTTCTAACAAAAATTTAGAAATATTGAGTTTTTATACAATCAATCGTTCATATTAAGGAGAATTCCATTATAAAAAATTAAACATGGTTCAATACATCATCCAATCCTAATAAAAAATAGGTGCTGGAATGAATTTTTTAATAAATTTTACTTCCCTACTAAATGTGATTATAGACTAAAAATATTAGAAGGATTTTATTTTAATTTTAATATTCTCATTAATCATATAGTATTCTCAAAACGGTCTATTAAATTAGAGGAGCTGTAATAATAAATTAATNTAGTCTAGAGATACACGAATCTAATATTTGGCCTGGTTAGATTGTTGCTAAATTGCCTACTAATTTTAATTTTCCTTTCTTTTGGCTTTCTTATTACTATTGCAACAAATAAACATTTATTAATTGATTATTTATAAAGTATCAAAGACCATAAGTTGCAAGTTACAAAATAATCAATCATCAGCCTTAAAATCAGAATTTATCAATCTCATTGACTTTTTCATCATCCAACTAACTTTTAAGTGATAAATTGATAATTCAATAAATTATATTATATTTTTTATCCTTGTACTCAGAGCATATATTTATCGTGTGGCACTCTCTTTATGACATTATGTTAAAGTTCGTCCTAAAAGGTGGTAAATCCTAAATCATGTTAAAGGTAATCGCTTGTTTTCACAAGTGGATCATCGCCTATTCAAAATCAATATCTATTAACTATTACCAGCTGGCAATTCAATCAAGTATCTCATTTCTAAAAATTATCTATTGTAAGTATAATCACCTATACTATTATATGTCTTCATCTCTAACAATTTTCCTCCATTACCCAATTATCAAATCACATGTTCTACGATTCTCGCCAAAAATAAAACTTTTAACTACGCCATCAACAATTAGCTTGGTAACAAACAATCTCCAAGAACACCTACAATATATGGCAGAGACTTCTTTAATGCCTTGAATGTGTAATTCAATTTCACAATATCCAAAGAAGTAAATGTTTGCAATTATTGTTGTTCGTGGATTAGGCCACAATTTTAGATTTACAACATTTGAAATCTTGAATTCAAGCAATTTAGACATTAATAACTAAAATCAGAATCTTCTCAAAAAACTATTCTTCTTTTAACATTCAAGTATTTCATTTTTTTTAAACTATCCAAAAATAATCTATATATTATCCTGAAATACGGATTTATTAAAGAGAAGATTGACTATAAGGCAACATTATTTAACTTAAATCTATATTCTTTAGCTAACTACATCTTAATATAGTTCTAACAAAAATTTAGAAATATTGAGTTTTTATACAATCAATCGTTCATATTAAGGAGAATTCCATTATAAAAAATTAAACATGGTTCAATACATCATCCAATCCTAATAAAAAATAGGTGCTGGAATGAATTTTTTAATAAATTTTACTTCCCTACTAAATGTGATTATAGACTAAAAATATTAGAAGGATTTTATTTTAATTTTAATATTCTCATTAATCATATAGTATTCTCAAAACGGTCTATTAAATTAGAGGAGCTGTAATAATAAATTAATCTAGCATTATTAATGATTATACATCAAAATAATTTATTTTAAATATTGCTTTGAATTAATAAATTTATTAGAATAAAATTATATATTCCCAAGCATTTGAAAACTTTGATTAATAAATTAACTTAACAATAAATCTAAAAATAACTAATAGATAGTAAAATATTCCATCATTTCAGATAATAATAAATTTAGACTTTCTTTGATGTCTCTATTAAGTATTAGAATAAACTGATTGGCTCAGAAATTATAACATGAAATTTATCTAGAATCTAATTTAATCTACATAAATATATTTTTAGGATTAATGGGTTAACTGACTTTGTAGCACTTTTATACTATTTATTGGTTGATGTAATTCTTTCCAAGATTTTCGTTAGTTATTCTAATTTGAATAACTTATCATTATCAAGCTTTCAGGGTTGTGATTATTTGATTTTTCTCTATATAATTGGTAAGTGAATTGATAAAAAGGTCGTATTTTGATTTCAAAACTCACTATGAGAAAAAGGTTGTTATAAAAAGTTAGAAATATCAATGTATTAATTTAGTAAATATATAATCGAATATTTAAAATAAAAATTGGAATGTAAAGAAAAGAACTTGAGAAGCATCTGAAGGAGATCAGAGAGGAATTAAATTAACTGATACCGAATTATCTTGATGAAGGAATATTGATTAACTAAGTGAGTGCATGAAATATTTCATAGATTAGTAGCAAAGTTTAAATCGAATTGTCAGAAGAATTCACCATTCTATAGGATTTTGAGTTGAATTTTAAGTCAGTATTTTTAGAATTCATTTTCAATCTCCAGAAACAAAAAATGATTTAAAAACAGATATTCAATCCACCAAAATCGATTAGTGATTTATTTTTAGGTAGCTATTTTAACTTAGATGATGTGCCAAAGATTAATCGACACCCTATTTTAAAGAAAATAATCGATCATATAAATTAGCGTATAAATCATTTCTTTCAACATCAAATATCAACATTGAAATTCTTGATTGATTAGCAAAAATTGATCGATTCTTCTAGTACAAGGTCATCACCTATAGTAATTGATATAGAAATTGATTCAAATCAAAAAATCCAAGAAGAATAATAATAGAAATTGTTAACACAAGAATCCGAATTGATTCATCTAGCTTAATATCAACATCCAACTTAGGAACAATTGAATTGTCCATATTGTGTTTGTAAGAAGAGCAATCAGACAGTATTGAAATCATTGGCATTGAGATGCGCGGTTTGCAAGAACTATTTCCACAGTTCATGTTTAAGAATTGAGAAGCCTAAGAAAGTGTTTGTGTGTCCAGAATGTATATTAATAGGAATAGATCCATTACACGAATTAAAAGAGTCAATTTTAGACCCTGTAATATTCTAATCAGTGGAAGGGAGGGCAAATTAATTTACTTAAAAATTTCAGATGAAAAAGGGATTACCTTCAGAATAACTAATAGAATTGAGATCCATAAAAATAGATGGATAGTATGAGGATATCTCATGGCCTGATTTAGGAGATTTATAGTTGAATGGCAAAAAAATTCAAGAATTCAGACCTTTAGCTAATAATAGTTGCTTGAAAAAAAGAAAGGATGAAAAACTGATGCTTAATATTGAATATGGACAAGTTAACATCTTAACGATAAGAGAATCGAATGGCACTCCTGAGATGAAAGCCTATCGAATAAATTAAGGAATTCCATATATGTTAGGAATATTCCAAGTCAAAGTCTATAAATTAAGTGAATTTATTAAAAAAGTCAAGATGGACTAGAGTTGTTTGTTAGGAATAGAATAGAGCAAAAAATTTATTCAATTGTCAATATTATAAAATTAGTTTGATGAGGTGACAATGGAAAGCATAAAGGTTAGTTTGGATTGTGTCTATGATCTGAATTAAATCTAGACTCCAGCAAGAGGCAATATTTGTGAACATATTTAGTGTTTCTCATTAGAAAACCTTGTGACAATGATGAAGAATGTTACTCCCAGGAAATGGAAATGTCCAATTTGTAAGTAGATGATTCTTGGATTGTAGATTGATGCATATTAAATGTGCATCCTTACAATAATCAAGCAGTACAACCTGAAAATTAATGAAGTTTCATTTAATTAGTTTGTAAGCTCAGTGCTTAATTCTTTAGGGCGAAGTAGAGAATCCTGAATTGAGAGAACTATTGAAATAGCAAGAATCTACTCTTCCTGACTCTACTCGTACCAATAATAATCGAGTTATTCAATTAGAATAGATCTCACAACGCATTTTAAAAATCTCCAATCAAGTTGTGGCAGAACCAAAAAATAGATATAAACCGCCACCTCCATTACCAGAACCAAAACCAATTAAAAAAATAGGTGAATCATTTTCTGATGCTATTCTCATTGATTGATTATGTAATAAAATCATAAATTATCCTTTCTCTTTTGAATCTCAATTTCATAATGTTGTTCTTCATCTCCATCCAAACCATAATCTATCTTTTTTTTATGACAAACATAAAAGTTATATATAAAATAGCCTAATCCACCCAACAAAATCACTATTACTCCATATACTAAACTTTTACTAGGCCCTATTTTTATATCTAATTCAACCTTCATCTTCTTATTATTGTTGTGCTCCTGAATTTTCACTTTGAGCTTTCGTATTCTCTGTTTGAGCAAGAACAATCGATAATGCTAAAAACAATATATATTAATTCTTCATTTTTAAATTAAAGTAATATATTCCAAATTTCCATTTTACAATATCCACCCTCCTTCACTAACACTAATTTTCTACACATTTTCATTTCCTTTAAGTCTTTCCTCTTTTGTAAAGGGAACTATGAATTAAGTGGATTCAACAAGCAACGTGGCTATATAGATATATATAATTTTAAACATTATTTCTTAAACAATTCTCTCAACTTTGGGTCTTTTACAGTTATTGATTCCATAAACCCTAATACTCCAACGTCAAAGAAATTTTGATATTTCTTTTTCCCATACAATTTATCAAATTCTTCAAAGATTGGTATAATTTTTACTTTTAATTTTTAAAATGCTTTAACTTAAATAATATAAATACTTAATAAGGGATCTTATTGAATTTCAACAATCATATTGTCTTTTGTAATAACTTATTTAATAGATGTATCTGTAATGGTAGTATTTAATTCAGATATATTGGTATCTTCTTATTTATCTTGTTATAATTCTTGTTATTATTATTGCTATTCTTATTATTATTCACTTTCTTTTTCTTTTTCCTATTCTTATTATTCATTTTCTTCTTCTTTTTCATCTATTTTTTCTAACCCTTCTTCTTTTTATTTTTCTTCTTTTTATTTCTATTTGTTATCTTATCTCTCCAAATATTCATCAACATGTATATGATAATCAGTACCATTATCGAATTTTTATATCATATGTTAAATATTGAATTCTGAAACAGTTACAGCATGAGATACTTATTGGGTATTTCTTACTTTGAAGAGTTATTCATTTTCAGGTTGAACACTTGTATAGATTCCAAATGAAATGTAAGGAGAGACTACAATGTCTCCCCAATAACCTCTAACCAATAAGCTGTCCTTAGTTTATTTATGTTTTCCTGGTAGATAACTTGCCAATGTCCTGTTAGGTGTTGGATAACTGGCATATCGTGATTCAAAGGCAACTCCAGATTGTCTCCATTCTCTATAATGAATGAAGTGAACGATGGGTGCAAAATCTTTTAAGTTCATTTGATAATCCCAATCAATCATGTTAAGACGATGATCAAATCTGATGCCATAATGATGTCTTAATCTTTGATCTCTCAACTTTTCGATTTTGAATTCTTGATATGAATACCACGATCGAATCACTTCTGTCATTTCATCCCTGTCCTTGAATTTCAATTCTCTGAGATCCACCATCTAATTAAGCGCGGATGTAAACTTAGTTTCTTTAGCAATCAAATCGTCTAAAAATGGAATGACCTTGTCAATATAATTGGTTGTAGATTCTCTTAAGAAAGTGTTTCCAAAGACTTCTAGAAACATATCACTTCTTTCCCTGTAGGTAAAATTCCTTGTGTGCATGATCAATAATAACAATAATGATCTGCATACGGTTTCCTTATTTTTCTCATGAATATAAAAATTAAGCTAGATACTTAATTCAACTCTTTACTTGTAAATCATCTCTATTATGATTGCATAAGCAAGTTTCAAGAAGGTGACGTAAATCACTTACTCCGCTCAATAATATATTGATGGTCCCGCTCATTTGAGAAGTAACAAGATTTAATTGTTTGGAGTGTCCCCAAAATTAAATGAAACCCAAAGACGATGCATAATCACTCATTTTTTTTTATGATTAATAATTATCACAATTATATAAATTCTTCCAACCATTATGCAACTTCAATGACATTCTCTATAGGCAACACTTTCTAAACGATGGTATCTAATTTGGCATGGATCAATTTGCCCTCCTTCTATTCCAATTTCTTAATAATTTTTGCACTCAAAAACATATCAATGGCCAATATTTGTATTGTGTTATTAGTGATATGTCGCATTTTCAGGATTGAATCTTCAAAGTTATTATTAATATCCTCTAAATGAGTTGTTTGAGGCATAGAATCACCAGATACAGGATGACAGTACTTCTTATTTTTCTATATTAAGTTGCTAGCTTAATTGGCCAGATTTTGAAAGCCAAATGAGGATTGTTCATCTCTTAGATACTCTTCATAATACTCCTATAATTTAGTTAATTTTGGATTCATCAATCTTTGAATTCTTCTCTAAAATAATAGATGTAGAATAAATACCTCAGTGATAGCTCCAATTTCAGAGACAGCAATGGCCAAATAATCAATTAATAGTAATTCAGTTTCATTATTGTTTTATTCATTGTAGAGGATATCTTTGATTGTTTTAGAATTGTTATCAAATTCAAATTCATATGCTCTTTATCCTATTTCCTGGGATTCAATTCTATTGATAATGAATTTAATTTAATCTAATGCAGCTCCAATGACTTATGGAATGCATCTTGTTGAATAAGCGTCTTGAAGAATGTTATGAGTGACTCTCTTCAAACTTAAATTTAAATCTGATTCTTCATCATCCACAGTCAATAGATTATACAATTCTTAGGCAACTTCCATCTGTCCTTGATGTTATTTGACTTCATTCACCAATTATGTGAATGCACAGATAACTCCATTAGTGGCTTCAAAAGATATAGAAGTTGTGATGAAGGCCATTTTAACACACTTCAAACTTCTGTGTGTATTGTACAAGAGAGTAGCAAATGAAAGAGATTTAGTCATAGTGATGATGATTGTGTCGTATTAGTTTATGTTTTTGAGGGCTTGCAAAATAGACCAATTGACACTGGCATCATAATATTACGTGTTAAAATTAGATGATGGCAAGTGTAATTCAGTTTTAGTATTAAAGAGTTCTTTGAGTTATCTTAGGGCATCAAGACTGACTCCACTATTCAGAATCAAATTATTAATAAGCACAAACAATGTGATTTTACATAGATCTTATTGCAGTTAATCTGCAGGAATGGATTCTAATAACTGCTTTAATTGTTTGGTCTCATAATTTTAGAGATCCTTAATTGGTTAAGGCATTTTCTACCCCAGGAGAGTATTGAAACCATATATGTGTTGTTGAGTGTTCTGGATAAATGTTAGGAAGGATTCTCTTGATTGCTGCACTTATTGTTCATCGAATTCAATTGTGACTTGATTGGAGAGGATATCTCCAATAAGGTTTAGAGTATATTTTTAAGGAAGTTGAATAATCATTCTTAAATATATATATAATCAATTATGAGCACTTGATCTCGATTATTAATATTGCTTATAACTTTCTATTGCTTAATCCACATTGTATTAAGGGAAGTAATCACTAAACTAATTACTTTTTTCAAAGGATTAGTAGAATTCAATGTTGGGCATTTCCAAAGGATTTCTCATAAATTATTTTGCTGTTTCCCCAGTAAATTTCGAAGATGTGATACCATATTTAGAGGTTGGTTTATCCTGTTGTTGTTATTGTTGTACTTGATATTCTCCTTTTTCAGATTCAGATATGCAGGAATTAGATTTTCGATCAGATCTGTAAGTCTTAGTCTACTACTATTATGGTGCGGTTGTGTGATATTTCTGATATTTAGATGGAGTGTGTTGACCCTCATTTTCTATTTGATTTTGTATCCGCTTTTGATGATAGTATACACTGTCTTGCAATTTGGCCTTCTTCAATTAGATGCTTATCAATTCGTCCTTCTCCTTGTTCTACATGGCATTATTTGGGTTTGTTTTGCTTCCATTACTGCTATAGGGTAATGAAAATACATTGCCACTGGAGTTCTTATCAGAAGATCCATTAAAGTTCTTCCGATTCACTGATGCCTCTTTAAGTAATTGAGCATAAGAACTGTGAGAAATTGCACTGGGAGGTTGTTGAACACATTGCACTGGACTTATGTTTGGAATATCCATTAGTGGATGGCCTAACTATTATTGAGATTACAAAGATTCTCGTAAAGATTATTAAGATGCCATATGAGGAGTTTACTAAGATTGTTACAATGAACTTTAGCGTTCAGTGTATGGATTGGTCACTTCACGTAAATAAAGCTATTGTTGAATACTGATTATCTCATCTTAACGGTGATGTTCATCAGATATGTCAGATTCAATATTTATTTGTTAATAAAGCAAAGCATTTTCTTCTATCTTCAACATATAGGACTTATTTCTCTGTTGTTTCTTTCTGATTCTCTTGATTTAATGCCTATACTATATATCATTAGATTGTATATACGAAACCAAAAATGATTTCTTGGGAACATAATGTACATGATCGCATTCATCAATGTCATGAAATTTCCCACATGCATAACAACGCATCAAACATAAACTATAAACCTCTTGCATGACTATCTAATCCAACATCATCTTATACTTCTGCTTCTCTTAATAGTGGTGTTTAATGCATTCCTAAAATCGCTCAAGATCCAATTAAGCAATCTAGGAGTAACCTATTGAAGTTGCACAGATATTTGAGTGGGAGTTCTTGAAGAAGGCCTTATTGTTGAATATCTACCCATCACTCAAAATCTTTAATTTGAATTCGCAACTAGGTTGCGTTCCTTCTGTTCTCTGGGATATTCTGACTTCTCCAGATATTATCAAATACAATTGCTAATTTGAAGTCCTTTAAAGAAGGATAGTTTAATTAGGATTGTAAGTGTATTCTTGAACAAGGTTGCAAATTTCTTTAAGTGTGTTTTCTGAAAATGAGGACTTAAAAATGGGAATTTTAGAGAGGATGGTCTTGTACCTTTAGTATCTGAAATCTTCAACATAGGATTGAGGGAGGTAGTCGAGGAAGTTGAGATCGGTTGTCACTTAGCTGTTCAATTTATTTAAATATGCATTAATCTGTTGTTTGGTAGTGTTTTGAATTGAAAATTGACTCAATTTCCACTTGTCTTTTGTGCTGAATCTTAATATGCAATAACAATAATATATTAGAATGAGAAGCCTTACAATGTAAGTAAGAACATTGGCACTCTCCGATTTATAAAACAAAACCATGAACTCGTCAAAATAGTTTATGTGGTAGTCTTACTATAATTGAATTATTGACAAGGCTATAAATTAAACGAAATGAAATTCCAAAATATAATAAATGTACAATGCTAGGTTTCCGAAAAGCATCTACAATTCACTCAAGACTCTCTTGATTTTCCAGATGTTGATTAGATGCAACAATTGAATCACGGGAATGTTTTCTGAGAGTAAACAAAAAATGATGGGAGCTATGGCCAAGAGATCAAATATAGATTGATATTTAAAGTATCTGGCAATCAGTTCTTGGATCACTTTAATTTCCTCTCCATCTTTAAATTGAATGAACATAATCTAATTAAAGATGTCTATCAGCCAAAAGGCCAACAGAATTACTTGATATATTGGTTGCAGATAGAATCCCTTCTCCAAATCAGTCAGCATAATTGTGATGAAAAAACTTAAGTAAGCACTATATATAGCCCTACTTAGATAATAGTATGTATTTTATTTTTTGGGCTTGAGCCATTGATATGAAGATACATTAAAAGAGAATTCAGCAGCCTTATCTTGAAGGAAATTCAATTGGAATGAAGGATGAGTGACACTTGTCTTCGACGTAACTAATCTGCTCCATTGAACATTACTATAAGAGTTCTAGACTTTTTCATCAATAACTATTTCTGGGTTGTTTACTTTGGTCTGAAGTGCTTTGTGAATCTTTTTGGGATCTTGACTTATTTACATAGACTACTCTTTTATGCTTGGTTCTTCATTTATTAAAAGCAAATCATCTTTCAACTCATTTTGGGGAGGTTATTCTGACACTAATTGCGGAGTTACGCTGGTTGTAGGTGGTGAACGTAAGTTATCTTGAACTTGATTAGAGGGTCTTCGCACCAATAGTTAATGTGAGTTAACAACAGTCATTTATTACACAATCGGTTGGATTTACATATTGATAGAATCATCCATGGATATTGACATTGATCTGGATGAGGAACCTTATTACCCATTCAAATGAGGGTGCATAAGCATGAAATTTGGATATTTAAATTACTACTTGATAAACAATATTGTGCATAATAATAATTCCATTTAAATAGATGTATTAATTTAATTTAGATTATTAGTAAATGTCTAATCAAATATAGACCTCATAATACGAATTTCATTTGGCCTGAATAGATCTCTAATTTAAGACTTATCTTTATAAAATTGATGAACTATTCAAAGATGTAATGTACATACATGATCATGATTCAATAATTGCCATTTGCATAGATTCAAATTATAAGGAATTTCAGAATATCTAGCAGTTCAAACAAAGAATGGATCATCTAATCAAACCTACTCTTTCTTAAATATATTTAAATTTTCAATCCATTTCCTAAGAGGAAAATTTTTGCAATAGAAATCTACACACGCTAAATCAATGCCTAAGCAGCCTTTCTAAATTTATCATAAATAGAACACGATGTTGAAAAAATGGATAAGGATAGTTTTGAAAATATACACACCATAGAGAATAATCAAATAAGCAATTCATTCAATGACACTTCAATAATAAGCCCTCTGATGCCTGTAGTCTAATTTCAGGATAAGACTAGCAAAAGAAGTTGTTTTAGGGAAACCTAAAGTGAAATTCTAAGAAGGTGGCAAGACTGTCACTATGGAAAAGAACACTGTTATTGTACTCTGAGAATTGTATTGTCAGGACAATATAGAAATACGCATACGGATCTTATCATTTCTGTCTGGTTGTCTGAACTTTGGATTTATTGAGGGAACAGCTTGTGAATTGACCAAGAAGATTGATAATTTTGGGATTTAGGCATGTCTAGACAGTCAATAATAGTAGTGATCATTCGAGATTGGGGAAAGTGCAGGAATTCTGTTAACAAATTGACAGCATTATGGGTTTGAATTTCAACTTTGTGGATAATGTTGCAAGTTTAGGTTGTTTTGAAGAGATGGCATTTTGATTTTTATTTTGCTTTAGAAGAAGGGATGTTTGATGAAGCAGAAATAATATGTTTAAATTCATGTTTGGAAGGATAGGCAAAATTAGAAGTGTTAAATTGATTAATTAATTAACATTCATTATTACAATTTAATTTTATTCTGCAATTTGAGCATGTGACTACTTATGAGGTTGATCCACTATTATTACTATTACTCATCTTGGACAACTAAATAAAAAATGGAATCATGAGTTTGGATGCTCTACTATTTTTGTGATTTTTACAATCGAATTCACTTTCTGTAATTCCTGATCATCTGCCTACTTGATTGAGACAATGTGATTGAGATCAATCACTTCTGTGGGATTATTGTATTGTTATTACTTCTTGAAAGTGTATAAAGTGAAATTAGTTAATACGACCCAGCGTCTAATAAATTAGATTCCTTGATTTACTTATGCCATTTCTTGAGGAATCTAGATTGCTTATCCATCCATCCTTCCTTCACTATTTATTTCAAGTCTTCAAACTCATATTTAATATTTGCTTATTAATTCATAGAAACCAATTTATTTATAAAATAAATACATGTTAGCTTAACTCATTACACTTAATAATTTAACATCAGAATCTCTCAACATTTCCAAATCTCTCTTTAAATTGGGCAGAGATCCAACAAATGACAAACAACTCACCAACAATAAAATAAGTTCTTTCCACTTGTAGATTGAATTTGAAGAATCTCAATTTACAATCCTTGATAACTCTAGTAATGGTACTTTCCTTAATGGGAAAAGGATTGGCAAGGGTAACAAAGTGATTATCCAAAATGGAGACACTCTCCACATCTTACCTCTTGATCGAGTTCAACCTGATGAAATCATAGGATTTTAATTTCTTACAGATAAGATCAAAGATTCCCGATTACATTCTGATGAAATTTAATCTATAAATCATAATAAATCTAAAGATGAAATTGTCTCTAAATTAGACACTCACAATCAACAAATCGAAGAATTGGCAGATGAACTAATATGCACCATCTGTAACGATTATTTGTTTGAAGCTGTTACTACCAATCCCTGTAACCATCATTTTTGTGGAGCCTGTCTTTCTACATGGCTAGAAAAACAATTACATAATGACTGTCCAAATTGTAGAATTGCCATTAAGTCAATTATGATTGCGAGAATGATGAACAACTTAGTTGAAAAATGGTTAAAGTGTAATCCATCCCAAAACAAAACAGCCTCTTTGATGGCCAAAATGAAAGAAGAGAATCTCATTTACAAAAACCCCAATTATTATCTCAACTTCCAAGAAGAATATGCTAAAAAGAATTAAAATTAATTTGATCAAGAAGATGGGTTTGACGAATTCTTAAGCAACGACGATGATTTCGATGATAACAATCCTCAACTCTATCAAAATCCACTTATACTCCCTAACAATTTTGTCCACTTCTAAGTATTCAACCCACTACCACCACCACCACCACCTCAATAAGTCTAGCTTGTTCAGCCTTGTAAAAGTTGTAATGGATAAGTGTGGAAATAATACTAATGCACAGACATTCAATTTCATATTGGATGTTCATCATGTGGTCGATTAATGCCTAAAAGATTGCTAAGTAAATATTTGTCAATTAATCTTCAGCTGAGTAGGAGAATGAACAATTGTAAATGATGTGTTGCATTTGCAAAGTCTATGATTGTAAATTCTATTATGGAGATTGCAACAAAGCAAATCTTAATAAATTGATGTTGTTCAAAGACATCCGTGATATGGTGCAAATTCCTCAAAATTTTATCAATAATGTAGAATATGAGAGGATTATCAATCATCTCAAAAACAACGATGCTACATACATCTATGACTTTATGATGGAACACTACATTAAAAAAGGAGACTTTTACTTTGAACAAAACAAAAGAACCTTCAATTTCCCATTGCAGGACTTGAATGTCAAAATCACACCTGACACTGTAATTGCATTGTTCTAATAATTAGCCTGTATGTTGGCAATGTCACAAGAAATTAATTAAATTCATAATATTCAAATATGTCCAATACCAGAAGCATAATGACCCCATCTTTTCTTTTCCAGACTGTTTTTATGGAATAAACTGTAGAACCCAACATTGGAATCAATTTCATGCTGACAAATACAATCATATTTGTGAACAGACTAAATTCCATTGAAATTAAATTAAACCATTTATTATTATTATATAACCGAAATGAATTAAATACAAATAGATGCATTAAGTGAACTCACCATCAATCTATTGAATGTACATCAAATATCAATATTAGACTCTAAGATTAGAACTCAGACCAGAAGTGACTACGGTTGAGTCATTCCGTAACCTCATCCTATTATTTCAAGGAACTGAAGAGTGGGTCCAAATTAATAGTGTATATTTATTACCTATGAAAGACAGCTCCATGGAGTAGATTAGTTTAACAGTTGCTAAAGCCTAAGAGATTGATCAAGCTCATCTAAAACCATTATCAGTATGATCTATCCTAGAATCTGTACCTCCTAAATTATGAAATACTGGATGCTCACCCTCAAAATGAGATTGAAGAAACACTCAATAGAATTGTTTGTGCCTTAATTAGTTACCATTACTAAGTTACGATCCCTGATCCTCCTTAAGTTAGTTAAGTGAGTAGAACAACGCAAGAGAATTCAGAATCTTCATTAATTATCCCAGAATAGACACGAGGCAATCATCTCACGACTAGCTCTTCCATATCTACAATGATCCCACTTGAGTTTCAGAATGAATAATACGCAGAATCCCAAAATACGAGAAGAGCGAAATTAATTCTTGACAAACTAACACATCAAATTAATAATAGTGTTGTAGGACATTACAATAAGTTATTTCAATATTGACAGACAAATTCATCTTGATATATACAATTACTATTATATAATATTTTAATTACTATAATGCGGTCATAAAAATTAATTTTATTATAATTAAATGAAATAGCGATTTTAGGGAAAAGTTTGTCTTGTCACTGCCTCCTCAACTGGTATTGGTTTGGCAATCAGTGAATAGTTTGCCAAAGAAGGAGCTACAGTTATTATCAGCTCTAGAGACAAAAAACACATTGATGCTGCAGTTGAGAAAATTAGAAATTCCGGAGGAAAAGCCGAAGGATACGCATGTCATGCTGGCAAAATTGAGGATCTTTAAAAGATGATTCAATTCATCAAGGAAAAGTATGGTCGACTAGACATTCTTGTACCTAATGCAGCTGTGTCAACCCATTTCGGATTCGCACTAGACATGACCCCATAATAATATGATAAATTGTTTGAGGTCAATCTAAGAGGAGTATACTTCTTAATCCAGGCTGCTTATCCCTTACTCAAAGTATTCATAATATTCATCTTCTAAGGAGACCAAAGATTCTAACATTGTTATCATTTCATCTATCGGAGGATATGAATCAGAAATGGGTTTGGGAATGTACAGTGTTACCAAGACAGCCTTATTGGGGATGACTAAGGTTCTAAGCAAGGACTTGGCTCCAATTAGAGTGAATTGTTGTGCTCCTGTATTTGATGTTAGTTATTTTTCTAGGGTTTAATTAAAACTAAATTTAGCTCAGTTTTATGGGAAGGGAAAGAACAAGCAGCTACTGAGTTTATGAAGGTGGAAAGACTGGGATTACCAGAAGACATTGGAAATGCCGTAGCATTTTTAGCTTCATCAGAGGCTAGTTATGTAACTGGTGAAACATTAATTGTGGCTGGAAGAGCATCTCCTAGATTGTGAGAGTCTAAGTTATTAAATTAATTAGTCAAATTATTAGATTCTTTCGAGTCTCAATTATTTTTGATACTGAAAATATTGCCTCTTCTCTAAATTACAAATCGACCTGCATTAGATTTTATGGAAGGCTTTCCTCTTCGTCTTAACTGCAAGCTTCTTCATCCAATCTAAACGACTAAATCCTTGTTCTCTATGCCAATTTAGCCTTAAAAGAATTCGCCTAGCAGACTCGTTTTAATTTTTTTTTCTTTTGATTGATCGTATTTGTTGTACTGATATTGGATATGGTCTCGATTATGAGTCTCTATTCCTATTCTGAATCAAAAATACTCTAGAGAGTATCTAGACTGTCTGATTCCGCTTGCAATTACTGATTTGAGATGGAGTAACGATTGGATTGCACTCTGATGCTTTTAATCTGCTGAATTGATGGTTCCTGTTCTATAAGCTGGGAATCATATGATTCATGGTCAGATTAATTAATCATTATAACTATTAATATAGTTTGTACAATTTAAAATAAAATAACAATCTACCATTAGGAGGTGTATGAATATATAAATTAATCTTTGGTTCTAGAATATATTGTCAATACTAATTAGTAAAATAACAGAAAATTAATAAAAAGACATTGTGTAATTTAGTTTGATAAGAAACTTATACAAATTCATGTCTTTCAAAAATGACTCAAAATAAGCTATTCTTCCGATTGGGGAAATTCTGATATTGACCATTGTTTTTCGGGGATTTATTTTTTGACTATATAATGTTTGGTGAATTTGTATTCAAGTTGTACATTTTATTGGCTAACAATCTTTAAAGAGTACGAAGAGGTCTCATTTTAGTTTAAATCAATGGATATGTTGGATAATTTGTTTGTCAAAACATTGATTTCGTGTTCAAAGCATATTGAGATATTCCTAAACTTATTTATCTACTCATCTATCTTCTCTTAATATGCTTTAAGCAATTGTGGTAGGATGGGCACATCATCATAACATCTTATGAAGAGTATGTGTAAGTATTTATCGGTTAAATTTTGAAAAATCGAGCATAATTACCTCTGATCCAAATGAGGATCCCTTCTCAGATGTATTGATAAGCATTATCTGAAGCTTTAGATGGTTTAGAGTATTAAAATGAACACTCTTGTAAAAAACTATTGATGTCTCAACTTTTGAAAAATTTATAATTGCAAGAATTTTGTCTCGTAAAAAAAAGTATATGCTAAAGTAGTTATAAAAAACTTTTATATATAATCCCAAAAATCATTTATTCTTTCAAATTCCTCAAAGCTTTTAAACTTCAAATCATCAAAAAATTTATTGATATCCATTTTTTAAAGTCCCATCAACATTGAATATTGGGTAGCCTCCCTTAAATGAATTTAGAGTTTATTATTAACAAACTTAGAAGCAAAGGATATAACCAAGTTTAAATGCTAATAGCCACTGTTTAATTTGAAAATAAAGATGCCTAATTCTTTAGTAGGAATGAATTGATAGTGTTGATTGATTATCAAATAAGTAGTCTGATTGTATTCCACGAGCATTTGCTAAATCAATTAAGAAGGTAGAAAGGTATGATAGAGCTATTCACTAAGAGACCAAATGTCATTCTGCTGAACCAACAAGTTGAGATTGAGAGGCGGTGCTTTCAAACATTCCGTATTCAAAATTCCCTCTAATATTTCGCTCTTTATCAAATAGATACGAATGAAATCCTCCTCCTTCTTCATGAGACAATTGCCGATCATCTTGCTGATGTAGAATTGCCCACTCAGGATATTCCCAAACTACAAAGTGATCTCAATATCAGTGGGAGAATAAGTCAATTTCTGTATCACTATTTCTTTCGATTCATCCCGTCTCACAAAGATTCTAGTCATAATTTCTAAGTGTTTTGCCATCTTCTACACAAGAGAATCAATCAAGATCGAAGGATCATGCTCAATTAATTACGCCTTTTAAAAACTATGTGTTCAAGTAATTATACCTAAACGAAACACCTCCTTCGATTTTGTTCACCTCGTATTTGATCTCAGTCCGCTTGTCTGTCACACTATAGGGAAACTCGCGATAACATATAAGCTCCTTGGGTAAGTCCTTAATCTTGTCCTCCACCGAAGCAAAGCGGTCGTCCCTTATCGATATGATCAACTAATGATTCCAATTATTCAAATTAATTTTCATTAATAATAAAATAATTTCTTTTTATGAATTTCATTTATTTATTCTGTCAAAGCCGACAACTCTTAACACAACTACCGTTGTTCTTATATTAATTTGTTAATTTAATCATCATCAGAATCCATTATCTCCTTCCTCTGTGGTAACACATATTTGTCATACTAATTGACCCACTTCTGCAGTTTCCCCTCTGGTATCTTGTACATAGCAGCCATCCTCTGGATTTCCTCTCTCCCTGGTTCAGGTCCCAATTGATGCAATAATTTGATTCGATCCGAAAATAAAAATTGAGCCTTCGTTTCCATTTTATCTATTTTTAATAGATGACTCCCCAATCTTCTCTCCTTACTTTCATTCTAAAAAAGCATTATAAAATTTTATCAAATATAATATCTATTCATTTAAATATTCTAGAACCCAATTTTAGTATATAGCCCAATATTATATATATAATATAATGTATAATTTTTAGGGTAATCAAAAATTGGAAATAGACAACCTAAAACTAGGTTATCAATTTGAACAGAGACTATATTAAAGAGAATATGACTCAGTGAAAATGATGCTTGCTTAATCAGAAAAGGAAAAACAACAAGCCACACAGAAGTATAATCTGTTAAATTAAAAATATCAAGAAAAAAAAATAATCGATATTTTAGATGAACAATCCTTATAATCTCAAATCAAAAATGATGGAACAAGACTATTCAAAGCAGCTAAGTATGCCATCCTAGGTTTAGAGAGAAAATAAGATGATGTTGAATTACCAAATAAAACCGAAAAGGTCACTGATAAATCCTTAACCGCTGATCCTAAAATTCAAACCTTTCAAGCTTAAGATTCTCAAATTAATGCTCAGTTCTCAGAAGATGAATAATCAAAAATCTATTAATCCAAAGATGATCGCAATTACTCACAAAGTCTTATTAACTTCATGAATGAATTAGATTATGAAAGAGCAATCTATACAACCTAAGAAAGAGTCCCTGATTATGATCAAATACCTTCAAAATAAATTAAATCATAAGGCTAATCTGCTACAGTATCCTTCACACAGAAGAACCAACCAAAACATAAAATTTCCACTTAAAGCAAAATCTAATAACTTGATGATAATGCTTATTTCCACTTCACAGATGATACTAGTCGAACTGAATAAAAGATTAACATTGATCAACAAATAGAAACCCTTTTGGATGATATCTAAGGAATAGTTGCCAGAACTTCAAAACAACCTGAATAAACACTTGTCACTCATAAGTTAAGACTCTAAAATGAAAAGCCTTAGAAAATTAATCCTGTTTAACAAATCCCAAATTTTCATCCTGTTAACTTTGCATTCAATCAAAATAAAGAAGAATAACAATCAACAAAAAGAGTGGCTGATAATTCCAAATAAATTGATAATTTAGATTAATTAATACTTGATCTATGCAATTGATTAAATTTCTACTTGTTAAAATTAAGATATATATTCATATGTATTAAATATAAATACCCTTTTACTGGCAATTTAGTTAAAGGGTAGTTTTGGTTATTAATAATAAATTATTTAATAATATTATTACTCATATATAACATGAGGAATAAATTGAAATGGTGACAGTATTTAATAACATTAAATTGAGTATGACATACATTTAAGAATATTAATAATGTATTTTTTAAAGCAGGTAAATTTAATAAGGATTAAACTTTCTTTATAATATATATTTGAAACAATAATTCAAAAGGAAGGTAATGTGATATGCTGCCAAATATTCTCAAAAAATAGTTTATGAATAATAAATATTTTTGTGAATTTTTAGAAGAAAATAAAGCATAATTATTAAATCCTTTTAAAAGACAAATAATCTTGAGTGGTCTAAAGTTAATAAATTACAAGCTTATTGCAAATATAAAATTAATTAATTCAAATTGAACTACATATTATAATTCTAACTGTTCTTAAATTTATACTTTAATTATAAAATTTCACTTGGAACATTCTTTATTAGTCATTCTTTGTATCTGATAAAATGAAATTGTCAAGTTGTATTAAGGTGAATTGAAGAGATTATTGTTACGCTTGAGTAGTTCCCTAAAGTTATGCTTGTAGAATACTGATAAATGTGTATTGAGAACGTTTATGAGTGTTTAATTAAGTATTTTGATTAATTTTTATAAGAAAAAATGTCAGATGATGAACGTTTGTCTCTCCATTCTTACGATCCAATTTAGGATGGGAATGATGATATCGATGAGTTTTACAAGGAATTAAGTTTGCAATTTTATGGGGAGGAGAAAAAAAAGAAGGTGTCACTTTTGATGTCAGGTTCAACTTAAGTAACAATCATATTTAATGTTGTAGGAGACCAATAAGCCTAGTAGAGACACACTACCTGATGTCAAGAGGGGTTTCTAATTTGTAAAGTAATCCTCGAGTCGACCGGGTAGTCCAAAATGTGGACGTAATCAAGTGCAAAGGAAATCTCCAAATCAAAAGTTGTAGAGTAGTCCCACAACTATAAAGATGATTCAAACAAAGAAACTAATTTAATTGCTTCAGTCCCCTTACAATAAGAAAAATAAGCAATAACAAACTTTTTTGAAGAAATAGATTGACATGATCAAAAAGATTCAGGTATAAGAATTAAAGGAACATTATTATAAGTGAGGTTTTATTAATTCTGTTCTCCATATTTAATATATTGAAGTAATACTCTAAATTCTATATCAAAACATCGTATTTATAATTTTAACATATGGGCAAAGCACATAAAACAAAGAAATTTGCAACAATAAAGCGGATGATTTCCAAAAAGGATCCCAGATGTTAAAAACGACATCTTGAACAGCCAAAGGAAGAGAAAAAGAAGGGAGTTAATGATGTGGAAATAAAAGAATTGTACTTTTAATATGTCATTACATTTTAGACCACAAGAGCCAAGTCACTTATTCTTCAAACATAATCCAGCCCTCGGACCTCCCTATAGGATTTTACTTGATACCAATTTCCTAAACTTCAGCATTTCCAACAAACTAGACATTTTTAAGAATACAATGGATTGTCTTTTAGGAAAATGTATTCCATATATTTCTGATTGCGTTATTGCTGAATTGGAGAAGTTGGGACAAAAGACAAGATTGGCTTTGAGATTGTCCAAGGATCCTCGTTTTGAGAAGTTGACTTGTGATCACAAGGGCACTTATGCTGATGATTGTTTAGTGAATAGAGTGAAACAACATAGATGTTTCATAGTAGCCACTTGTGATAAGGATCTAAAACGCAGAATTCGTAAAATTCCTGGTGTTCCAATTATGTTCATCCAGAATCACAAGTATACAATTGAAAGAATGCCTGAAGCATTTGGTGCTCCAAGATGAATTGCTATTATTTTTATTAATTTATATAAATGGCTGATTTAACAAAAGAGGAGAAGAGAGAAAAAAGCAAATAAATGAAAGACAAGATGAAATATGTAGAGCAATAGGCAAGATTCAGAAAGGCCTAGACCCAATTAAGAGAAAATGGATTGGAAAATACTACAACTTCCACCAAACGTGAAATAATGAGAGCTTTGGAAATTGATATGGATGATCAATAATTAAAGCATTATTAAGGACTACAAAAGAAATTAGTGCGCATGAATTATTATGGATCATTTTTTGGATTGACTGCTGCTGCCATATTGCCTAGAACATTAAGAGTTTATTAGAAACTGGGATTAACATCAAGGTTATTTCTAAAATCTATAGTTTAGAGTTGCTCTTTGTGTTGGTACATTTTTGATCACCTAACAGGGAGTGGCTTTCAAATACTTGTGTGATGTGGATGATTTCGAAGTTGATTTCATTGAAAAGCACAAAAGTTAATTTTTAGAAACATCCTTTGAGAGTTGATTTAATTTAGTTTTATTATCTTTTAATAATTGTATGTAATATTACATCCCAACCAAAGATGTTTTGGGAGCCCTTTCAGATGTATTTTCCAAGTGCAATTACCAATTTGATAGCTCTAAGCGTTCTGATTCATTTGAAAAACTGGCTTCCACTTTTTAGTCTAAAATCGATACCAATAAATTCAAAAGCAATTTGGATAAGTACATTGAAAAGGTCAAATGTATTAAATAAACTTGATTTTAGAAAAAATTTAGTCGCAAGATGAAAATGATGGTTCCTTGTGTCTAACCAGCTAATGTAACGATATATCAAACTAAAATGATTAACAAATGACTGGGTTGTTAAATTCAATTAAATCAAAAGCTCTTCCTGAAACCTTTGATCAATAAATACAAACTGATACTTTGATATCTTTAGAAGCATCTGGAGTTCTAGTGGACAATGGTTGTTAAATAATTGTTGAATAAGTTGAAAATTTGACATAAACAGAATATGTGAAGGTCGATGTCTCAACCAATACTATAAACGAAGAGGAGAGTGTAAAAAGAAAGGAATAAAATTAATTAATATTATCTAATCAAGAAGTCTCTATTCAGATATAGAGTCTTTAAATTAAAATACAATAATCAGATTTTTCATGTCAAGTAGATCAATTGCAGGAAGATTCATAGAATATTGTGTTAAATTAAAGACTTGAAAATAATAGTGATTAACAGTAGTAGAGTTATCATTCATCTGATTTGATTGACAATCTGTAAATAATCCATGATTAAATAAATGAGGAATGTGTAAAATGTCCATGTGGTAAAAGTTTTCTTTTGAGTAAAAAAAAACTAATTGACGTTGAATGCTAATATGATAGATCCCCTAATGTCAAATAATCGATAAGAATGAATAATTTGGATTTGGAATTAGAGGAGAAGTTTAAGCATATAAGGATTAGAAGCAGATGCATGAGCCAAACCAATTAGGTTAATGATAAGATGCAAATTAATGATGAAGATCAAATCACATTTTTAGAAAATGGTAACTATTTTCCTTTATAATTTAATAGAATTATAATTAAAAAGCGAACTTTTAGAAACTAAAAATTAAGTTATTTTAAAATTGCACTCTCAGATTGAAGATTTGCACAAATTAATAATTGATCAAAAGGATAGTGCCAGAAATCTCAACAATTCGGATTCAGATTTCTCTAATGAAAGTGATAATGGTAAATATGAAAAATTGCAACTATAAATCTAAACTGGTGCTGATATCCAGGGTCACCTAACTAAGCAGATGTTATAATATAGTGAAGAGACCAGGAATCTTGAGCAATAAATAAGAGATCTTAGAGATCAGAATTAAGAACTTAAGGAAGAACTTGATAAATTGACTATTTAGATAACTAAATTAAAGGATTAGCAGGCAGAGTAAGAAGAAAATAAAGCCAAAGAAATAGATATCATTAATGAAGATTACTAAGATAAGTTATCTAAACAAAATATGATCATTGATGACTTACAATAATAAATTAGTAGTATCTCAGGTAGTCCTATGGGATTAAATCAATTGTCTATGCCTTAAACTATGAAATACATTTCCTAATAATAATACTAAACAGTTGGCTCAGACTCATAATAATCAAAAGGATCGAATTCTAAGACTAAAGAGGAAAAGCAATAATTTATGAGAAACTTTAAAAAAATGACGAGCATGACAGCTGGATTGATGTCGAATAAATAGGACTATACTACTTTGTAAGTCTTGGGTAAAATGGATTAGTATAAGAGCTAATAAAAATTAGAATCCTTTAATAAACTTAATTGATTGTTAATATATGTATTATTTCAAATTTAAATAAATAAACAGTAAATTAATTTTATTTAATAGCTCATTTAGAAGAGCACCATTGTTCATATCATTCAAATGGAATTTCTCTATCAACAGTAAATGCCATAAAGACTTGAATGCAATGGTGTATGGATTTATTTAATCTACATATTATCTCTGCGAAAACATAGTGTTTTGAATCTTGGTTGAAATTTTTAATGAAAAAATAAATACAAAAATTTTGACTCATATTTGTCTTAATTCCTCACTTTTAAGTCTAAATGATCGATCCGATTAAGCTTTCCTTCTTTGAAAAATGGGATTCTTAACAATTTAAAATAGTTGATTTTCTATCCTCCTTTGTTCCTTCAAATGAATCTTCTAGTTTACAGAGTATTATAGATTTTCCTTTGTACTTTTCATGTTTGCACAACCCATTTAATTAACTATAAAAATGATAATAACTAATTAAATCCAATCTAATATGAATTAGATCGATTGTATCATTTTATTTCTGCCTTTTAATTAAATATTCATCAATATTAATAATTTTTCGAGATTAAATGCAGAAAATGACAAATTATATTTTAAGTCATAGTTTGAAATGATGTTTAATTAATTAATTTTAAATTAGAAACTTTATGTACTTATCGAATGCATCCTCCTCTAGTGGGAAATTTTAGAGTACTAAACAACAGCAACAGGAATCCATTAAGGTCAAAGAATAACAGGATTAAACTATTAATTCTGAAGGGGATCTGGAATCTGAATTTAATCAAGATGAAGCATTTTAGAGATAGCAACACTTTCAGAAGAACTAGAAATTCGAAGCATCTGAATAGGAGGTCGTATCTATTGAAGTGAAAAAGGAAATGGTTTAGGTAGAGCAGTTGAATACTGAAATGCAAGAGGAGAAACCTTTAACTTTGAATTTCGTGAATATGCCATCTAATCAGAGGAATAATCTTCAGACTTATAAATCATCAAATAGGAAGCTTGTTCCGATAAATCAGCATAGTTTAAGTTAATCAATGATATCAAATATGACTGTCAATAACAAAGGAGCAGGGTTTCGTAAAATAAATGCGTTCTATTATGATAGAATTGGAGATCAATTGAGTTTGATATTCATGGAGAACAAGAATATAATCAAGTTTCTAGCAAGAGAGACAGTAATTCCTCTTCTGATTGCATTTGTGGTGGAAGTGTTGATTTTGGTGGTGTAAAATGAGATTGGGGAATTCTGCTTTATTGATGGAATTGATTGTTCTAGTTATTGGGTTAGATTATGGTCATTTGTCAAATAATAGATTGTAAGATTATCATTAATAATAAACAGCTTTTTAAATTAGGGATTGTATTTTGCAAAGGTCATATATTGTACAAATTGGTATTAGGAAATAAGTTAATACAGGTCAAGAATGGGAGACCTTTGATGGAATACTTTGTATTAATCTTAATGGCAGTATTGACAGATTTTATAATGATATTTTGGGTTGGATTCAATGAAGATTGGCTGTTTATAGTTTATATCTATATAATTGGATTTGTTGTGTTTTTCAATACGTTTAGAATGAAGACATGGCCAAGTTAGCTTTTAAAAGGCTTAAGCTATTTCTTGTATGATATCACAATAATTGGACTGTTGTTGATTTGTTTTAAACTACTGCCTTCAATAAAAGAGTCGTTGAGAGATCACAATCCTGTGGCTTGGAATGAATATTATATGTTCATATATGCCTTTTTGGATTTAGGAATGGAGATCATAATGGATTTAACGTTGTCCTTAACCAAATTCAGTGAATTATATATTTACTAAGGTTAATTGTTGATAATAGGTACAAGGATTGGAACATTGATTTAAGGAGACATGGCTAGATTTGATTTTTGGTTTTGCTTGTTCTTCTTGATAATGTTTAGGATCAATAACATATCAATAGTGTTTACTGTATTCTTTAGACGATTAATTTATTATGCAAGTCCGAATAGTTTGAAACCATATGTATCTATGGAAGAGACAAATCTAACTAGGAAGGGTAAGAATGGAGCATGTTGGGAACATTTATTTTGGATCATCTATTTCTATATGTTCATAATCTCAGGAAGAACCTTCACCAACTGGGTTTTTGACAAATCCTATATTTCGAATGGGAAATTCGAGACAAACATATGGGATGGATATGAGAAATCAAATTATATGCCCATTATTGTATGGGCATTTCTGTTGATACCCGAATATGTTGGATATAGATTAAATAAATCTAAGAATTATGATAATATAAAATTGTTGGGTGGCAACAAATTGAAGTTTTATGAGAACCTATTCATAAGAATATTTGGAGTATATTTATTCAACTTTGCATTGATGAGTAATTTAATTTGACATTGACATAATATATTCTAAATTTATTCACAATTTCTCCATTGTAACTAATAATCGACTTCTTTTATCAACCATTTTCTATTCTCGAAAATCAACTAATTCAAATCCCTCCTCCTTCTCTACTTTCTTTTCCATCCCTTTAAATAATGGATACAGATAAACAAGTCTTCCTCCTTTTCTTAATACTCTTCTGGCTACTTCAAACATCCTTCTATAGATTGCTGTTCGATTAGCTTATAAATCCTGCTCATTTCCATCCTATTAGATTGATGCTCTTATGCCATAAGGAGGATCGCAAATTATAGCATCAAAGAATTCATCTACTCTTGGATTGAAAGTAGGTAAATGAACATCAGTCTGTATCAAATTAGGAGGAGGGAGGTTGTATTGTTGAAAGTTCAAATTTATGTAGGGTTTAACTTATTTATAGTTTGGATCTTTGAGGTAGGTGCTTTTCTAATTGATATATCCTATGCAATGTCCTTTCATTAACTAAGGATAAACAAATATATCTTACATACCCATCAATTTCAGAGCCAAAACAAATGGCTCCAAAATGGGAACAGGCTACTAAAGAACTGCCTGTTCCTGCAAAAGGATCGAATACAAAATCATTCTCTTTCACCTAGGCTTGATTGGCCATCAAAAATGCCAAATCATGAGCCAGAGAAACTGGACCCAGATAAATTCGATTAGGCAATTCGTAGATTCTTGCAAAGTTCTTCTCTCTTCTCTTCTTCTTCTTTGACAAGGTATAACCAGCAATGTATTTCTGATCTTTGGTGATCATTAAATAATAGAGAATGTCTGGTTCAGTTAAATTAATAGTATTTTGACAATTCAATCCCTTCTCTCCAAAAACTTACTCCATTAATTCAACTCGTTTCTCCTAGGTAATTTTGAAAAAGGATGTGATGATATCGCATTTACATGAGAGATTGGGATTTTCAATGTATTGCATAGCCTAAAGTAGTACATTCTTATTTAAATCCTCTATTGTATTGGCTCTACTGATGGTATATAGTATGTCATGAATCATAAGGGATCTACTCAAAACCTTCGGAATTAAATCCAGATCCTTCAAATACACGTCTACGAAAGGGTAGTTGGGTAGAGTTTGAGATGTAATTTCATATTTCTTTGGGAATTAATTTTCTGGGAAATACTATTTGAACAATTCCTGATATGGCAATCCAAAGAGTTCGAATAGTTGAATTGCTTCCTAGATTCCAAACTCTCCCATCTCGATTGACTGATTTATAACTAATGTGACAATGTGTTCTTATTCTTGAATCATAAATTAAATATCAATATTAATTATACTATTAACCAATGACTAAGTTATTAAATTTTATATCAATCAATGTTCTAATACACCTTCTCTCCAAATTCCCTCAATTTATTATCCATCTTGAGTCATGAATACGCCTTTGCCCTCGATCATGCCATCATTGAATTACCCTTCATAGCGTTCTCCATTGGTTAGATACAAAGCACCATTTCCTTACATTTTACCCTAATAGAACTCTCCTTCGTAACTTAACCAACCATTCTCAATGATACTCAGATCTCTATAATCGAAAGGACCATTGATTTCTTCTGCAGAATAGTTAATCAGTTTTCCTTGCCCATGGTATTGGTTGTCTTGCCAATAGCCACTATATACTTCATTGTCATTTTAATCATTCAAAACCCCAAATCCTTCTCTTGTTGCTGGTTCATATCCTTGTCCTCTATAAATATACCCATCTTCGTATTGTAAGGCCAAATCTTGGAGTTACTGTTATTCCTCTTATTTTGGTTATGGTTTATTGTACTTCTGAACCAAATCCCTTGTTCTATCAATTGCATCTTGGAACTTCTTTTCCAGATCATCATCCTATTAGGATAGGATTGGAGGTTGAGAGTATTGAGGTTTGTGTTAATATTGTGGAGCTGCTTAATAATTCGACTTTGATTATGGGGTTTGTTTCGATTATCTCGATTAAACCTATGGAGTAACTGGCTGTTGTTGATGAAAGGATTGTGAATATGGCTAGTATTATGGTTGATACGGAATGGATGATCTAACAAAGGGTTATTGTTAATAGGAAGTATTCAGAGCCAGTTATTAGGTTGGAGGTATGATGGTTCTTGTTATGTAGGATTGATGGATGGAATTACCACTTCGAGGAGGAATTATTGGTTAAGTATGATACACTCTTGTTGTCGAAATTGGCTATTATTTCATAGATTTTATGATAGTACTGGTTGTTATATTTGGAAATTTGGTGGCTTAATAATCACTTTGACAGGTGGCTGGTAATATCTATTATCATATGATCGAATATAGACAGGTTGGGGAGGTGTAAGGTAGAAGTGATTATTATACATAAAAATAAATTTTATTGCAAATAATTACTATTATCAAAAATAGACTATTCAATCTAGTCTCTTGAAGATATACATATATCCATTGTTTAAAGAAGGTTCCACTATCTTGGCAACCTTAGAATCATTGTACAGAATCCATCCTCCATTCTTTTTAATGTAAGACACGTAATGTCCACTTTGAACAGATCTTCCTAAATGAACTATACATGCTAAGAGTTATAAACCAAAGAAGTTACCAAACAATTCATATTTTGAAGTTTGATTATCAAATTGATCCTACTTCTGTTACTATTGCTTCGCTTGTGCCTGATTCATTTCAGCTTCTAAGTCGTGATTAAATAGATAATCCATGGCTCTTTTCAAATTATTATCCTTTTTTTTGACCTATATACAATATAAATACTGTCTTAGATAAAGCGAATCTGGCTTAGTCATGATTGAATCCCATTATAACTATTTATTCTATAAATGCTTCATTTATTTTTTCATTCTAATCTAATAGTTCATCTTAAGTTAGGTCGCCTAATGATTCCATAATAAAAATCATAGCAGCTTCAATATCATTCTTCTATTTTATGAGTGCTCTTTTGCATCTATTCTCACCAAATCCCATTCCCATTAAAATTTGCAAGTTATCTTCTGTGTATTCCTATTCAGTTTACTCTTTTATTGCATCTTTGTCTTAGAGCACAGGTTCTTTGAAATCACCAAAGTCATAGATCTCCTTAATCTTTATTGATGCTTTCAATTTCTTAGGAACCCAATTCTCTTAGATAAATCTGTTTACAGGTACAAAGAGATATTTAGGGAAAGTCTTAAAGTATTCTTTTTTGATAAATAATTAAAGTGACTAACATTGAGGACAGAAGATGTCTACACGTTCTCCTTCTTTCAGTAGTTCCAGACATCTTTCAAATGTTGTATCATACTCAGGCAGATCTTTCAATGAGAATGGTTTAATTTCTTATGGATTCGTTGATTTCATTCTCTCCTCATATTTCTATTTCTGTTGTGTGCGATAAAGATCAATTTAATCTTAAGTAGGTAATTCAACAGGTAACTTAAATTCTTAATTTTTAACTAAATTAACTTTATGTCCTCCACAATTCACACATTCTAGAATGGTAGTCTAATCAAATGAGAAGATCGAAGATAATTATGGTAATTAAAATTGTTTTTCTGTTTTCTGAAAGAATGAATTTAATAATTGCCAATATTCCTATGCATCTTATTAATGATTAAAGAGGAAATTTTAATTTCCTTTTGCTACTAACTGCTTGAAATCGTATAGTTTGATTCCATCCTAATAGAAATTTCCTAAGGCTCCTTGTAAACCCTTTGATACTTTCTTTATTGAGAAATCACCACTATTAAGACCATGATTGACCTTACATATTTGACATAATACACAATTGTACGGCATACTTGTGCAATTGAATTAATGTTCTAAAGAGTAGAGTTATTTAAATTCAGGTATACTAAAAAATACTTAGATAACTGAATTCATATAACATGTATTTCCGATATTGTCAATTCCTGTGTATTCAGGTCCAAAAATAGGATCTAACACTGTGCCCTCTTCTATCAATTTGCTCAATTGAATTACTAAATTGGCATCCAAAGTTAATTCAGCCATAGTTTTCTCAGTTTTCACTTATTTTTCTATTTCAATCCCGTAAGTAGCAAGATGTTCTTTGAGAAGGTTATCTACCACCTCATCATCACATTTGTAGCAAAATACATCTGCTTAACCATCTGATGTAATAGTTCCCAATTTGACAACCACATGATGTTAAAGTTCATCAGAATGATCTACTGCATGATTATTTCCTCCTGATCCATCAAAAATCTTTCTACCACAACCAACATGTCCACACTCTAAACATAACCATAAATTGTTAGACATACGACATCGTCTACATTTCTATAGATTTTTTACAGTTAACGGCCTCTATTATATTGTTATAGTATGCTCACATGGTTATATTTTGTATTCATTGATTGGTAATCGCTATAAAGTAGTATTAGCTTATTTAATAATAGATTAAACTAACGCATCCAACCAAGGAGAATTCAATAGTTTTTGACATTTCAAACATATCACACTTGTTTCAGTCTCTAACTATGGAATATCTTCTTTAAGTTATTTAGTAATTTCATCCAAACTCTATTTTTGCTATTCAATCTCATATAATCTGATGTTCAAAACAATGTAATGATTATGCTAATAACTGTGTTGAGGACTGTGTATTTCAATACAAGCTCCATTAAAACATTTCAAACACACCTATATGCCATTGTCACTCTTTGCTTCTACAAAACAACGAGTGCATTAATTCTTGTGTATCATTTATCCCTCGATTTACCATGTGATGTGTTATTCATTGATGTGTTCGCATGTACTAGTCATTCCTATTTTAATTAAATAATTAATTAGTCATTGTCATTGGGATTAATAAATAACTTTATTTGAACTTAAAATAAATATAATTAAATTGAATGAATAATTTTAAATTTGATTTTAATGTCTTTCGAAAGAATGAGACAGAGCTTCAAATCATTCCTGGGCTTAAATGCTAGTCCATAAATTGATTAATCATCTTAGGTATCCATTCCTCAGGAACTTAAATCTTCAAACTCATAATGCATCATCAAAAACAAATTTGTTCAAATTGAAAAAAAGCAAGAACGCCTCAATCCCTATAAGAAATCCCTTATCCGCTTAAACGAATATTATAAAACCATAGTAAAAGGGACTGACTTCTCTAAATGTCCAACCATCCAATATTAAATTAATGAAGATGAAGTAATTTTGCATTCTATCATCTTTTAAGAAACCTGCAATCGATCACAAAATATGCAACCCAAGATGGAGGAGAGACGATTAATCTCAAGATTGCTCCTCTTACAGATGGAGTTCCATAAATGATTTCCCTAATCCCACTATTTATAAAATTTCATCCAAACCAACTAAAAATTTAGTTTATGATCCCTAAATGCTCTCCTAATCAAGGGAAAAGCAAGCATCAATCAACTTTCAAAAAAAATAGTTTCTCTCCTACTTGGATGATAAACCTATTAGTGTAATTAATGACAACCCCCTAATGGAAGAGAAAAAAAAGAAGTCATCTTAAATCTCAATTCGAAGAGCTGAGAGTTTCCTCTTCGACGATCAAGAAGAACCCATTTTTCAAAAAGGAAGATAGGCTGTCTAAAAACAAGAAAACTCTACAAAACCAAATGATGAGGACAACCAGAGTGCTTCTGAATCAATAGTAATCAAAAAATAGCCATTATCTAAATTTTGTCAAATTAAAAAATAAGAATTTGAATTTAATCCTAAAATTGAAACACCCATTTAAATATTAAACAAAGAAGAACAATAAAAAACACAAATTCAACAACAAGAAAATGTAATTAAACCTCCTGATGAATAAATACAACAATAACAAACACCTATTTCATAGAAGTAAGAACAACCTTTAGAAGTTAAACAAGAACCCGTTCTTCAATAGAAAATAGATCCACTACCACAACCAATACCGTAACAATCTGTGATTGAAGTTAATCCCTTCACTTCCAATATTGAAAGTCCTCTGTTTAGTGCACCTTGGTTAACAAATCAACCACCTATTCAACCTTAAAATTAATCGACATTTAATCTATTTCAATCACAACCAATTTAAAATCAATATCAGGCCCCATTCATTCCATAATAACCATAATAGGCTGTCTTCCCATTCCAAAATTAGACATAACCATAGCCAAATGTGTTTACTAATGAAAACTTTTTCTCTTAGTAAATTTAACCATCCTCAAGTCCTTTTATGAATAACTAAATGAGTTAGAATGTTTTCAATCAAACCAACTCATTCTAAACTCAATCACCATTTACCTAAAATCAACCCTTTCAATAAAGTTAATCGTATTCTAACGATTTATTTGGATTGAATCAATCAAAAACTATGAGTAACAACAACGCTTTCTTATTTTAAACTAACTCTTTGGGCGGAGGCTCGTTTTCAGCCGATGATCAAAATAAACCACGCACCATTGATCTATTTTCAGCTCAACCTGCTCAGAATTCATAAACATCAATGATGACTAGTCAAGCACCTGTTAATTTGTTTGCTCTAGATCAAAATAGTCAAGCATAACCACAAATAAATAAAGAATCTGATAGATATAAAAACAAATTTAAATAAAATACTGTTAAATATAATACTGCTGCATAAAGAATGGAATGAATAATTAAATATTTTTCATATAGGATAAAATAATTGCTTTGAGAACATAAAACTACTCAGAGTAGACTATATAAGTATTACAAATTGAGTTTAATTAATTAAATTTGATTTTTTTCCTAATCCACACATTCTATCTTCTTTTATATTTTCTCAATCTGTTAAATTGCCTTCAACACATCATTTGCTAATAGAAATCTTCAATATAAATTATCTGACATAACTTACCGATGTACTCAACAATTCTTTCACTTTTGCAACTTAATTCTTTTGAATTGTTATAAATAACTTGATAGATTTAGGATTGAGCAACTTATCTTTTAATAACTGTCCATATAATATGAGGTTACCATTTACTTTTTGTTCTCCATTAGTTATATTTATTAATAATGGAAAAACAATACAAAATAATCTAGCAACAGAAATTAGGACATTATTGTTAATGACCCTAATAATGTATCTTGAAATCATACTTATTTAATAATTAAATATAATGTAAAACAAGTAAATTTATTCTAAGAACAAAATGAGATAAATTCTAAGAAAATAATGATCAACTGAATACAATCAAAAGTTAACTAAAGAATTAAATATCAGTTTAAAAATCAACAAATTATTACTCATTGTTAAGAAGAGAATTGCTGGTGAAAATTTAGTAATAATTTTAATAATATAAATATATTTAATTCAGGAAGGTAACTTATTACTTGTAACAGCCTTTACTGTAGCCTTGATTTCAGCTTTTACTTCTGCAATTACTTCAGCTTTTATTTCAGCTTTTAATTCCCCATGCTTACATAATATGCTAAAAATTAATTTTATTTTAGGATAAAGTTGCTTTGCAAATACTATTCCAAGGCACATTATCAAAAAATTCATTTGAATAAAGCCTAAAGTCACTTTGCTATCATACTAAATAGAGAACAAACTAAAATCAAAATATAAGAATAAGCTTAAACTAAATACTGTTAAAACTCCTTCAATTGTTAATAGTATAATCCTATCGAATTTGGAACATATTTTATATTAGTAAATTAAATAAAATTGGCTTACATTGCTGAAAGAAATCAATAGCCATTGCAAAATTTATTAACTTTAGAATTTTATCAATACGATGTGGAAAAACATCGTTCTGGAAATATCTAAAGCAATGAATTTTACTTACTAATTTCCTTTATTATTTTAATCCTTAGGATTACTACAAATACTAAAGGACTTTAATAACAAGCAAATACACATCAAAAATATTGAAGTTGCAAAAATAGTAGTTAAAATACTTCTCAAATTGTCAATTCGATTATAATAAAGTTATAAAATAACTTTAAAAATCAAATCCCATGAGTTAACATAAATGGGTTGTAGTATTTTATGATAATTTTATAGATATCTTAATTTCGTTAATTAATTGACGTGATTTTAGAAATTAAGTAATAAATTAATTATTGCCATTAAAACCTTTGATTCTATGGTTGTTTGATATTCAAGACTTTTCATGTATTTGCCTAATTTAAAGAACAAAACAAAGAGACTTCTGGCAAAATACAGTAGTGGTACCAATGCTACAATTTAAATGAATTGAGGTAAAAAATTAGTAAAAAGATCAGCCTCTACATTATATTATTAAAATTTTCCACTTAGATTAACCTATTTTTCTTTTCTTGTTATTATATTTAAATAATCATCAAATTGAAAATATTATATATAAGATGTTATAGATAGCAACTCCTATGCTTAAAAATAAATTTAGAGATTTTCAGGATAATCTACATTAATAAATCGTAAGAATGATTAATATTATAACAGATTCAGTGTCTCAATAACAAAGGAACTTTAACTAGAAATTAAAGAAACTCCACATATGGTTATTGCTCCAATCATAAAGGCTTTGTTGGATGATGAAGCCAAATTAGATATCTATTTTGATGATTCAGACATTATTTTTGGTAGCTATAGAGTAATTGACTCACTAGGATTAAGAATTGATTAATTATTTGAGTTAACAAAGTCTTGATTCAACTCAACTAAGAGAACAGGATTTTTTGAAAGCTGTTAAAATATTTCAATCTCAACCTAATACTAAGCATATTAAAGATCGAACGAAATATCTTAAATTGGATTTATAGTAATGTTATAATACTAGGAATCTAAATCTTAGAGGGAAATATTAAATAGTGTTTGGTCTTTTAAAATATTATCCTGAATTTTTACTTCTTAGTCAAATGTAATATCAACATATTATAGAGCATATAATTATTTAATGTAAGTCAGTTACATGATGGCTTTTTTAGAATATACACATTAATCTCCTCGGCATATTTTATTTTCTTTCCATAAACTCTATTCTAATTTTGTACTATCAGTACTTGTACCATTATTTTAATTTTCTATTATTATGTTAGGATCGAGATCGTCATCTTTAGGCTCTTCTATAATGCTAGAATTAAGATTATCATTTGATTTATCTAACAAGCATTGATAATTATTTAATTAATAATCTGTTTTGCATTTAATGCATACTCTATCTAAACATTCCTCACAATCTTTTGAGCATTAAAATTTGCATTCATAACATCCATCATCAGGTAGATTATTGAAATCTTCACAATCTTCATTACCTGCCACAATTTCGTCTCCACAGAATGGTAAACAATCATTACTATCATTATCATAATACAATCCAATTAAACCTTCACATTACTTAATCTCTTCACACTTACTTTTTAATAGTATTAGAGGAAGTTCACATAACATGCATTTTCCCAATTAGCAATCCAAACACTCATCTTGACATTTATATTAACACTAAACACAACCATCATATCCTAATTCATTGCCAATATCACAAGCTTCATCATTCGCTAATATACTATCACCACAAACAGAAGTACATTAATTATTCAAATTATTCAAATAAAATCCTACTAAGCATTGATAACAAACACCATAAACGCAAGACATACAATATTGAGGACATTAGAAGCTACAATTTAAACAAGTATCTATTTCTTATTCACTTCCAAAATCGCAATCTTCCTCCTATGCTATTATGCCATCTCCACATAATGAAACACAAGAATAATTTTCATCCAAATAATAGCCTCTTTAACAATTGAGACAATTGTTTTCATTACAAGACTCACAGTAATCAAAACATTAACTGCAATATAACTCTGGAGATAATCTAAGATGATATTGGCAAAAACTTAATGGTGCTGCTTTTAACTTGCAATTTTACTCACCTTTTTCAAAGTAGGCATAACCTTTACACTAAACACAACTATCCTCAATTTAGATATTACAGTTTTCAATTATTATAGGATTCTATTATATTGATTTAACACAATGCCATTTATTCGAAGATAGTTAATATCCATCTTTGCATTGTTAACAAATACCAAATTAACACGAGAGGCAATTCAAATCACAAGTAAATTTACAAGATTAGCAATTTTGATAAGTTTCCAATGAAGTTACTATATCACATTGTTCATTATATTTTTAAACACCATCTCCACATATTGAGTAACACTTAGATTGTATTAATTGATAACCTTCTTAGCAGTAATTACAGATTCCTTTAAGACAATAAAGGCATGAATCCTAGCAACTAAATTTACAGAAATGACATCCATCTCCAATAATTAAATTACCATCATCACATTCTTCATCTTAGGTTACTATTTCATCTCCACAGATTGAATAACATAAATAATCAATACGTGTGTAACCAGTTTAGCATGCTAGACAGCCAAGCCCAGAATTATCACACGTTAGACAAGAATTTTGACATTTGGCTAAGCAATTTTAACAACCTTTGTATGGGAGTATAAATGTTAGCTCACATTATTCAAATTCTACAATCTGCAAATCCCCACAAATCGGTATGCATATTTTTTGACTCGAAAGAGTGTATCCAACAGCACATGCTTCACATTTATAATCAATGCAATTAGTGCAAATAGATGAGTTTTAACACTAAAATTCACAGGTACTACTGCAACCATCATAATTAATAGTATTTCCATCATCGCATTACTCTGTAAAAAACCCAGAAGGATCAATTGCGACTATGCCATCTCCGCATATATTTTTACAATAGTAAGAATAAGGAACTAAGCCAGACAAATTACAATTTAAGCATGTGTTAGTTGAATAATCACAAGAAGAACAACCAAGTCTACAGAAATACATACAATCTTTGCAACCATCTGTATCAGAAGAGTTTCCGTCATCACATTATTCACTTCCAACTAATATCATATCTCCACAAATTTGTTTGCATTACCAAGGAGTTACTGTAGTATCAACTTGCCAACCACCAGTTGCACACTCAAAACATTATCCTTATATGCACTTTGTACATTAAGGTTAACATTAATATTTACAATTAAAACATCCATCATATTCAGTAATATTTCCATCTTCACATTCTTCGATTCCTGATATAATTCCATCTCCACAAATATCAGGACAAGGCAGGGTTGTAGATTAATTACAAGTTAAACAATGAGCTTGACATTGATATTAACAATTATAACATAAATCATTAAGGTTTGTATTATTATCTTCGCATTATTCATATCCTTTTATTAATGAATCTCCACAAATGGGTTGACATTACCCTGATACTAATTAAAATCCAGAATCGCAAGAACTACAATTAATAGTTTGCCATATATATTGATTGTTTTAGCAAAGTTTATAACATTAACTTAGAGATGTCTATTCTGCAACAGGGCAATCTATAATATGATTATTAAATATACTTGTACAAATATTATTTAATTCATAATAACCAGGTGAACATACACATTCTAATCCTTTTAATATTCTATGTAAAGTAGGATTGCATGTTAAACAGCCATTATATGTGGATCCAAAACATGTTTCGCATGATGAATGGCAAGAAGAACAACTATTTGTTGCATCTTAATAAGAAAATCCCGCTTGACATCTACAAATAGATCCTACTTGTTCAATATTAACAATATTATTGCAAGTTAAGCACTCAGAAGATGTTGGCCCAGTACAAGTTTTACAAAATGAATGACATTTCTAACATTAAGGATTATATGAAATATGATAATACCCATCAATGCAATTGCATTAACCATTTGATAATTTTCTATTATTAGAAATTAAACATTCTATACATTCAGTAGGAGTTACACATTAATTGCATTCAATTGGACAATCAAAACATTGATTTGAATCTTCATATTGATTCATTCTGCAAATGCATCCTAATTTAGATTAGGTATAAGTCGGTTTGCATGTTTAACAATCTAATTTAGATGTACATGTTAAACAGGATTATGGACATTCTAAGCATCTTACAGATTCTTTATCATGATATTGGTTAATCAAACAGTCTGCTTAAGAAAATTTAACGATATTAGAATCATAAGTGCTGTTCCATTAAGTGCATGTAGATTAATCTGAACATTATAAACAATAAGGTTAGCAATTATGAACGGCAATATAATAATTATAGACTCCACAAAATGCATCTATTGGTTCATTATTTGGTCCAAAGCATTCCCAAGTGATTGTTAATGTACTTGCATTATGATTGAGTTTTTCATATACTTTGTCGTATTTTGCATCATAATAAGTTGAATAAAAAATTGCAGTTGATTTAATAACTGGTACATTATTCTCAATTGTATATATAAATTGTCCATCTTAAGGGAAATATGGCCCATATAAAATATAAAATGCTATTGTGACACTATGATGAGGAGATGGAATTGTAAAAACCCTTTAGAATTTTGCTTATGCCCATACATAAGGTCCTCCAAAGAGTCTTTAATATTTATAAAATGAAAAATAGATATCCGATCCTTTCAAAAAGTTTTATCCAATTTGAGAAATTAAAGTATACTTTGAATATTATTCAGGGTCACCAGCAGCATTTATATTTTCCTTAATCAAATATGAGGAGTCTAATTATTATTTATGTAATACAAGGTGTTTCGTCATCGTAATCATAACAATAAGAGCCAGCCAGTCTTTAATAAGGATTTTAGCAACTAGATGTACAACTACCATCGCGATAAAAATAGTATCCACTTTAACAAGTTATACATTTAAACGATACTTCACACAATTAGCACAAATTAGAACAATATCCTGACGTTACTTAGACTCCATACATTCCCCATCCTGCTGTGTCAACACTAAGTTAGATAAATTAATAATTACGTGTAATTTCCTACAACTGAAAATACAAATGAGTATTTAGGAATGTCAACATATGTAATAATTTAATACAAATTACTCGAGGAATACGAAAGGTATGATCCAGAGCCAGTAATTTGAGATATTTTGACTCTATGGGTTTGAATTCCAGAAGCATTCCTATAAATAGATCCATAATAAGTATTATTAATCTTAAACTATATTCCACAATTAAGTGGAATTTCATTATAAGTCATGATTGTAATTACCAGCCCAACCAAATAAGTCTAATAAGAATATTTAGGTAAACCATCCATATATCTATTGATACCAGAATTAAACCTAAATACTCCATATACATATTAATAATTTAAAGTATAATTTGTCTCTAGATGCTGTGGGTCATATATAATTTACCATCTCAAAGCCTGTATCTAATTGCTCGAATAAGCAGATTCTATTGTAGAAACTAAGACATATTAAATAAAATTATACTTGGATATTGTTAACAAAATCCATTTTTTAAAAATGGAGAATCAATTTAACAAATGTTATAGCATCCTTAGTACTTCCAATAGAACTAATTTAATCCACAAGGTGGACAAATGTTATTTGTCGGTACTCCATAATAGCAACTTGAACATTGATTATAATTAGGACCTGTGCACAACTTACACGATGGATAGCATTGTATTTTGGAGAAATACAAGTTTCTAAATGATACTTGTCCAGAATTTGTATTATAGGATTTAATTTAAAAATTTTCTTGAATGGTTGTTCCTGTAACAGTATATGTAAAATTCACAGTTTTAACTTCATAAGAATAACTATCACAAAATCCCCCTGTTAATGGATAAGTGGATGGGGAAGTATAGGTATATATGTAAGAAAATGATCCAAACTTAAATTCAATATTTGAAGAGGGCCATGTACTCTGAAAATATAAATCCATAGATATCCAATTCTCACCTTACAAACTAAAAGAATTAAAATATTCAGCACTTAAATATAGATTATTTAAAGTAATATAGCTTGTTTAAGGGGTCGTACAACTGATAAAATTTGCTGTTGTTTAGCTTGAAGGCAATAAAAATCCTCCGGATTTGTAAGGTGCCAATCCCCCCGAGTTTTGAGTAAATTCCTAATCAAAATATAAAAAACAGACAAAGGCTGTCCATTGTGATTTTACATATACAAACTATGAAAATATGATAGTAAGAATTTAAATAAACATAAATAAATATAAAAAATGAGTAAAGAATTAATTAAATTTATAATTCAAATAAATAGAACTTGCTAATCTAATAATTAAAAAATTGTTGATAATCCTGAATATTTTCGATGGCAAAGCAATAAAGACATATAAGATCGAAAAATTATTAGATTCTACCAGTATCATAAAATACTAAAATATATTGTTGTAAAATTAAGTAAAGTTCTAAAAGGATTAGACAATAAACTATTTTCTTCATTTATATTGAATAATCAATGATCAATAAATGATAATATTGCACTAGAGAGTCTATACTCACAAACATTTTTTATGTGAGTTGCATTCTCGCACAACCGAATTGAGGACTCACTGTTTCCCAAATTTAGCATTTCTGCAAATGAAGGCCATTCTTACACTTTTCCCCTCTACAAGGCTATTGTTGATCAGTTAGTAGCCGTGTTTAAAATACTTCATCTTTTAAGTAAGATCTGGCATTCTTTATAGCCTTTATGATTGAGTTGATAATTACAATCAACAACCAATCTGACAATCTTCGTAATTGAAAAATAAACTAAATTATATTGATGTAAAATAGGATACCTTAAAAATGTCATAAATCAAAATTTAAGATTTTTTGAACAGAAATGACTTAAAATTGAGGAAATTCATATTTGTTTAGAATTATCCTCTTTATGTTTGATAATGGAATTTTCTATAAATATTTTAATAAATTAAATTTAATGAGTTTCTAAAGTCAATAGTTAACTAAATTACAGAATTTTCATGTTTGACCCAAATCATCTAAGGATCATTCTATTTCTTTGATGGATAGCAAAATCACTCTCATACTAACTCTATATATTGAGTAAAAAATAAACATAATTTAAAGATAATTGGATAATAGTTTGTCCAATAGAGGATATCAAAATAGAAAATGGCAATTTGCAGCCTTGATTAAAATTAATCAATTCTTTATATGTTTTCATCTTATCAATTGTAAAATAAACAGGTATAAAGACTAGATCAAATAAGAGAAGACAAAATCCAGGAATATTGCCTAAAATCAAATAGCGAAAAGAACAAATCATGGATTATATTATACTATATAATACGATATATATAAAAACCTTAAATTTTGTAACAAAAGAAGGTCTTACTACTCTCAATAATATAACGTCATAAGAAGTGCTATGATTTTTAAAGTGAAAGAATTGGTAATTGAGACTTAAAGTTCATTTGAGATATCATTAATTTATTGTTTTCATCATTAATCCAACAATTTTAATTGTTTAATAACATTTCGGATAATCCACCATTTATATTTATTTACATATATATATCAATCGATTTCATCAAGTTGAGTTGATTATCCAAAATTTCCTATTGTATTAATCTCCACTTATTCACTTCCATGTTCACTAGCTCCATCTACACTCTTTTAATCTCCATCTATACTTCTGTGTTCACTTTGTCCATCAGCAATTCTTGAAGTATTTTCAGATTGATTATCTGATTGCTTATCAGAGTGTTTCTCTGATTAGTGTTCTGAATGTTAAGCGGATTATTGAGCAGATGATCTAACATCACTAGCATTTGATTAAGTATTATAAGTTGATAGATGTGAAGGTTCTTCGTTATCTGATCCATTATCTACTTATTATTATTCTTCTTATTGTTATTGTTGTTATTATTCTTGCTATTATTATTATTCTTCTCTATATCTACGAATCATGTCTTTAAAATTTTGATGTTGTCTCATATGTTCTTCCTCTTGCTCCTTCTTATACTTCTGTCTTTCCTCTCTCTCCATATCTAGGCCTCCTTTTGCAAAGGCCTCAGCAAATCCTAAATTTGTTATTACTGTAGATCTTACTTCTTTCATCATCAAAGACAGGCCTGTCATCCAAATACTTTAAGGTCTTAATTCTACTGATGAGGGTTTTTCGATAATGTTGGATTTACTTTCCGGCTGTATTGTTCTAGAAATACAGGACTGCTAATTGAGGTATTTTTAAAAATATTTCGTCTAAAACATTTGGGTCATCTATTTTATTATCTGATACATCCAACACTGATAAATTCGGTAAGCAAAGTAATCCTTCCAAATCACTAAGTCCATTCAACCCAATCCTATTTCTTTTTATTTGAAGAGTCTGCAATTTTTAGCATTATTCCAACCTATAAAAAATATAAAACTGCTATTCATACCCCTCAATCTTGCTTATCATATTGTCACTGAGATTTAGATTAATTAACTCTGTTAGCATGTGCAAGTTTTCCATTTTTCTAATAATGTTCTCCTATAAATATAAGCATTTCAGAGAAGTCAAACTATCCAGTCCTACGATAATTTAATCAACATACCTTCAATGTTTTGGAGACCATTTCCCTCCAAGTAAATGACTTTTAATCCTGTGAACTCTTCAAGATTCTCAATCTTTTCAAAGCCTTTGTAATGCAAGTAAAGACAATCATTTAGCTCTGGAGTGGTGTAATAGAGTTTGAATTCTTTTCTTAAAAGCTTTTTCAAGTATTCCTTGGTAATTCTTCTCTCCTCCTGTTACATTATTTAATAATAATAATATTTATATGGTTATTGTGTGGCTTTAACAAAATTAATAAATACTGAAACGACGAAAACCGAGTGAATACTCATATAATTGAAAATTAGTTTATTATTAATAAAATTAGTTCATATTTATAGATCAGGCATTTGATTTTGAAATATAAGAAATTAAATTATTTTCTTATAAATGGGCGACAAGAAAATCAAAATAGATGAGTACAAGGAGATTCGTTTAGGAGGATTTCAAGCAAGATCGCACAATTGGTGGGAGGAAGCCAATCCTGAAGAATCTGAGGAGGAGGAACAATAGGGTCAAGAATGGAGGTATTTGGAACATCATGGAGTTTTGTTTCCTCCATTTTATAAGAGACACAATGTGGGTTTGATTTACAATGGGAAATTGATAACCCTCACTGAGGAGTAGGAAGAACTTTGCACATATTGGGCATAATCGATTGGATCTCCATATGAGAATAAGGAAATTTACAGGAAGAATTTTGAATCGCTTATGCAGACAAAATTTGAAGGGTTTTAATTGGATAAGGCTGATTTCACAAAGATAAAGGAATATTTGGAATAGCAAAGATTATTGAGATTGAATAAATCTGATGAATAAAAAAAGCAGGAGAAATTAGAAAGAGATCAAAGGGAATTGTTTTATGGGTATGCTTTGGTGGATGGTTGTTTGGAAAGAGTCGGCAATTACACACTGGAATAGCCCACTTTATTCAAGGGACGTGGAGAACATCCTAAGGCTGGATTGCTGAAAGCCAGGATATTTCCAGAAGAATTAACAGTGAATCTAAGTACATAGGCTCCAGTGCCATAATGTAAATTGCCTGGTCATTCTTGGGGCAAGATAGTGCATAGAAATGATGTTACTTGGCTGTTTTCTTATGTGGATTCCAGTATCAGAAAAGACAATCATAAGTATGTTCAATTTGCTGCCACTTCAAGATTTAAGTAGATGAACGATAAGAGGAAGTATGAGAAGGCAAGGAGGTTGAAGAATTGCATTGATCAAATTAGAGAGAATTACACAAAGAAACTACAATCGGATTCAATTAAAGAAAGATAATTAGGAACGGCAACCTATTTGATAGATAAATTGGCATTGAGAGTTGGAAATGAGAAGGATGAAGACGAAGCAGACACAGTTGGTTGTTGCAGTCTAAGAGTAGAACATATCAAATTAAAGGAGGATGATGTAGTAGCCTTTGATTTCTTGGGTAAAGACTCCATGAGATACAATAATGAGGTTAAATTAGCACATTAGATTTGGAAGAATCTCAAGTTGTTCATCAAAGGAAAACAACCAGAAGACAACTTGTTTAGTGATATAAGTGTGGATGATTTGAATGATTTCTTGAAAAAGTAAATGGAAGGACTAACGGCTAAGGTCTTTAGAACTTATAATGCAAGTTTTACACTCCAATAACAACTAGATTTAGGTGGCACATTAGATGGCCATTCTGTTTAATAAAAGGTATAGTTTTCTTATATATATCAAGGTTGATTTCTATGATAATGCCAATAAGCAGGTAGCTATTTTATGTAATCATCAAAAAACTATATCTAAATAATTTGAATTAACTAAAAAGAAAATCAATACAAAATTAGAATGCATGAAAACATACATCCAAGAATTGGAATAGCATTATAAGAAGAAGAATCCTAATGAATATGAGGAAGAAGTTTAATTAGAGGAAGGATCTCAGAAGAAGAACAGTATCTTTATCAAGAAGTTCCCAGGACAACATGATAAGATCAAATAAACGATATAGAAGACCCAGGAGAAATATTAGAAGGAGTTGAAAGGGTTGGAGAAGAAGGAAGAAAATAAGGAAATAGCTTTGGGAACATCCAAAACCAATTACAACGATCCTAGAATCAGTGTTGCCTTTTGTAAGGTGCATGATGTGCCTATAGAAAGAGTGTTTTCAAAAACTCTAAGAAATAAATTCATTTGGGCTATGGCTACAGATTCTAATTGGAAATTTTGATTATGATATAACAGTCCCATTTAGTATTATGCGCATAGTTTATAATTTTAAATAATTATACTCCATTATATATGAATATGAGATATATATTGGAATAAATAAAAATAAATGATAAATTTATCTGACAGAGAGAAGGAGTTGATTGATGAAATATGTGCTAAAAATGCTAAGTCAAATAAAAAGAGTAATCCATAATAGGGGAGTCAAAAATTAGTCAGTCAATCAAGTACCAAGATTTTAGTGTCTAGATTGGAACGTAAATTGAATGAAGTATTTCATAATGCAAATATAGACACTAAAAGAAGTCGATGAATAAAATAGTGGTCAAATTAATTTCTAACAACTAGGACGATTATTTACATTGTTAGACATATTCCAAGCTATCTCGTACAATCAAGATTATCAGTTAGAGGCACAAGGTCTTAACAATCCTATGCAAAAGTAACACCAAATCTATAAGGTAGACAATAAGAAGTAGATTTGCATGAGAAAGCATTTGCAATTATTTCTAACGATGGAGAGCAGGCTGACATACAAGCAGCCTTTTGTCTATTTAGAATCATCTTGGATCCCAATTAATTGGAACCATCTAAATGCGCTATTTTAATCAAAGAATATTTAGAGAAGATTTCTGACAAAGAATTCGATTATGAAGCAATCTCAAGATTTTGCTCTGAATTCTAAGCTTATCAAAAGACTCGCTTATCAGGAGCTAAAATAGGCTATTTGAAAGCATCTCTTGCCTCAAATCTCATTGAAACCTATGAAAAGACTTTGACATTCAAGCCAGCAATCAATCCTATAAGTGAAGCATTGCAATAATAATCAGGCAAGAAGGAAAACCAAGAATCATCATCCCAATTTTCATCAGGACTTGCTGAAAGTAGAGTCAATGAACTATATAAAAAAAAGGAATAATCCAATCAAAAGATTGAATTTCTAAAATAGGAAAAACTTCTTAAGGATATGCAGGAGTGCACATTTAAACCATAAATTATCTCAAAAAAAGAGTTACCGAATGTTATCGACAGGTTGTATTAAGTGAAGAATAGATAGGAAATAGAAGAGAGAGCTAAATTGGCTGAACAAGAGAAGGAAGAGTCAGAATATAGCAAATGTTCTTTCCATCCTCAAATTAATTACTCTATGCCTGAATCACAATAGAATGGAGTAGGTGGCTATTGGGAAGCCATAGAGCGAATCAGAAGGGCTAATGACTAAAAACATTTGAAAGATCTGAAATTGAGTCATAAACCCAGTGGAGAGAACTATGAGAAAGTAAAGAATCAACCATTCTCACCTCCAGAAATGCTGTAGAGAAGATAATTCAAAAAAGAATTGCCAATCCTCTATATTGATATTAAATTGGGTCCTAGAAAGGTGGGTAGGTTAGCCTTGAGGAAGAATGACGACGTTGAAGAAGTAGTTTAATCATTCTGTAAGGTTTGGGGAGTTGGGCCATAAGATTATGAATTATTAGTCAATCAAGTTAAGGAAAATCTTCAGAAGTAATTATTTATTATATCTTTCTAGTGTCATTCAAGAAACAGATGAGTCATAAATTTGACTATGAATATGTATACTTATTTAAATTAATATATATATCAGATTGAATTTTTCACAATATTGCATTTTAACTTGATTGTAACTAAGGACCCCAAAATCCAAAGTAAAAGGCTGTATTAGGTTGGTTCCTAACTTCATCGGCTTATGGTTGATTTTAAAGTTATATTTCTTCATTTTAAATAGGTTCTTATTGGTTGTTATTTTATTCTAAATACTGATTTGATTAATTCTGATTCTATTATATGGAAGGAACTTGATCCTCATTTACTTCTTATGGTTATTAAATCTCTTATGTTTATTAGGGATCCTATTGTTATTGTTATTGATTTGGTTAGACATAAGGGTTGTTTACTTGATTCTATGGTAGACTTTATTGAAAATATGGATTGGGCGGTTGATTATTATACTATTATGGTTATTGCATTCTAGGTTGAGTGAAATTTGGTTGAGTTTATTGTTAATACCCAGGATGATAACTAACAGGTGTACCAAATTAAGGTATATTCTGGAAGTTCTACTGCGGTATTTGTTAAAATTATTGATTTCCTTAAGGATTCTACTAATATTATTGATAGCGTTAAGGAGGCTGCTAATACTGTAATTTTATAAGTGTTTAATAGTATTGTTACTGTGGTGTCCTATTATTGGGCTAACCTATTGGAGAAACCTAAGATTGATTTTACGGAATGGTCCAAGTTGGGTTTCCATAAGATTATTATAGCAACTGTGGTTATTGTACAAAGATAATGCTTGGATCATTAGGATCTACAAAGGCTTAACTCTAGGTTCTTGCAAAGTTTTCCATCATACGAGCATCAGGGACTCGTTATCCAGAACTTCGAGATTTTCTGATTTATATTAACACAGAAAAAAGTATCCTTAGAAACTTATCACATCCTAATGTGTTAAATCATTCCTACCTCCTGCTTTGAATCGTAATTTAAAATGAGTTCTTCCTGGTAGTAGACTATATAAGGGAGCCACATCCCCTTCTAAAAAATTACTACCAAGTATTGGTTGCCGAAACTTCTCAGCACTCAAATAAGCCAAAGGGATATCAAAAGACTTAAAAGAATCTCTTTAGAAGTTGTCATTCACAAAAACCATTCTACATGTTGTGATATAGACCTAAATTTAAGCAATTATCTACTTTTCCTGAAGCTTTAAACTTGCCCATAGGTTCAATCTTAAATTATCCTTCCATTTCTTTCCTATACAATATAAAGAACTCTTGATCCACTCTTAATGGAACCCCAGTCTAAGTTATTGGTGGATTTAAAGCCATATATTTGATTATTGATTATTATTATATATATTTAAATAATTTCTTTTCCATTTAAAATTAATAATTATAGTGAATTATTTTTAAATTAATTGAAATCGAATAATTATTCAAACCATTATATTTTAACCCAAAAAATTAATAAATACACTAGAATTTTAAAGTAATTTATATATATATATATTAAGATATTAATTGATAGACATTAGACTTTGATATTGTTTTATATAATATATTTATTATTGTACTAAGCATCAACGATTTGTTTTAGCTACCTTTTCAAGTTCATCTCTCTTCTTAATGGTGTATGACTTTTATCCATCTTCATTGGCTGCTGCAATCAGCTCATCAGCAAGGGCTTCTGCAATAGTCTTCATTTTCTTGAAAACTGAATCTCTTACACCCTTTGCTAGATTATGGACTGCCTAATTGAAGCATATTTGGCATAATTACTTCATTGACTCTTCTGATTGGAGCAACATCAACAGCTTATTATTTAGCTACACCACCTGTGCCCACTTTTGTGAAGTCTTCTCTGGCTCCACCTCTTTGCACGGCCAATGACAAGACGGCAAGTGGATTCTTACCAGTCAACAAGTGAACAATCTCAAATGCATGTCTGATGATGGCCACAGCCTTTACTTTTTTACCTGTATTACGTCCATGGAACATAAGTGCACCAGCCAATCTTTCAACAATAGGGCATTATGCTTTTCTAAACTTCTTTCGTTGATATCTATTTTAGAATTGAAAGAGATACCTTCCAGCAGTGTGGGGAACAAAGACTCTGGATTTTGAGGTTTAGACTGCAATGTAGTCTTTGAAACATTAGTCTGTCACTTGAACTTCATCGTAATCCCATTTGCCAAATAATTTAGGTTGATTAGCAAATTTCACAGTCGCTACTTATTCTTCTGCCATTTTAAAAATAAGGATTTATTTTTAATTTAAAATTCCTTATACTACAGACATCCTACAACATGAAAGATAAAACATATATAAATATAATTCAATAATACTGTCAAGCAGGTAATTGAGCCAATTATTTAAGTCTATCTTGTAAATTTTTGACTGATTGCTACAATTCATCAATCTCCAGATTTTACTTTTTGTCTAGATCATCATTTTGTCTCATAGAATCCTACATAGAAGCAGCCGTTTTCTACGACTCTTCCAATCTAGCTTCAATGTTCTTGATTTCATTGTTAATCTTAAGATTTGAATCCTCTAAGTCCCCTTCTAATTTTGAATTTTTTTAATCAATCATCTTGAGTTCCTCTTGTAATTATTGAAAATTAGTATTGATAGCATCTACTCGTTCTCCAATAGTTATTGTCTTATCATTCACAGATTCAACACTTTAGGTGAGTATCTAAAAAGTATTTTGGATCTTCTTCTGTTAATCATCTAATAATTCGATATTCTTATCTATGTCTTACTATTTGATCATAATAGTCTCATTCTCTTTTTTGAGTATGTCAATATCAGTTTGAGTTTCATCCAATAGACTTTTGTGCTGAGTCTGGATTTCATTCAGATCTTTAATATTAATAGTTATTTATTGAACATCTTATCTAGTGTTTTCAACAGTTTAATTTACTTCTTTGATTTGATTCTAATGGTCTTCCTTAATCAATTGTTATTGCTGTCTAAATTAAATGGAATGAATAGTTACTTCAACTCCTGAATACTTTCAGCCATCAACTTTAAACCCTTCATTTGAGTTTATTAATAGGATTCATTTTAATCAAGAATAAGTTTAGTTTTTTCAACTATCACTAATTGATTTTCTTCAATAACTTCTCTAAATATCCTAAATTTATTAGTGCAATCCTCATCTAATTTATTAACCTTATCCTCTAAAAATTGAACAGTGGCATTCACAGCCTCTAAAATTTGATTTTTTTCAATAGATATTCTTTCCAATAAGTGAGACTATTGATCCTCTATCACAGTCTAAAAGTCCTACCTAATCATATCAATATTCTATTCAATGATCGTCTACCGAGAATTCAGATCTTATTTCAACCCTTCAAAGGCTGTTATATGCTATTTAAAGGATTCACCAAATTTAGAAAATATCACCTTCACTTTTTCATATTTCTAAGCAGATGTCTTAATTGCCTATTAATATAATAAAATTAACTTTTTACTTTATTTATTTCATCATCAATATACAACGATAGTCTTTCAGCTTTTTCTGCTTAGTCTTTCTCTAATTATTTAACCTATGTTTGCAATGCCCTGTTCGCCATTTCTATCTAATCTTTTAAACTATTCAAATCAGAAACTATATCAGTTGCAATGGCAGACGTAAGATTCTTCAATTCAGTATCAGTTGACAATCTTGTTTGCACTTCAATTCTTATCATATCTGTAATCTTCTCAGTAATGTTAGCTTAATGTGTTTTAAATAATTCATTTTCCGATTTGATATTCTCCTATATTTTTAATAAATCGCCTCTTAATTAAACCTCATGTGAATATCTTTGGGCTTCTTCATTTTAAATATTTACTAGAATTTAATTCACTTATGTCTCAATAATAGTTTACAATGAACGAATAGCTTCATCCTTCTTTTATGAATCAATTCGTTGAAATTATTCTAATGATCCCAATTTCTATATAACTTCCTCCCTCTCGTATTACAATCTCTCCATATTAATCTAATCCTTCAAACTCCATGCTTATTTCATCTCTTCCATAGTTTTGACCCTCTACTCATGTTCCATAACAATTCTATTGATGACTTCGGTTACTCTAGTGTCTAATCTTTAAGTGTAATCTTATTAAATTAGTTGTAACATTCCCTTGAATTCCTCCTATATTCTCTAATTCGCCATGTCAACCCTGTTGATCTGTTCATGATCTTTTAATTAATCTTTCTAATCCATTTATAATCTAATCATACCCCTAATGCTAATAAATTGGCCTCCAAAGCCATAACTCTCTTCTCTATTCTTTCATTAGTCTCATTAATGAAATTCATACCAGAATCTCCTCTCTATGCCACTTAAATCAATGCTTTTTCTCCATTGTATATCTTGCTCTCCATTCCATTAATTCTCTATTCAAAATGCTGATGAGAAGTCGAAAGTGATTCCTATAGTTTTTCTTACAACTCTCCCAATCTCACCATCTCCATAAACAAGGCTTTGGTCTTTTCTCTTTCTTTTTAGAGTTGCGAACTCTCTTCAGTTATCTTTTCCTACAACATTCCTCTCATCTACAGAACCTCGTTTGTATCTTTATTTTAAGTGTTCTTCAAGAAGTACAACAACTCCTTAAGATTTTACTCCTAGATAGCCACTTTAGAACCCAATTCACTCTTTTGCCTATCTTAGGCTATAATTTTGGTTTCCAGGGAATACATCTTATTCTACAAGTCCTCAAACATTTGGTTTGGCTATTATCAGTTTAGAATTAATACATCTCCCATTTAACCTCTTGTCCTAACTTCTCTTTCCAATTCAACTAACATTTTAGAATTCCGCTTAACTTCTTAAGTAAGTTACTTTTCCAGCATTTACACTTACTCTTACAACTGAGCAATCCTATCCATCTAGAATATATTTTATTCCTAATTCTCAACAGGCACTGAAGTATTTGCAAAGTTTCTCCTTGATTCTGCTGTTCTTGTAGGTTCATTCTTGACTTCTTAGGACCGGCGATAATCTGGTGCTTGGAATCTAGATTCCCCTGTAATTGGATTTATGGCTTAACGACCTGCCTTTAAAGTCAATATGATAATCTTACTTAACTTAAACTCATTTAGAATATTTAGTATATAATTAATATAATATTTTAAGATAACTAATAAAAGTTATATTGAATAGCTTATTATTAATATGATTAAAATAAATTCATACATTCAAGCATCTTCATCATCCAAATCATGATATTACCCATCATCATCAGCCAATCCTTCATCTATGTCCTCTTTAATTTATTCGTCATCATCATCATCATTTTTCTTCTAAGGCTTCTTTTGTTCCATTTTCTGTATTACTTACTTTTTGTTTTTCTTCAATACATCTTTAAAGTTTTCTGGTAAGTCTGTCTTACACCTTCCATACTCATACTCAACCTCCACCTGTTCATTTGTTTCCAATAGAATCAGCACTCCTCTCCCATGGAAAGTATCATCTTTGAAATTTCCAACATATTATACCTTACCATTACTATATGTATATTTTCCATCCAATGAAGCTAATTTTTATTAAAATAAATACATCTTTATCCATTTTAAAATTATCCCTGATATTCACTTCCATCCTCATAAATCAATACTCCTTATTTTGCCTTATCATTTTCAAAATCTCCTTCAAAAGTTAAATCTCCAAAATATAACTTTCCTGTAATTCTTTTGAAATCCTCAATTAAACCCTGGTAAAAATGATTAGGACCATATGTGAGAACTCCTTACATTGGGGTATTTTTGGCAAATGTGCCATCAAAATTAGATTTGTTTCTATAAAATTCCCTGCCCTCAACCTTTTCACCCAATTTTAATTCTCCCTCAAAATTAATAGCTTGTCTCTTCCTTTACAAATTCTTCTAACTAGTCAACACATAAATGATTTCACCCATACCATTAGGAATATACTTCTATTGATCAAATTCTCCTATGTAAATGTATTTATTCAACTCTACAATAATTTTGTCGTGTCTCTCAAACAAATTCAATAGAATATATGAGACAGCCTTCTATGTCTTCATTTCGATGGTTCCATCCTTATCTAATTGACCATCCTCAAAGGTTCCGTAATGCCATTAATCTTCAAACTTTCCTTAGCCATAACCGTGAGGTATGATCTTATTATCCTCTAATCTACCAAATCCAACATATTCTTAGTTGACATCTAAGGCTTATTGAAAGAATGGGTATTCAACCTTCAATGGATTATCAGGATAGCAAACCAACAATTAGAAAATAGATCTCTTTTACTGATCCAAAGACAATATTTAAGATAAGATCGGCAAAACTAATTTATAGTCTCCTTCAAATGGCTTTTCCACTTTGGATAAAGAAGGCAACTATTTTTTTAAAGAATCTTTTAATTTATCGAATTTGAGTTAATCTTCTTTAGATCTGTCAGTTTTCTGATTTTCTCTAAGTACTTTCAATACTGATTGCAATATATTGTCTTTGAGTTGGCCATCCTCGAAAAAGAAATCTGCCGAATTGATCTTAGTGATAGCACATAAGACAACCAAGCCAGCTTAAAAGGAATAGGTATAAATTAAATTTGCAAGGGATTTATCCTTAAAAAAGCTGTCGGTACTTGGTGTGTAAGGTCTATGGAATTTAGAACCTTTGTAAGATATGCCCATATTGGAAATGACGAATTTTTACCCATCTACAAATACATTTTAAGGGGCGAGATCCAGAAACTCAAATGTTGATCGAGCTAAAAAATAATGAGGATGTTGTCTTACCTGTGATGAGCAGATTCTTACAAAATGTGGTCAGCAATTCTAGAGCCTATTCTGGACCTAATTGATCTTCTTGATCCAATCTCTTCTTCAATGCGTTCAATCGGTATAAAACATACAAATCAGATTGCTTATCATTTAATTCTTTTTCTGCTATCATCACTATTCTGGTGGTGTATTCATTGACGCATTCCAACATGGCTTTCTGCAATTGCAAGACCTTGGTTCTGAATGTATCATAACCCAAGTTCTCATAAATTTGGAGTATATATTTCTATCCTTCCTTCGAATGAGACATAAGGTAACTTATTGAGGGTATTCCCGTATAAAAGTCTCTCCCTTTTCCTATCACACTTTCTTAGGTGTAATTCTTATTTATGTAACTGGCATCAACTACTATTGAATTGTATTGTTATAACATTTAATTAAAAATAATATCAATCCCTAAGCAAGATTACATCAGGATAATATTCTAAGATTAACATAATAAGGAATGATAAATTCAATTAATTTAGAACAAATAAATATCAAGCTTTATTGACTAATTCAGGATGCTTGAGTTTTATATGCTAGTTTAACGAACCTTCGCTTCTAACCATATTGTCATTATTACCCATATTTCTTACCACATCTCGACAATGGGCATTCAAAATTACGTTAAATTTCACTGGCTAGACTTCTCAATCTTTTTTTCCTTTCCTCAAACGACTAGTTGTTTCCATCTTTCTAATTATAGTATGTTATATGTCTACTTCTAATTGTTCCAGTTTTTAAAGTATTTCAGTTTTCTCTTTAAGAAGTTCCTTAATCTAAATAAATTCTTAGTACATATCCTTACTTTTTTTCTTAAATTGATATTGCAAAGATATTACTAGATATATTCCCCTTAATAGTCACCCATCAATTTAAATTTAATTCTTTTAATATTAATCATTTTGCAAATCATAAAATATAAAACATCAAAGCAATTTCTTTTTTCAAAATCATCCCCATTTACCAAATCCAGCAAAACCCCACTGTTCCTCCCTTAAGTCATATCAATTCAAATTAAAATTCGCACAAAATCCACATAATTCTACTCTAGGCGTAAATACCATTCTAGAATTAGACCCAACTCTATTAAACAAGATAATCGACAACCTGTAAATGTCGATAATTCTCAGATGATAAAATAACACCCATAATCTAGTCTTTTCTATACAGATAAACAAAGTAATCCTGTTTCACTTTTTTCGAACATATCATCATCTTATTATACTCTAGCCAATATATCTAATTTTTAGGTATAATGCACTGCACTCATGAAGACAAAGTTAATTCCAACATGCTAGCAAATTATTAGAAGCTTTTTCATTGCATTTGATTATCAACATATTAACTACAACATTATGAAACTCCTATTATAATTAATTATTTAATATGGTATCTAAGCACTTTTAAAAATATCCAGTGACAAGCAATTTTCACTGAATTTTGCATGATTTTACAAGAGAAGTATTAAACCAACTCATTATTAACAGGTGATAAGAGATTAACCAGATGAGATTATAAAATATGGTGTAGAATATTTTGAATCTATATAAGAAGGAAAACCATTTAACTTCCAAAGCAAATCCAATATTGCTAAGGGCTAGGCAATTGAAAAGAAACACTAACTGCAAAACCAAAAGATTACATAGAACAAAGCAAGAAAGTTGTTGATATATCCAATCTATGATAAGTCGTTGAAAGTAAGTCCTCAGCACCTGGAGTAATTATCAGTCAGATAACCTTCAGTAGATTACTTTAATGAACTATTTTAAAAGGTCGAATAGGATATCGATCAATTTGAATCAAGTAAAAGTGAAACTTCAAATGCATTCTTCTTACCTTAATAAATATCATAATCTAAATAAGGATGCCAAAACTTGGAGAAGATAATCAAAATATAAGTTAGTACCAAAGGGATATTGGACAGGACCTAATTAAAACAATAACAGTAGGAAAATAAACTATGATGTAAGGAGAAGAAGAAGAAATAAATTTGTAAGTCTTATAAAAGTCTAATGAAGATGGCAGAGAGTAGGATAACCTACAAGGACAGGATATCGAATGATAACTAATGGCAAATATGAAATTTAGTTTTAATTATTATTATTTTATTAATATTTTAATAAATTCATTTTCGATGACAAAATTATTAATAGCAAAGAATAAGTGAATTGATAAAATAGAAGGAGAAAACTCATTAAGTTATCCATAAACCATGTATTTTATTTCTACTGGATGTTGGAAGTAAAAAAATTGAAGTAATCAAAAGTGACAGATCAAACTTAACAGTATTTATAATACAATTCTAGAAGTTAATACTTCCCTCAACTGGAGCAAGAAATCAATTATTATGACTTTATATATCAAATAATTTTAGATCATTTTGAATTTTAGCCTAAATGAGTTGGATTATTTGAAATTGGAACATAAAAATCTGTGAAATTGACATATATCATAAATCTTATAATCTATTTCATAACCTTAAATCAAAGCATAGGTGATTACAAGACTATATATCCAAAATGAATTTTAATAAACATTGCTAGTATGACTAAATGATGAGATATAGATATCGATTAATTTTCTAATTTTTTAAAAAAGAATAAATTAAAAATTAAGATTCTCATTCAATGTTTAATAGAATATTAGAATAGGATGATCAAGAATTGAGAGTAGGGGTACAAAACTCATTTTTATATTTTATTAGAATAGTAATATGAAATGGATATGGGAGCACTATTAAATAAGGTTGTACATGTGTCAAACTATCGTGCAACAAGATTAAGTTAATATTGATGTTATTTACATATATTAAATTAATTATTTATGTAAATACAAAATAAAATTGGAGAAGGATTGTTCGGTCAAATTCACAAATGCCTAACAGAAGAAGGAGACACTTGTGCCATTAAAATTTATAAGGAAGGATGCCCTAAAAAATTAAGGGAAAAGGAGATTAAAATTCTCCAATCGATCAGTCACACAAATATTCAGAAAATTGTGAAGGCAGATTGTGAATACAAATGGTTTATCACAGAACTCATGAATTAGGATCTCTATTCAGTTATCACGAAACGTGGCACACTGTAATAGAGCACCATTAAATAAATTCTATTGTAACTAAGTAATGGATTATCTTACTTACACTAACTGGGCTATGTGCATAGAGACATCAAGTTAGAGAATGTAATGTTGAGTAAAGAACCTAATCTAAGAATTATTGACTTTGGTCTATCTGTCTATATTGACTCCAATAAGCTCTATCCAAGACATTGCGGAACTCCCACCTACATGGCGCCTGAGTTAAATTTGGAAGACAAACTAATTATCGGAGAGATTCTGAAGAAATCTGATGTCTTTGCACTTGGTGTCTTAATTTTCATACTTTGCTATGGCTGTCCGCCCTTCACCATTTCAAAGCCAACCGAATGTAAATTTTGGCAGACTATAGAATAAAAAAAATGGTAAGCCTTCTGGAACTACTTTGACAAAAAAGTCATTAGATCAGATCAACATTTCAAGGATTTGATCCAAAATATGTTGGATCCTGATCACAAGTCAAGATTCACCATAGAACAAGTCAAGCAGCATGAATGGATGAATGATGAAGGAAATTTAAATGAACTATTATGAAAATTAACTAATTATTGCAATTCTTAATTACCATTATTTTATGAGTTCTACTTATCTCATAAAAGGTTACAAGTACAGGTTGTGAGAGTATTTCATCAAAAGAGAGATAGAATCCATTCTTCTTCATCAATTGAATCTCAAGAGATCTATAAATATCTTCAAGAATCTGTTAAAATTGATAGAAAAGTATGCCATCAAATTTGATAATGCAAAGAAAGAGTTCATATGATTGTTACAACTAGTGAAGCCATAATCTAACTATGTTTAAATTTATAGGGAGTTTTACATTTCTCAATTAATTTGATTATAAATAGAAAATGAATAATAAAAAACACATTAAGATTTAGGAAATCACTTCGACAAGAGTTAAAACTAGTTAGCCCTCATAAAATAGATATATTGAAACTTAAAACTATAATATTCCATCCTAACCTATGAAAGAGAATAAAACAATTAAATTTTTAGATTCATCTGGATAACAAGGTTAGCCTGAATTAAATTTCAAAACTATGATGTAAGAAAAATTAAGTAAATATCGAGAAAACATAAAGAAATTTGAGATTACGTATGACATTAAACGCTATGATTACAAATAGAATTAGATAGAGCAAGATAATCATCAATTTCCATAATTAGTTACTCTATCATTGAATAATTTTCTCCAACAATGCGATGGGTTAATATAATAAAATTACGATGAAATACTAGAATCTAATAAACTTATTATGAAACTAAGTTTTGATAAAATTGAGATTTATGATAAGAATGGAAACTTAAAGGAAACCAAAAAATCTTTCCCTTTTTCAAGTAAGAATCAACCCAAAGACCTTAAGTACAATGCTATTTTTGGATAAAAGGATTATCTGCTTTTAAAATCAACAGGATTGTGGGTTACTAGCAATATTGTAGATTCCTATGCCAACTATTTAAGGCTTGTTGATGAGGATGAATATTTTAGTTTGACAGTGGAAAATCGTAAGAAATATAAGAGAACATACATTTTTTGCTCTGATTACATAACAAATTGTTCAATAAACACTGAATTTAATAAAGAGAAATGTTTAACTTTATTTTATGAATAACTTAGTAATTTTGAGTCAATTTAGTATTAATTTTGGCAGATTTATCAGAATATAATTTTTGTGGTTAACCTAAATTTTCATTGGTTTTGTGTTAAATTGGATTTGGAAAATTTTGTAATGGAAATTTATGATTCTCTTTATTCGAATACAACAAAATATGAAAGACTCTAATTCTTATTTTAAACAATATTTAGTGAGGTGATGTTTAAAAAACCTAAATTTAAGATCAAAATAGTGATGGAATTTCCTAAGCAAAGCGATTCTTATTCATGTGGTTATTTCTCTTGTATAGCCCTTAACTATTTAAATCGCAAGTAATTTAATTTGGACCAGTATGTGGAAGAAGAATAAAGATAGACATTTATTAGTAAGGCAGAGATGAAATAAAAATTAAGAGACTTATTGATTGAAGATCTAAATAGTTGATTATAATGAATTTTAAATATCAATATTTTGATGGTTTATTCACAAAATGAATGGTTCCAATTAAGTTTATACATAGTTTCAGGGTTAAATCATAAGAGGAGTAAACTAAAATATTCCTTTTTTTAATTGATAATTAAAATATTTCATATTTGCGCAAAAAATAATTGAGTTCAGGAAATGCCACCTAAGAAACATGCAAGTAACAACTAAAACATCAAAGCTCTCTTAATTAATGGAAATAAGAAGGAGAGGAAAGAGATGAAGGAAAAATAAAAATAATTTATTAAATGTCCTTTAATAGGATCGGTGGGTTTTCAATTAAGAAGAGTGTTATAGAAATATAGAAATTAGATAATGAAGGAGTTTAATTTTGGCTAATTAGTTTAATAGTTAGGAAAAATCAAGTATATGGATTCAATTGGAGATATGTTAAGTTCAATATTGTATCTGAATGTAACTAAAATGTCTGATATTTGGAGTGATATTTATACTCCTGATCACATAGATGATGTAATTTGATATCTAATTTAGTTGATTAGTTAAGAAAATACTTAATTTCTTAAACATTGGCTCAGGAATTCCTTTTCAATTCTGGCCTAGGATCAAGTAGATTAATCAGAGTCATGGTATTCATAATCGAATTCAATGAACAATTAAAATTGGAATTATCAGATGTTAAATATCTACGGGGCTAGTGGAAAGATGAGCACATTATTGGCTATAACAAGAGCATATAAAATTGATGTTCTCTTGACTTACAATTACACTGAGAAGAGAGTATTCGAAGAGATGTTTGCAAGTCAACACATCAAATTTACTCAGGAATTAGAAAACACTGAATTTGGCAACAAAAAGAAGATTATTATTCACAGAGGCACTCTTCCAAAATTCATCAATTCCAGAATGTTATAGATTCAGAGAGTGCCCTTTATATGGATTACAGGTATCGAGTCTTCATAATCGCAGACTGTTAGTAGAATCACGAACTATTCGATAACTTTGAACTGGTGCAATATTCTCATAATGAAATAGTCAAATACATTTATTTAGTATTGATAATCGAGCAAAATTACAAAGGGTAATTGGATAGAATCAATAATGAGTTAAAAAGTAAAGTGATCTATGAAAACATCAAAGAATAAGGAGAGTTCTTTGTGAATTTTACAATGCAAAAACCATCTCTAAGGATTCAGGATTTAGAGATGAATTTAGATTACTATGATATTTTCATACTTACTTTATTTATGAAGGGCAACATGAGAAACACACTGAATTGGTTGCAATTTCATAAAGAGGATGAGAATGTTCAATCATTAATAGCAGAATTAAAGTTGTCTAATGCTTAATTGCCATACATGCTAAAAAATCAATTGCCGTTATTTCGAACTGTTGAAAATATTTCTTAATTAAGCCAAAAAGCATGGTCATGGTATGATGAACAATGTGTAAATTTAATAAATGACATGGTTAAAAGAAGATAGAAACTATTTTTAGAATCATATGGTAGAAGAATAATCAACAGCAAAAGGCACTTATTCTTAATTAATCATGTTCTGAAGGTAATACTTAATAAGTAAGAATAATAGATCAATGCTTTGAATGTTCAAACCTTTGCTTAAAACACCAGACTAAGAAGATTGAATAAGGAAGTTCAAGACTTTTATAAACCATTATCATAACTCTTTGAACAAGAGGAACAATATGAGATTTTTAAGTAATTTGATAAATTTTCAGAGTTTTTACAAGGCTGATAATATTTGTACAAATCTCTTAAAATCATTTTTTATTTATATAATAATTGTCATTAGTTGACTCTAAATTTGAGTTAGAATAATTTATTCATTTTATTGAATTGATATGAAAACAGATTAGATGACAAAAGAATAAATATTAGAGGAGTATACTCTGTATAAGAGGTATGTTTAGCATCTCCAATCGACATTGCTTTAAAACGAAGATCAAATATAGAGAGAAATAAAAGTGAATGTGCTAAGGACTGAAGCCTATGAGATTGATATCAAGGTAAAGAGAAATCGAGATAATTTGCCGATCAAAACCAATCACTATAAAAGTATTCCAGGCAATATCAGATTGTAGCATCCTACTCCAGTATTTTTAGAACGCTTAAGTAGAATTTTGGTTATATTTAATAAAAGCACCCCTATCCATTCCAACTTAATTAACTGAAGAGATCGAAGAGCATGTGTAGAATCTAGAATAAGGACTGGCTAAAAGCGTAGATGAGAGCAAACACTATTTGAGACTGGAGCACAAATTATTTGTAGATTTCTTTTTTGAGAAATTCAAAGACAAATTTACTACTTTATCAGCTGTTTTTCAATTGCAACAATTAGCTTTGGCAATAGGTTGTTCAGCAGAACAAATTTAATCATATTATTTAGCTAAGCAAGCTAAAAAATATGATTAATTTGTAAATTTTAATGTGAAATATCAATTTGTAAGATTCAATCGATACTTTTGTCCCATTTGTAATTTATATCTGTGTAGTTTACATTACCAGTACTTATATAAATATATGGTTTAGTTCTAAAAATCAGAGATTGTATATTGAGAAAGAACCAGAAGAAGAACCTTAAGATTAATAAAAGGATGATCCTACTCATCATGATAATTTTTATGAGACTGAATTTAAGCCTAATTCTTAGTTATTGAGAGAACTCTTTGGTAGATACAAATTGAATAATAAAATTGAGATGGAATAGAGATGTAGAGATATCACTTAATGTGGCAAATATGGTGTTGATTAAACGAAGATGAAAAAGTTTTAATAGAAGTCGATTGAATAAATGTTGGAGTTTGGATTTAGTAATTGTTGTTTTATGGCACGAGTGTTAACTCATAGAATATACCCAGTTACTTGTTAATAGATCAATTATTTAATTAAGACTTTAAAGAGTTAGAGCAAGAAACACATGACAAATGGGAAACGTAAATAATAGTAAGCATCCAAAAAGTAGAATCTGAATAATTATGCTCAATAATACATTCCATGTTTCCACGAAGGAGATTGTGGATCCAACTCATGCTCTTGCGTAACATGTCACAAATATTGTTGTTGTAAAGGTCAGTGTCAATAGAAGGCAAAATCCTGTGATTGTAGAGTCTGTGGCTATGATGAGAAGAAACAGAAGCACTCATGTCCTTGTTACATTAGTGGATATGAATGTGATCCTTAATTATGCAAGTGTCAATCATGCTCAAATAAGAATCTTTTGATGTAGATTCGAAAATCACTGGTTTTAGGTAAATCCTTAATCTGTAATGGACTTGGATTGTTTGCAGCTTAAAATTTTAAGGTATGTGATTTCGTTGGTGAATACACAGGGAATTATATTTTGTTAGACGATGAGAGTACGGCTATCGAATGTATTTAAATGAGTATATCTTAGAATGTGATTGGATTACCAATAATCATTATTTATTTGAAGTGGATGATAAGTGGTAAGTAGATGGAACCTATTATAGTAATTGTCTGAGGTATATCAATCATGCTACGAAGAAATCAGATTTGGCTAATTGTTAAGCTTAGATTCTCTTCTCAGAGGGAAGATGGAGAATTGCGATGTATATATTTACCGAACTATTTGTAGGTTCACCACCAAAAACATATCAATAGGGGAAGAATTGTTCTTTGATTATGGAGATAAATTTTTAACAAAATGGTTAACTGACTTTAACAAATTATGTGATGATTACTACAAAAAATGATTACTTATCAATCAATAAATACACAAAGTAGGTTATTCTAGTCTGCTCCACTTAGTAAAGAGTTGTATTCTTCTTGCTTAACCAACAATTCTCTTAATCTCTGGATTGCGTTGCAGAGGACCATTCAAATCAGTTAAACTAGTGCTCCAAGGATAGGCACCGTGTGTAAGCAATAATTTAACTATCTCTTAATGATTTTCCATTATCGCTATACTCAATGGGGTTCTATTCATCAAATCTATTGCATCGAAATCTGCGTGGTAATGCAATAGCATCCTAACCATATCCACATAACCGTATTTACATGCCCAATGAAGGGCAGTCATATTGTAATAATCATATTGAAACACCAAATAAGGATGAGTTATTAAAAAACTCTACATCTGTTCAAGTCGATTTTATTTGGATGCAAATATAAATTCCTTTGAAAATTGACTTGAAAAAGCTTTCTTACTAAATACTTGCTTCTGAATCACTTCAATGATCGACAATCCCAAAAGTTTGATCTTTTTCAAGGAACGTCTCAAAAGTTCGATTCTTCTACGATTTCTCTTTCTACTGCTTTAGGCAAAGAATTTTAGATTGGATGATGCATCTATATTGGGAGTAGACTTAGCTGAAATATCATGGATTCTCATCTTCCTTTTAATTCCTTTCACATCTATTTCCAGGTTTTCCCGATTCGGTCTTATTTCCAATTGCTGTGATTTCAACTCTCTTACTTTACTAAACTACACTGAAGATTGTCTATCAAATGCTTTTTGGGCTGTCTACGGTTTTGGTTCGATCAGTTTGTAATTTGTATTTGGATTTTGTTACATGAAGAGTTTTCTATTCTTTTTATTTATCATCAAGGGCGAAGGACTGTTTGATGCACAAATCTTATCGACGTTTTTAAAGTCTACAGCATCATATTACACAATATGTTTAAGGGAGTGATTTCTCAAAAATTCCCTAATCTACTCATCTGACGGCACATTGATCTTTTATTTCTTCAACAGTGACACCATTTTATTTGGAGGCAACACAAAAAACTTGTAATCGTAATCTACATTATCCTAACATCATTACCTTTTAAAGCCAATCTATGCTTCAATTGTGGAAACCAAGGCTTGGCTGTATTTATTGTTTACCTATTTGGGGTTGTTTGCTTGTCGATAATTCTCTTATAATAATCTTATTCAAACATTTAGTTTTGCCTATATAAATGCTTTAATTAAACAATATTATTATAAATCAATTTTAAACTATCCAATATACAGTAAAATATCTCTAAAAAGGCAACATATAAATTATTAATTATTTTCAAAATACCAATTTTACATATCCACATTCATCTAAAATTCTCCATCTTTTTGAAGGCCTTAAAGAGTACTCTTACATTTAAGCCTACCTAATTATTATAAAATAAATTAGGCTTTTAGAATCAATACCCATATTACTTCATACAGTTGAAATTATATTTCTGTTTTTTTTTTATTATTATATTTAGAACCTTTTTACAATTATATATATAACAAAATATATATAACAAAATAATCTTATCTTAAATAATAATTCATTATCTACCATTATTAAAATAGAGAATCATCCTCTGTTCTATGGAAAAACTTGAAATTTAATATATAAAATTGAAATATTAACATCTGCTAATCACCTGAGTAATTTTTATGCTTAATTTGAATGAATTAAGGCGGGTTCAAATCTCATATGAATCACTAATAAATCACTATTGTAAATTTAGATATTTATAGTGATATTTTTAATTATTTAATTTAACTATCTTTGATCATGAAAAGTTTTGAGAGTTCTATTAAATAACATATTCCATAATAAATTATACGAGCCGCAGAGAAATTTGAATCACTTTTTGTAAAAGAGACGCAACATCATTAATCTTAAATCTTGTATTTTAAGATTATGGCCAAAAACAATAAGAGAATAAAAAAGCAATTATAATAGGAACCTAAAATAGGATTGTCTGAGTTGGGCCATTTACAATAAACATTAAGGAAATCTGGAACTTTTGGAAATGAAAACTCCTAATCAATCATTGTAAAATATATATATTAATTCTCTAGCACTGCATGCAAATATTGAAGCCAGAATTTGGGAGATAAATATACATAGATGAACTCACAACTGTTATTAGTGAACAAATACCTTATGATAATTCAGATTTTATTCATGATTATTGTGATATTAATTTATGATAATATTCATATTTCATATTTATAAAATCTATAGTGGTTCATCTAATCTTAGTGTGCAGATAATCATTTTTATTTCAGAAAATCTTAACCTCCAAAAAATTAGTTATTTCTGGTTACATTCTAATCTTGAATTATTAATATCTAAGGTTTTCAAACACTGTTATTAATTATTAATTAAGTGTGTTCTTGGGAAAAGAAATCTTTAAAAAGTGTTTCACACCTTAATCAATTTAAATGAACTGTCTAAATTATTAAGTAGCACAATATTAATGGAAATATTAATCAACAAAAAGTTGACTTTAACATATTATTGTTAATAGTATTCAGTGATTTTTAGTAAAATATAATAATTGTTATAAGAATTAATCTATTTGATTGAATATTTATTATTATAAAATATGCTGATTGAATTTTTATTTTGTTACTCTTTGGTTAATATTTATTTGATGGTTAATAGTGTAAACAATCATTAATTAAAGAATTTATATTACAATATGAAAACACTTATTTTCGGAGGACTAATTTATGTATTTCTAATATTGGTGAAAATAATTAATTAAATGCTATATTTATCACAAATAGCCTTCTCAAGACTTTGATGTATCTAAACTGAAGTGAGTGGACTGAATCTAAATTAATTAATTAGATACATTCTAAATTGACCAAAAAAGCTTATACCTTAAATTATTAGAAAGAAATTAAAAATCTATTAGGTTTTATAGTATTTTTTTATGGAAGAGACCAAATTTTCAAGAACATTTCATGTTAAATATTTGCTAATCAAAATTAACTTAACATCTTCTATTTTAGCACAAACTATCAATCGAACTAATCTAAATAAAACTTAAAGGATTTCATGAAATATATTTTATAAACTATTTATAAACTGTTTTATGGAATATATTAATTAGATATTTATAAATTTGACCATTTTTACTGAAGAAGCTGGTTGTAATTATTAAACGTGACCTAGTTTGTTATGTATCCTATACTATGTCATAATTTAAAACGTAATGCATCAATCTATAGTATTGAAATAGTTAAGAACAGCTCGAAAAACTTTTCGAAACCAATATAAATTGATACATATTTTAATGAGTTGTGAGATGAATGATATTGTATGTCAATAATATAAATGAATGAGAAAGAAGGAATTTAAGAATTATGTTCTATAATTATTAATAAAAATAAAATTTTAGAATGGGAAACAGTATTATTAGAATACTAATTAGATATTTGCGGGATTGATGAGGAAAAGAAGTAAGGCTTATAGTCAGAGTCGAAAGTGATAACTACGCGTACTGTAAATTAGATAACCATTTAAATCGTATAAGCAGATATTGTCGAAGAATTAGTAGATGTAGTAGGTAATATTTGGAATAAATGTGTTAGTGAATTCATCTCATGAGCCAGCCTGGTCTTACATATCAAAGCGGTATTTAATTTATGGTTATATATTGATTAGAGATAATAATAATAAAACAAATGATCTCCTATAACAAAGTATTAATGCAGTTCTATAACAATAGTGAGAATTGGAGAGTTAGTGATAACGAACACAGAAAATGTGAATTCCGTCCAAATCTTTCATACTCGATTGCCATTATACTAAGTAATAATTTATGTAAATAGAAGGATGCAAAGGATTTGTTGCAAATATTTAATGTTTATAAAGAATGCCTATAACAGAAAGGACATAAAACCATTTCATTTACTGAATAGAACACTCCGAATTTCCAGATACCAAAATAGTTTCATGCAGAAGTATTGATAAGAGCCATCCTTTCGTAAGCATAATTGATAAATTTAGAGCAATTTAAGAAGGAGATGTAGAGTTTGAGTTGATAAAGTTCGTGAGTTTGGATTAATTGACTCTGAAATACTTTGCTTATGAATTGATGAAATAATTAGACGAGTTGAAAATTCCTGAGTTGTTTCAATTGAGATATTAGCAATTCTTGAACTTTTTATGTATGAAATGATTAGTTTATGTTTATAGAGAATGGAGAAGATGCAAAACAAGAGGTGTATCTTTTGAGTACTGGGATTACTACAGAAATGGAAGGAGTTGTGGAATAGTAATGACTTTTTTAGTTTATAATATTTATTATTTAATTATAATATTTTTTATGAATTTTAATACTAAATTACATAAACTAAACATAAGAATCAATCATTGTTAAAATTGAACCTTTTGAGTAAATTCTATTTCATATCCAGACAGCACTTTGATAACTGCAATAAACTATTTTCCTGGAGCCAGTTCAATGTTGAGTGTGACTCCTCTATGAGGTTTACAAAATTTCAGCCCATAGAATTTATGAAAGGATATTTTGCTAATTAATTTAACATTTGATTGGTTGTCAATGAAATAATATCCCCAACCATCTAATCTATCTAGATTATAGCAACTTTGGATTTTGGGTTATCCCATAGTGTCATAACTTCGTTTGGGATGTTAAACGAGTCCTTTTTTGATCAAGACACTGGGGAGCATTTCAGGAATCTTTTTTATTTATTTAAATTCCAGTTTGTCAATACCATATGATGAGAGAACAAAGAAAAATTCTTAATGATGTTCCCAAATCACCTTAGCAAACACAATATATTCACCCTTTGTTAAAGTACATTTACACCATACTTCTCCAAACTAGCTAAATTTACCAGCAATATATGTGTATGTATGGTTTTCTTCCTTTTTACAAATAAGCAATTTAGCATTGCTATACTTAGGGTTTCCTGCCCATCTTTAATTTCGTTAATTGATAGTAATGTAATAATCTCCTTCCTTAGTAATTTTAAATGAATAATAGACAGCCTTTTTCTTGCTGGACTTGATTTGAGTAGCTGAATATTAATAATCTTGTTTGATATGACATATATGAATGTCTCTAAACTATTGCATGAAGGATCCAACATCCATATAGAATACACCAGAATCTTCTGTATCCAATTTCAACTCTTATCTCAATTATGGAGTCCACAATGGACTATCCTATCCCCAATCTCCAGTCCATTCTTTTTTTCCCCAAGGGTTTCTCAATTTTAACAATTCCACTTATCCTCTTTTTGGATGATTGATTTATCTGATCTTCAGAACTGAATAGGCATGATTTGGAACCAATCCTTGTGTAATGGGTTGGATATCACTACTTTAAGTTGCAGCAACCATGATAACCTTATTGGCAAGACATTTTCTAAGTTGAGCAATGAAATCTGGAGATTGAGTCCAGATAACTTCTGTTGGTGCTCCAGTTAATGCTCTGAGTACTTCTTGCATTGAGCCAGCTGCACTATTTTGATAAGAGCCAAACAATTTGGCCCAAGCTTTCTCCAGTACCATGACCCAGATTGCATTGTTTTTGGCCTTAGTAAATATGGGTGTTAAATTAGGATAAACTGGGAAGTAATCATCCACATAGATGGCCTTCCACATTCCATCTATACACAATCTAATGCAATAAATGCCCTATTCATTGATTGCTCTAGTGATAAAAACATCCAATAACAAATCGGGTCTTCTATTTCCCAAAGCAGATATTGAGGCCAGTAAATAGCAGTTTCCTAATTGACCTTATATGATATCTTAAGGCCCAATGTACTTACCAAGCCCAAACCTTTTGTTATCGTTTGCTTTAGCAAAAAACTAATAATCCCCATTGAAGATCACATTCAATCTTTACCAGGTAACTGAGTAATTGGATCCCACACTTTTGTCATTAGGTCCAAATCTGAGGTCGATGTAATTTTTTTCCTTGATTTTGAGTTCATCAAATGTCTTAATGAATTCATTCATGTTGGATATTTACATGTGTTGCAAGGTGACTTCTTCAAATTGGAACTTGCTTATTAGGATATCTTGTTGATCATTTGAGGACTGTTGTCTTTTTAGTTTGACTTCCTCCACTTCCCCTAATTGAAAGGTGACATAGGTTAACATGAATTAGTTTAATTATTCTTAGTTGATTTACCAACCGCAATCCTTGACAAAGCAGACACAATAGTCATCATAATATTTTTGAATGCAATCATAACATAGTCGATGATCACAGATTTCATTATGAAATAAGCCTGAGTTGTTGGAATGGCAATAGTCACATTTATATGAGAAGGATTCGATCATTCTATTGTCGATGTCCACTTTGATCTCCTGCTTTTGTGGTTAGATTTAGACATTTTATTGTATCAATTTTAATTGTTATTATTTAGGTTATTACACTTGCTGTTATGGAATTACCTATGCTTGTTATCTTTATTAGGTTTATTGCTGTTTTGGGTTAATCACCTTTGCACTATTTTATTGCTGCAAAACACGATCTGTTACTTTCTGCATTTAAGATTTGGATTTTGTTTAAATTGCCACAGGAGAACGTTCTTAAACTGATCTTCTAGGCAGAGTATTTTTCTACTAATTTCGTGGAGTATTTAAGTTTTAGTTGTTCTGTTTTACAGCCGTTGCTTTGTTTTATTGAGATGGCGATGCTATGAGATAACTTCCCATTTTTACCTAATTTTTTGGGATCTCCTGGAAACATGGTAACCTATTTCCCAAACACCATTTGATTGCTATTCGATAGTTTTTGGAATTGTCTGTTCATGAGATCAGCTATGTTTAGAAAATTAGTGCATGATTTCTCTGAACAATTGGAACCCCCTTCAGCAGTTATTTGATCTATACACTTGTTACAGTACAAATGTCCACATTTTGCTTTATAAGACGCACTTTCTTTTGTTTCCTGTTGACATTTGACACACTTTAGCGATGACTTTATCATACTAATAATTATATAATTTAATTTTAATTAAAGCGCTAACATAAGTATGATAATTCAAATAGAATTCATTAGGCTATAGAAACCATCAGATTTTACAAAACCCACTCTGTTAGCATTCTAAATTTCATTCTTTTTACCAATTTCAATATATCTTTACAAGCCCTTGCTATTTGAATTTTAAAATAATATAAGCCTCAAAAAGACTCTGCAAGTTCTATAAACAGTGGAGTTCTAAAATCTCATATGTCTAGACTCTCCCTATTATACTATCTATTTTGACAAGATCTAGGTTTGGTCAGAATTTAAAGTCTTAATTTTATCATAGATGGCTTGAAAGATATTGATTCAATCATTTTATAACATTTTTTATCTCATAATTTTTGAGATAATTTTTTTTTCATCCTACATTTCATGAAAAAAGTTGCACATGATAGATGTTTATAACTACCTTAAACAACAAACATTATATATTCTATTGACTATCATAATTAATAATAATCAATGGAGTTTTAATTTATTTTCAAAAATGATTTTAACAATAAACTTTAAATATCTATCATAGAGTTCTCTTGTTCGAAAACTGCATGACCTATACTTTTTAAAACAGGATGAGAAATGATGTTAAATTTAATTAAAAGATATAGATTCATAAATTGAGTTATTAAGAGAATGTCTCATTATTCCTTTTGTAGCTAAGTACATAGTACTTTGTTGTTATATTTCATTTACAATCGATATTATTATTGTTATTCCTCAAAATCTAATCTTGTGATGCTAACTTTGTCATTTTAAAAATTATTTATAGGGTGATAATCAAATATTTTGCTTAAACATTCATAGCAAACACACTTTAAAAAATTGGTGTTCTAATCTCGACATAATTTACACAATATTTATGTCTCTTACCTTGTTTGATTATTACATCTATTTAATTCATCAAGCATATTAAAATAAAAAAATTGATCCCTTTTTATACTAGGTTCCCCTTCAAAAGATTTCACAAATTCAATACTTAGATCACTATGTAACGAGATATTATCATTTAAATCCAAATTAATTGTATACTTATATTTTTTATTAGATTTTTATATTGTAAATGACTTGATAATTGTTTTAACTTTTATTTCTTTCTATTTTGAGTATTCAGACTACCATACCTCTAAAATTTGAATTAGGATTTGTCTTTTGTTTTTTTCGAAATTTTCCAAAAGATTTTGTCCAATTAAATTAAAAACTTTTCCAATTATAACAATCTATGATTGTACGAGTATATTGTTTAGTAGAAATTCCACATCATAAGGGAATGTTAGAATTTAATTTTATTTTTTAATGTCAACCTGATTCTGCTAAATCATTTTTTTTGTATTATAATTTATTAAATAACTTGAAAATATTATTGTATTAATTCTCTGATAATCATTTAAAGCAGGCAATTTATTATCTCAATTGCATAAATGATTCAAAATTGTAAAATATATTAATATAAATCAAATATATCTTTTTTAAGAGTAGGTAGGATTTCTGTGAATCTAAGCAAAGTTGTTACTATTTAATACTAATTTTTAATCTGGATCAGGCCTTCCATAATTATATCTATCAAATTTCACAGGATAATATGATGAAGCTTAAGGTTAAGGTTGGTAGCGTTGTAAAGTTAAATCATTTCTTAACTTATATTTATCATCAATCTATTTTTGACTTTCCAAAACTCTTTTATTTATCGTATCAGTAGTAACATTTCGTTTTGCTGCTGAACTTTCAGTATATCTGAGTCTATCAAAATTTTGAAATTTCTCACTCGGACTTTAATAAGTTTATTCATTTGGTTGATGCCAATAATTCGTTAAGGCTGTTTTTGGTAGAGTAGTTTCAAAAATTTTTTCGATTTCTAGAGGATTAGTCGGTAAAATTAAGCTTTATTTTATCCTCATTTTATTAGTTGTTTTTGTTTATTCGCATTGTGGACAATTTCTAAATTTTGTTAAAGTGCAGCAAACTCCTATTTCATGAGATCTACAATTTACCTCTTACTTCCTGTTAAACAAAGAAAATTGTTGATAACAATTTGTACAAAATCCAGTTTAAAATTCAGACTCCATCTCATCAGCGAATTTAATTTCATCTAATTATTTATTAAAGATTATCTCGTCCTCATCCATCTAAGAAACTTTGTCAGCTTCAAAAAAGGGCTATTTATTTTATTTTTTTTGATTTTAATTTAGTATTAGATTCTGTTCATTTGATACCTGAGTATCCTTCTATTTTTAAATACATTCTTCTTGTTACTTTGGATTATCTTATTTATGCTGCTTAAAATCCTATAAAAGTTTTACTGAATTTTGAACTGAAACTGATTTTTCTTCTTCAGTTTTGATGTTCTCTTGAAGTGTAAAACTTTAAGTAGAGTTTTATTCAATCAGCTTTTCTTCCTCATGAATAACAATATGATGGCTTTTATTTTTGCTTTGATTTTCTAATTTATTATCGATTGTAGGTTCTTCTTCCTTTTAATTTGAAATTTTATAAGAGTCGATTATTTATTCACTTTCTTTTTTTTACTCTGCTATTTGATCCGAAATGAACTTATTCAAGGAAATAGTATAAACTAAATTTCTCTCACATAATTTTTCCAAACATTTATAGGGTTTTCTTTACATTATATTCTAACAACAAATACAACAAAATTCATGTTTACATGGTAATATATAAAGGTTTTTCAAAGGAAAATTGTTTTAACAACCTTTACAATTCACAATAATATTTTTACGAAAATTAACATATTCTTAATCTTTAGATGAGCTTTAGCAGCATTCGAATAGAAAATAATCTTTAACGATACATATTTAACAGACAGAATGACCACAATTTAAGATATAATTTTCTTTTTCATCCCTATCAATTAAACAATTATCACACTTAAATAATGAAAGTTTTATTTAGATATTTTTTCTTTGACTTTGAAATTGCTCTGACTTTGACTCCTCCTATAATTACTTAATATAATTTTAGTAATCTTCTGATTTAAATTGCTCTCTGCATTAGAATGCCAAACAGTTCAGGGTAGTATATCTCATATTGGTTTTTTATAAACACTAATTGCAGAATTTATGATTGCAGTTTTTGATTTAAAATAACTTATACCATTAGATTGTATTACATTTTGAACAAAACTCCATTATTCTTGATTCTTATGAAGCAGATTATTTTTATTATATTTGATTTTGCTTTTTATCTACCTACTCATTACAATCATTTCTTGTTTAGATTATATAATTATTAAATTCTAAATAATCAATCCTCTCATAGCATTTATTAACTAAACAATAATTTTAGTATTTCTTTTCAAACATACAATCGTAACAATATCGATGTTTGCAAACACGTAAAATAAATAATTAATATTAGAACTTTCTGAAACATAAATCACATTCCTATTAAGGATCATCAGTTATTAAAACTAATTGTTATTTTTTATTTTCCTGAAGTTGTTATTGAATACATTGTTTTGTGCTTTCATAATATTTTTTCAATTCTTTACTTCTTTCATTATATTCTTTGAATTTAAGAATTTTTTCCATTTCCCTTAATGTATTAATTTTGAAGTATTATTTCCCACAACAAGTAAATGAAGGAGAAAATTCAGGAAGACATTTATAGCAAAATTAGTGTGAACACAACAAAATAATTTATTCAGTCATGCTTTTGCAATTAGAACAATAATTAGTGGGTATTTTGTAGATTATTGGTTCTGGGATCAAATAAAAGTATTTTTCACTATTTGTACGTTTTAGATCAATTGAATCCGTGGACTAGTTGTTATAATTTTCATTGTTGTTAATCGAAATCCTTATTCTCAAATATAAAGCCAAATGGAGATAGGAAATTTCCTTTCCTTGCATCAATCTTTTCTAATAACAAAACTCGTATAATAATTTTTGAGCAATTTCACTTATCTGGTCTACTTAAAATAGTTTTTAAAAGAACATCTATACAGGATTCCTTAGATCCGTCGATTATTGGATGGCATTTTTAATTTCCAAATAATTTGACGTGTTCTTAGAGCAGCCTATAAGTTCTGTCAATTCTTGTAAGATTTTAGGTTATTTTCTATTCAAAGCATAATGAATCAAGGAAAATAGAATAGCTGCATCCTTGTTCTGTCCCATGTATTGCAAGTACCTGTAATCTTTTAGGGATGCATCATTGCGTCGATCCTCTTCCTTGATAGGACATATGAAGAAAAGTTGGACTTCTTATGACATTTGTATTATAATAATTTTTATTGCTTATAGAATTAAATAAAAGTTATATGATAGTTTGATATTATATTTGAAAACAAAATAGGCTTTTTGGAGCACAATCAATCTTGTTTTTGGTCTTTGTCGTTTGAAGAGAGTGGTAAATATAATGAGGATTTTATTTCTTTTACTTTTTAAATAGAATACAAAATTGATCCCAGATAACTAATGATAATGCCTGCAAGAATTTGAAAGTCGTACTCTTCCTTCAAGAAGAAGAAGGAGTAGGAAGTGATCAAAATGTCCTTGATGTTGTGAGTGATCGCAATGGCAATGGGGGAGTTGTACATATTGCACAAGTTGGTGGAGTAGCACAACATGAACCCCATCAATGCAACCAATGTGAATGCTATGAGGAATTACTCACTCATGTAGGTTGTAGTCATGAAGTCATGTAATTCCTAGCTTGCATAAGCGCCAATAAATAGAAAGGGAATTTGATTACAAGAATTCTAGAAGAGCAATTCCAGAGGATCTATTTATTTCTCATAATTTAATTGTTTCGATTTGTGCAATGCAAGAGCATTGAATACGTTATTCATGAGAATAAGTCCGTAACCTAAATAGTTCTCATCCAAATGTTCCTGACCTTAATCATATCACACTCAATCATGTACCTGCAATAATGGCTCCCAAAGTTATGAAGATCACGGACATAAAATTGGAAATCTTCCAACTCTTCTGCATCATGAACACAAATAAAATCAGAGTCCTTCGCAATGTCATGTACATTGAGATGTTCATTATTTGCAATCCCTTCATCCCTGAGAAGGTTTGCAAGGAATAAATGAACGAATACAACAATGTATCTTTCGACGAGTGATTCCTCTTTCCCATAAACAGACAAATTATAGCTGTAAGAATATTCTCGTACAACAATAACTCTAAATAAATAAAGCACTGTTACCATGAATGTCATCCTGAATTGAAACTTAATCCATAAGTATTTCACACTTAGAGAAAAACAAAACGAGCATCCACCATATAATATACAATAAAATAAACCTAATATATGTTTCATAAAATTAATAATGAGAAATTAATACCTTCTCTAATTAGATTCACATCTAAAATAATACACTTCTTTATTTATCTGCTCCGAAAAGGAACATTCTCTTGAAGATGATTAACACACTGTTAATTTAGTAGATGGAAACTATTAATTTTATGATCAATTTGATTAAATGGAAATTTACCATCAGAAATCCTTAAATGAACTAAAATATTCCTTGTAAAACCGTGTCTATCATTGTAAAGTAATGCTTGAAGCACTTTGAGATAATTGAAAACAAACATTCTTTCTAATTAGTAAACTACAAAGTCTCCTAATTCATAGTTTCTAAGGTTTAACATCAAAGAGAGACTGATAAACCTAAGTTCATCCCTTCCTTAAGTAGATTGTAACATCTATTATTCCATCAAGTTATGTAATTCTTATACATAAGTCATTTATATTTTTAAATGACAAAACATTATAAAATATCTTTCATCTTGAGATATTTTAAGAAAAGTCAAGAGTAAGATCGAGAGCTTCAAGTTCCCAAAAGATTTAGTGAGTACTTAGCAATTGAATTACAAAATACCATACATATAATTATTATTAAGAATGTCTTGTTTTGACGAACTCAAACTTATATTTACCCTAGAAACCTAATACGTGCCTGAAATGGCTCGGTTTGAAATAAAAGGCATTTTAGGCAGGGGAGCATTTGCTACAGTTTTTTCGGCTCTGGATAAAGTGCTTAAGATTTAAGTAGCAATCAAGATGGTAGACAAAAAACTTTTCAAAAATAAAGAGCAACAAGATATTATAAGGCAGGAAGCGATGATGCTTAAAACACTTGAACATAATCACATTGTCAAAATCTTAGCAGTAAGAATTTTGATCTTTAACATAACTTAAGTTTTTCGAGACTTCTTTGAAATTTTATATTGTAATGAACTAGATAGATGGAGTCACTTTGGAAACTCACATGAGTAACCTCAAATCAACTGAAGTGGTTTCTATAACAAAACAGATTCTCAAGGCTCTAAGTTACTTGCACCAAAGAAACATTGTCCACAGAGATATCAAACCTGAAAATATTTTGATAAGCTTTTCAAATTCAGAATTGAAAGTCACCTTGATTGATTTTGGGTTGTCAGCATCTGTGAATAGAATTTAAAATTCAATGAATGGTTTGATGTTCCAAAATTGTGGCACACTCTTGTATCAAGCTCCTGAGTTAATCAAGAAGGCCAATTACACAAGAGTATTCATTCATATTACATAATTAGTCAGTAGACATTTGGGCTTTGGGCATTGTTGTGTATCAGATGTTAAATAATGGTTTACACCCATTTTATGAAAGAGGCGACACAAAAGGCATTTATGAGAATAAAATTAAAAACTCATCGCTAAACTTTTAATTTAATCATAACATCGATACCAACAACTTTTTAAAAAGAACCATTGCCTACCTACCTGAACATCGATTAACAGCCGATCAGTGTCTAGAACATCCTTGGATTACAGGTAGGGGTGACATCTCAGTTCCAATCACTTTGAATGAAATCATTCAATGCCAAGTAGAGAAGGAACAAAATATCACAAAATATTTAAAAATGATTGTGTTCCTCAAATACTTGATTCTATCATCCTCCTGTTATAGAACACCCTATAGAATTGAAGCGAACAAGCTTATTTAAACAGGGTCTCTGACAGAACGAATGTCTGATCTATCAACTGCCACCATCAATTTTAAAATACGTCCCTTATATATCAAGTCATAGACCAGATTAGACAAGGATGAAAGTGTGAGTAATAGCAGTAGAAATACAAGTGACATGTTTCCAGAAAGCATTGCCTAGGCTAGCACACCTGATAATAAAAAGATGATGAGGAAGAGTACTTCGATGAATCCGTAAGAAATTATGATTAAACAATTAAATTAAACTCAAAAGAGATTGGTTAATTTTCCTAATAAAGAGAAAAGTCCAGTAATTCAACCAAGAATACTCAAAAATACTTAGGCATCCGACTCTATTAGTTCAAGATTACTTAATAATGATAGTTGGAAGAAATTACCAAATACTAATCAAAATAGTAGATTAAGAATTATACAGCGACCTAATTTCTCAAGAAATCCCACGTAATTATGAAATTATTTAAAGTGAAAAATTAATTATTTAAATCAAAATATATTACAAGAAAGTACCAGATAATTACTAAAAATAGACCATACTTCTTTACTTGTTTACCTATTTTCTTTAAAAGAATTCGAAATAAGGAAAGAATAAAATACTTATATCTTTATTAATTAATGTTTACCTACTTGTATTTATTTTTAGTAAAATACTGCATATTTTGATTTAAATGTTATAAATCATGTGTCGACTTAAATTTTGGTATCCTGTTAATTGGAAATCCCATTTCCTTCAGATTCGCTATCTGGATATATCAATAATTCAAAATCTGAGTCCTTAAATTATTATTACAAGGGTAGGATATTAGTATTTTCTACTACTTTCTATTGAACTTGCAACAATTTGGACTCAGTTTATGAAATAGTTTAGACATCGTTGCTTTTCAGAATAGGGGGACTGCCATTGTTTGGAAGCTAAGTAAAAATATATAATACAATTGCGTTTAATTTATATTAATAATCTTGGTTGATACTGCATTCCAATTTGTTGATATTTTACTACTCTTCTTTAGCACTATCAGCATATTGTATTTGGAATGGGATTCCCTGATTATGAATTTACTGGATCGTCTTGGGAGGCAACAGATTCTATATCAGGAATTGCAGCCTTGATATTTCATAAATTTAATTAGAGATGGTTAATTTGATTTCACTAATATGGGATAGTTTTTGGTATTGCTGTTTAAAAGATTGCAGATCCAATAGTCTTCCATTCTTTTCCACCTTATTGATGTTCCCAAAGATATTCTTTGTGATTTTGATGTTCTTAAAATCAGGATAGTACATTTAAATAACATTGTTGATGGCTTCGAATTCCAATTGGCTTTGGTTCATGACAATGACCAAATAGGATAGTAACAGTAAGGTAGATGCAATTGATCCTGCTTCTGCTAGCACTTCACTGATTTTAGTATAGGAAACTGAGATTTCAATTTATATGTTATCGATTTTATACAGGAATGCCATATACACATTGTATCCAAATAGTTTATTGTAGTACTCTAAATCTAGAGAGGCACTAACTACACGATATTCATTAATGTATATGTAGTCATTGATGGATTCAAATAAAAAGCCAACGTCGACCTACGTCTAGGTAATTTGAATATATGTTTGTGATTGGTACACTTTATTAATTTGGAAGGGAATGATTTATTCTCTTCCTATTTTTTCGAGACTTTCGGTTTAAGTGTTGTACTCTTTGGCATAATGCTTGACCACAAGAGCATTGGTGGCTTAGTTCTTAAATTGCTAGATAACAGTATCGTTTGCACAAGCTTGTCCTTCCTTTAGAAAGGCTTCAAGACAAGCTCCGAAGGTGAGCATGAATTCAAACTCTGGATTGGCTTCGTCCCTTGTATCACTGATTGATACGGTCATATTGGTGAAGCTGATGGTGTGAAAGGTATCCTCGTTTGTGATGATTTCATAGTCAGGAACAAATGGTTTGCCAAAGGGAAGTCTATTCTTGAAAAGGTAGACGAGAGGTTGGAGAACGAGGGCGTCAGGGTTAAATGGATCATTTATAGAATAACCGAATTTTCTTAAATGAACATCTAGGAATTGCTCTTTGAGTTCAAAATACTGATTGTTCTCTACTTTTGAGGATGTAGTGATCTTAGGTAGTATTTATCCTGTTCTCCATTGAATGATTATATAAAGTAAGTAAGCGAAGCTCAATCCATACAATAAAATAGACATGATTCCTCCCCAACATGTTTTATATTGGGAGGTGGAATATTTGATACTTGGTTGGAATGCCACTCCAAATTGATCTATGTTTTTGAGTAATTTTATCATTTAGTATAATAAATATCATGTGATTTTATTGATTTCAAAAAACTAAGGCATCAATTAAGCTTCAGTTCTCTGCTTCTTGCTAATCAGCAACTCGAAATCTTGATCACTGAGCTCTTGTGGACAATTGAATTTATCAAGTGAACTCTGAAATTGTGATTTGAGTTGTTAAAACACCTCAGGCTTATGATTTACACTCGGTAACATAGAATTATCGGAATTATCTTGGAGCATATTTTATTACCCCTATTGTTGTTGTTGCTAAGTCATCTCAATTTTGCTGTCATTGGAGGGAGCCTAGATCAAATATCACATCCATACCACTCTGGAATCCTTAAACATCTCCACTTCTTGATTATCCATTTCATTGTCCTCTTTGGTATTTTCTATGAAGTTGTTTTCTTTGATCCCAATCTAATGGGAAGATATAAAATGGGATCTGCTTATGATGGACTGCAATATAAATTGGAGCCTTGAGATTTCGTAGATTTAATTTGTTATTGTCAATTTCACTTGTGCCACTTCTTTCAGTTTCCCATAATGCGAATTAAATTTGTCAATATTTAGATTTCTGTCCAATAACTAAATCCTGGTGATCTTGCCATACCAATTCTTTCTGTACTTTAAATATTTGAGATTCGGATAGAACATATTGATCACCTGGGATATAGCCTCACTCTCCAAAAAGTATTGGTTGGTCATTATGACAAATGCGGAGGTCAACAGTAGAATAGACACAATTGAGCCTGTATCAGCCAATACCTCATTGACCTTTGGATATTGGATATATTGGATAGACTTTATTCCATTCAATTAGTAGTTGTTGATAAAATAGGTGGTAGAGTTTATCACGTCTGCGAAGAACTTACTATTCACCTGCTAACCCGCTGTTGAGATATCTAAGATAAAGTCTCTCTAATACGTGTTCTCAAATAGCAATCCATTGTCGATCACAGTCTCCTACATCTTCAAAGTGCTCGTTGAAAAATAGACCGAACTGGGATCCAAGGCCACAATAACCTCGGATCCGAATGTGTTGATCTTTTCTTATTGAGCATTAAACTATTTGATGAAAGTTGTAAATAAGAGTGTATTAACTGATTAATTGAAGAAGCTTTTTCTGGTCGTTGAATTGGCACACTTCAACTATGTATTGTTCGCCAAAATTTGAGGAACACAGTCAATCAATATGATCATGTACTCCAACTCTGGAGATTCCACCGTCCTCTCTTTACTTATGGCCAGAGTGATGTTGTCAAAGAATATGGTAACGAACTCATCATCAGCAGTGTTGTTTATTAAGGGAAGACTAGGAGGAGTAATCAATTGCCCATTCACATATTAGAATATCAATGGAAGCATTACTATATTCTAAGGATTGAAGGGATCTATGTTTGTGTCATTCATCTTTCGCATTCGAATAGAAAAGAGAGGTTCATCAAATTAGATTTATTGGTTTTCTATTACTTCACTTGATACTGTGATTTTGGGTAACATCCCCCCCTCCTTCCAAATAGCAAATTAGTAAATGAAATATCCTAAACTTATTCCATAAAGCAAAATAGATAATATTCCACCTAAAACTGTTTTATACTCACTATCTTATGTTATACTGGGTTTGAATACAACTCCGAATTGATCAAGATCCCGAAGAAACTTCTTTATAATCTAATTTAAGTTAGACATAATAAATATAAAAATGTCTTCAAATTCTGTTAATCATTAATCTTTCTCTTAATTACTAAATAATCAGCAAATATTACAGTATGATAGATAAATAAAATACAAAAATTATAAATATTTATTCATGATTATGTTAGTCTCTTGATGTTCTATCTTTATGCACAACTCGAATTTTTTTTAGAACCAAAATAATATTGTGGAGTATTCAAATAAGCACTCTGATTTTAAGAGGAGATAGAATTGATATCCATAGTTTCATTTTTTCTCAAGATGGTTCTCAATCTTGGTTTGGTGTGCACGAATGAATAAAAGTTATATTCAGGAGTTTTCAAATATGTTGGTGAATTCTAATTGCTCGATCTCAAAGAATCTACTTTTTCAAGACCATCCAAATTCATTTCCATCTGTCCCTCCTTCAACATAGATGGCCTGATAAATCTCCTCATCTTCAAAACCAACTATAACTTTTATTTCAATATCTTCATCCTTATCTTCTTCGGTTCGCAAACTCCCTTATAAATCAAATCTTGCAATGCTTAATTCTTCCTTTAACGAGAGTTTCCCAGATTCTAAGACAATTACATCCTCAATGGAGATGTTTGTCTTTTCACTTTGTTTCTCACAAATTCCGAAATGGCATTCTGCTAAGTCAAAGGATTCGTTCTATCATAATCAGTGGGTAATTTCAAATAGACATCCTCGTACCTAACTGAATCCTCCTCCTCATTTAGATCCTTAAACAACATTCTATGAATTCTGTAAGTTGGTAATATGATTTCTAATCCTGCTAAAACAATCGAAGCCAAATTCAAGGATTAACAAAGCTTGCCAGAATTGAATACAAAATCTATCCAAAATTGCATAGTTGCAAATAGAATTGGACTCAAATCTATTAAATATAACATTTCTGAGTCCAAATGACTACTTTAAAATGGAGGCTTCGAGTTTCTTCTCAATAGTAGATACTTCTCAATCCAATAATAACTCACCAATCCCACCTACCCAAATAATATCGATATTGGGATCAGAGGAGCGAAAAAAAAAGTAAGCCAAGTTGTTTTACACAGATATGAGTACTGATCATAAAATTCAACTTAAGGACCTTCAAATAGTTTATTTGCCTAATATTAATCCATATCTTTGTTTTTCTCGATTCGTAATTGTCTAATTTTCTTAAGCAAATAAAGAGGGTTGAAGTACAAAGACAAAGGTATGAGAATGGCATTTGTTCCTGAAACATACAAGAAGTCATCAGCAATGCCGCCCTATTATTGGACTGCCAGATTGCTCAATTAATTCGATTGATATTTCAACTATGGATTGTATGCACCTATGATGTTTATTATCATTAAAAGCAAACAGGAATTCACAAATTGCACATAACTTAACTTCTATGCTATGGACGTGTCTTGATAAGTTTTGGTCACGTGTCTCTCCTGATTTGCTAAAAGTGTGATAAAGTAATATATGAGACCCTCCACTAGTGCGATTATTAATGATTTAGAGAATGACACCATGGTTGTTATCAAAAATTAGTTATCATCAGACTGTAAGAAACTATTCTATGTTTATTGAATACGATTACTTAAAACGCATTTAAACCATATAGTATTCCAAGAGAAAACCCAAGTAAAAACAGAATCACGAACCAACTGAGTATCTTCCTCTTTAGTTGTGTATTTTAATCGACCCCACAATTCTCCCAAAACACGTCATCTGGCTCAGGTGCTCTATTTATTTAGATCAGTTCTCCTTTGAAATAGAACCCCCTGCTATCCTTTTTCTTGATCAACGACTTGACTGCTATCATAAAGACTTCCCAATAGGATAACTTAGTCTACTCCAATAGACTTTTTAGTTCTATTCTTAATTAATATTTAACATACACTTCTTCGTTTAAAATGTAATGAACGCAATGGGTGTAGTCTTCCTGTAACACCCATTTTCAATTTCGTATTCAATTATCTATTAAAGTTGAGAAATCTCCTTAATTTAATTAATTAATTTTTCTCTATTTTTTGTCTTACTCCGTTCCAACTGCTTCTCCAACTTGAGCTTCTCCCTGCCCTAATCGATAAATTAAGATATATCATAAGCTACGTTAACTTTCACTACTTCGTAATTGTTATCGGGATCGAATTGCTTACAATACTCCTCTAGTGCATGTTTCAACTCCTTCTCATCATAGTTATTTTTGGGCAGATGATTCAAAATGGCTGTGAAATCAGAAGGCGACAACAGTTCCTTATCTATCGCAAACTCAACTTGTTTCTATTTCTCCCTTATCAACACCATTGATATTTTCATAATGATAACTGAACACAGCAGAATCGAGGATTGAATTATTCTCTATTAGCTTTCTGCTTGCTTGTTGATGAATGACAATTGGGACATCTGAGAACGAAGACAAACCTTAGTGTAATGATGGCAAATCTACGAACAATCCGAAAAGATCTTAGTGAATTAATTGAAATCCTCATGTTCCAATGGACAATTCTATTCACAACCCTGTTCTTGCCACAACACATATGCGTAGTTATCCTTTGAAATACAGTCATCACCCAAAACGTTGAAGATTATATTTGGAACCATAAAGCATGCCAACATCAAAGAGTATATCACAGTTACCAATATCGTTTGATTAAAGAATAAGGGAACCCCTTAACCCAAGAAGGCCAAATCTATGATCTTAATTGATAAGGGCAGGGAAATTTTGGAAACGCTGAGTCCACAACATGGACAATACTCAGAATTCTCGAAACTATAACCGCAACTGGTGGCTAACTAAAATCTCATAGGTTGTAACCTTGTGTTTCAATGCGTATTCTTTCAGAGGTGGCTTTTTGAACAAATCAAATTTTATGGTGTTGCCCAAAAATTATGGATATTCCATTTATTATTTTATATAAAATGCGTAGGTAAGATTGATGAATATTACAATAAACAAACAATTCTTGTTAATCGTAATATTCTATTATAATAATTAATTAATTATAAAAATCATTACCAAATTACGAATTTCCTGTCCAACCCTGTGGATATCATCGTCTTTATATCATTCGTTATACAAACCGATGTGTGCTAAAATATATACTCAACACTTCTTACTTTTGTATCCGATATCTCATAAACAGAATGCAAACTCCAATCCCTAGAATTCCAAAATTTTATGTTCCCATCATAAGAAGAACTAATTAAAAATTTACTATAAATTGGCTAAAATTTTAGATCGCTCACCAATTTAATATGTGCAGGTATCTTTTCTATCACATTTCTTCTTCTTATATCCCAAACCCTTATGAAATTATCATCTCCACCAGTTGCTAGATGATAACCGTTCGTACTGAAATCACTAGCTAAGATTCCTTTGACATGACCAACAAATGGCAAAATGCCTTTGCCTATTCTCAAATCCCATGCCTATCCAAATCCTCCCAAATCCCCTGTGAATAATAAGGAACCATCCGGATGCAAGGCTCCAGAATAGATTGCCCTGGAATGTCCAGTCTAGACCATTAACTCAGTTTACGTTTCGATATCCCATAATCTCCATGTCTTATCAAAACCCATACTTATCAATCTTTTACCGTCCTAATGAAATATTACTTTGTTTATCCTGTCTTCATGACCTTTCAATACAATTGATTTTTACAACATTCCCAAATTCTCTATCTCTTACTAATCCAAATCCAATGTCCATAATCTAATAGATAAATCAGCTGATGCAGTAGCAACATTGGCAAAAGATTACGGAGATAATGTCAATAATGATTAAGGATGAAATGCTATAGAATGACACTTTGTTAAATGTCCCAAAAAACTTGACTTTAGTGTGGCGGTTTCTATGTCCCACAATTTACATTCTCCAGATCCACCAGCAGTTGCAAGGTACTTTTGATCAGAACTAATGGTTGATCTAGAAATTCCTGAAGAATCACCAAATTAAGACATTTAAATTGCAAAATGGTTTACTTTCTACATCTCCTCCAACACTTCTTAATCCTCTTACAAAGCATCAACAGTCAATCTTCTTAGTCTCTGTTTCTCAACTCTTAGTGCTGCATTGTGAAGTGATAGCTTGGCTATTTCTATTCTAGCAGCCCTCAATTATTCAACCCCTTCATATAAGAAGTATTCATTCTCTAAATTACCCATATTATGATTGTTCTATTGCTTAAAAAACTAAGGCAATCTCCCATATTACATCAAGTGTTCTGTTAACAATGAGCGAAGTCGCTACCTCCTATCAGCAGCACTTTCACCAAAATAAGTTACTGGCTACCCTAATTATCTTAATTATGACTTTATTTCATTTTCCTGAGTGGGCACCATCAATTTACGTGCTTCTGCCATTAGTTTCTATTTTCTTTCATTTTCTTCCTATTGTTTTTATTATCTGTCAACATTCTCAGTTGTATACGATATAAATGGCAATGACTCCTGCTGCTGATTTATTATTGTAGGTGCTCTAGTGCTCAATTAAGATATTTAACTTAAACTGTCAGTGACTCTTTGTCTTTCTTATTATTATAAATTCATAGATTAAATTGTTATAAATTATAGCTTTTAATATTAATACTTAATATTAGGAATATCAACTTTCTTCCATTGTCAAAAGAAACTCGTAAGTTATCTCTTACACCTTACTACTTAATTACTCCGGTATAGATGTAATTGCAGCTGATACAAAAAACTAAAATGCTTTTACCTAATTATTTTAAGGAATTTGATAAATTTATATAGTTTTACGAATGTCTCCAAGTTGATTATTATGAATATTGACGAAGAAATCCTGAAGGTATATGCCTTACTTAAGAACTCCGCTGAAACACTAGAAGATGTGTTACATAAATCATTTGAAATACCAGTTGACAATTGGTCCAAGGAGAAACCTGCATTACTATTCCCTGATTCTGGAGATGGCTTATAGGATTTATTAGAGTTGATGAGCAGAATCGACAAAAACTTAGATCAAGTTCGCGTAAACATAAGATAGTTTGAATTGAATAAATTCTAAGTGATCAAAGAAGAAGAATTCGATCCCCGCTATTCCCAACCGCTGATTGATTACGAAATCGTTTAGAATGCTGAATAGACTAAAATGAATAGAATGAAATCGAATGTGAATAGATTGCAACGCCAAATTTAGGCCTATTAATAAAAATATTAATAATGAATTAATTAGGCGTTCTTCTTCTACTTGACTCACCTGAGAATCTGTAATTCGGAATTGATAATTCCCAATGGATAGTTGGAAAGAAGTTCAAAGGAGTACAAGCCATACCCTTTGGTACACACTATGTCCATTATTCCCTAAAGGAAGAAGGCTATCAATTCAAGTAAGGATTCTTCTTCATAGTGTCACCAGAAAACAAATATCTGGTCAAACAATGGAATAGTGAATTATAAGAATTCCTTACTTTCAAGGATTGTGCTCCATACATACACACTCTAGAAATGCATGATTTCGATTTGTATTTGGGAGTTTATCCAATGGATAAGTACGACATATGGAAATAATGTGTGAATCTGATCAATAGAAAAGTCTTAGATAAATTGGATCCAATCAAAAATATATGTGTTGAAGAATACAATGATAAAGACATTGGCAGCAACAACCCCTTGCATTCTACCATCTACTATACTGATATACCTAAATTAAAGAACCCAAGCAAATCTCATGGATAATAATTGACAGCCTTAAATTTTGATAAGTCAACCATAGTAGAAGAATTATTAAAATCAGAATATCAAAGTGACTATTCTCTTCTTTTGGGAGAAATCTAATATGCATTCGTTAAGTTTTTATTGGGAGAACATTTTGAGTCATTCGAACAATGGAAATAACTATTAATTCTAATTACATCCTGTGAAAGGTTAATTGAAGAATAAACTAACTTGTTTATTGACTTCATCCCTGTATTTTACCATCAGCTATAACAAATGCCAAATGATTTCTTTGTTGATCCCATTAGTTCAAGCAATTTCATCTAATCGTGCATTAAAAACTTGATCGAATTATCATAGAATGACAATCCAAATATGATTAGATAGAAAGTATACTTAGAATATTAATATTAGCTAATCCAAAGATGCAATAAATTGAAAGAGTTAATCAAAGTCAAATTTGTATAAGATGTCGTTTAGGTGGATGATGAAGATGAACCAGTTGTAGTTGAAGACTTCAATTTTATTTAACTATGATATATGTAATTAAAAATATAATCAAGATTATTGTTAAATTTCTTACTGCATGTCATGTCCCTCACTTTACATAGTCTTGCTCTTTTATAATCGTGCTGGTTATATGATAGAAAGCCTCCTCTTTTCTTCCTACACAATCGACTTGACCCTTGAACCTCTTCTCTTTTCGTCTATCTTTAAGAATCTGTCCACTCTTTTGAATTATACCCAAGCTTTGCCATCCATCAATTCATCTAACTTCCTTTAATTATTTAATTTTTACTTCCATATTTATTTCTTCCTCTGAGTACCCATTTTCTTTTACAATCTCCCAAAATGCCATCCACTCTTCCTCTGTAATGTCTCCACTCTTGTCAAAATCAACTGCTTCAAATAGTGCTTCGGTGTTTAACTTTGCAAAGTTGGACTTCCTTAATAAGTTATTTAAATGGTTACCAAAACTATTCGGTTCCTTCCTTATCGATAGTTCCGGTCCCTTTGATATCAAGCTTTTTAAAAATCTCACTCGCTTTCTCCCTAAGTCTTTCACTTAGTGGCTCGTGAATTTTTGCAGTAGTGCAACCCATATTTTATTAATTTATATGAATAAAATGGAAAAACATCAATTTCTATACAGAAAAATGGTTGGATAAACTTATTTGAACAGGAGTGAATTCCATCTTAGATTTTTTAGAGGAAGCAGTTACATTTTGAATGGTATGGCATCAACAAAAATACTTGACCGATATACTATATGCACATGATGAAGAAAGCCAGCATTGCGAAAATGATTGATAATTCAGATACCTTTTAAAATTAGGTTAAATTATTGTTAATGGAAAATTCATAATTAAATAAACAAATTGTAGTATTTTAATATTTTTATTCTTATCAAAAAAGATAAAGGAAAAGATCATTGATAATTAGTCATAAAAAATAAGAAAACAAAGAGATACTCAATAAATAACTTAATTGCATGATTACATTTTTGGACTAGTATTTGGTATATGTTAAAAAAGAGTCTATAGACAAATAATGTTTGAGACCCTTTTTATGGTGACGATGGTGCATGAATTATTAAATAATCAAATGGCCATCTAAACATTTTAACAAATACTATTTAATCATTTTTCAAAATAGATTTCGGTGGAAGGAATATTGATTTGAAGAGTTATCACTAATAGTATCTCTTGAGCATTTTTCTTTTTATTTATAATTTATTAAAGTATTTCTATGTTAGATTCTTAACCTAAATGAAGCATAAATAATTATTTTGGAGATAAATCGTAATTGGCATAGTAAAAGCTATGATAATACTAGTAGCCTTAAATTAAATAAACTTTATACTAAAAATAAATTGTTCATATTAATTGAATTTATATATTTAATAGATCTAAATATGAGAGCATATCTAAGAAGAATTCAAGCTTATTTAAGTAAAAGGAGCATAAATTCATTTTTTTATTTGATGGTTCATATTGTTCCAGTAACATTAAATTTTTGGTATTTTCATGTATATAAGTAATAATTATAATTTAAATTTAAATTTGAACTATTAAAAGTATTGTAGAAATAGAAATTTATGCATTTTGGATAGGAAAACATAGAAAAGATTTGCATAATCGTTTAATTCTATATTTTTAAACAATCTAAAATAACATTTTACATGTAAATCATAAATCATTTTTTTAGATTCTAAAATAAATTATTAATTTCGCGCTGCACTCTTCTCAATTCTAGAATCGAAAGGAAAAGAAATAGTTCGCCATCAATAAGAGCAATTTATTTATCTTGATTTTATTTCCCTTCTTTTTGATAGTTAAAGTATTTATTCATGTAACAATTCACTTAACCTTATTATGAGCAATACTACTTAAGTTATAATTTTCTTGGATATTATTGATTATTTTGCTAAAACTAGAAGTTCCCATTAAATTTTTCTTGTTCCAAAACTTTGCTGAACATATTTTTTATAATTTTAAATAATTCTTTTGAGTGATTTAATGAATACTAAATGATACCTTCAAATGAACGATTGATATATTTCTTTATATCTACCCCTATAGAGATAATTTTTATTTGCTTTTATTAGGCCATATTTATCAATTATTAAAGTTCCTTAAATTAATAGTCATAAAAAGAGTGATTAATAAATATCAAATATTTTTTGTAATGACAAAATCTTTCAAATTCATCAAATATTTATTAAAATTATGGATCAGTATTATCTGCTGAAGCTTCATTCTGGTAATCAATTAGTTTTTCAATTAATATAGTATATTCATAATCGGTCCATAAAGTAGAGAAATTTGACTTTATAATTATTAAAGGATTATTCAAAATCATCAAATTACAAATTAACTAATATTACTTACATATTTCAATCAATAAAGATAAAAATGGTAATACAACATCTAACAATGTTTCCTTCTAAATTGAACTTAAATCTAAAATTACATAAAAAACATAAAGTGACTTTCCCCCTCTATTTTTTCTCTTCATAATGTCTCTAGCAGTTCCATTAGTACAAAAAAATTTGATGATGCCTTTTATATCTATAGTGGTTCCTTTTGATGATAAAGAATATTTTGTAAACGTATTTATCTCTAAAAGTCCTTTTAAGCTATTTGCTTCTTATGGGTCTATCTAGAAACCATATTCATTCAATTTTTGTTTTAATTCCTCCTTTTCCTGATTACCTTATAACCTTTATTTTTTCATTAATGGTGATTTTTTTTCTATTTGATTTAAAAATTCGAATAAATTATTTGAACTACTGATAATTTATCCATTTTTAATATTAATAGCATTAAATTGATTTTAATCTTAAATTTGAATAATCGTACTGAATCCTTCATTTTGTAATTCTGTTCTACAATTATTTGATATTTCTAATAATTATTCAGTAAATAATAAAATAACATCATTATTATTTATGCTATTCTCGTTTACAATACTAAAATCCTTATTACTTTACCCAATCAAGGCATGTAAAATTTCATCAAGAAGAGAAATTGTTAAAGCTTCTTCTTTTCGCTTCAAAAATACTGGTTAAATTTGTCCAGATAAGATTACATCATAATTCAAATTTAGAAAAGATAATTGCAATAGTAGTTATCCAAAATTTTCAAGAAACTTTTATTTTGCATTTTAATCTATTACTATTATTCTAATTTAAGTTTTATTGATTGATTTAAAGGGTTTTTTATACTCCTTCCATTGTTGATAAAGATGTTTTTCAGCAATATATATTAAGTAATTATACTATGCCGATGTTAGTTTTGTATTCAAATCTTTATTTTTATTTTATTATTGATTTAAATGACCATAGAGATTAGCATTAAAAAAGGGAGATATTGGCCTTAAAAAAGATAGATTAAAAAAATTGTAATCATCGAATAATGAATCGTCTTAAATATTAAGTGAGTAATGATTTTATGCAGAATTTGATGTAGGGATAAAAATTGGAAATAGCAACCGCTTATTTTAACTAGTATTTGTAGTTGGTTGTTATGATATATTAGTTTCATTTTAGGGAATAAATTATGATTAAGGAATATTATAAATGACAGGTTATTAAGATTAAAATTAAATTTAATTTGAATAATAGTATTTATTAGTTGGCTAAATGGTATTACTGTTTAAGAATGTGGATGTATTTAATGGTTAGGTTTAAGTATTAATATTTTATTAATATGACCTTTAGGGAAGAAATTAATTTTATTAACCAATCGAAGATTATTAATTATTCTAAGAACAATGTGTATGATTTAATACTTAAGTTTAATAAATTGTTTTTTATTCATAATTAGTGTTTGTAGATGCATTAAAAAATTAAACATTAGTATAAATTGGTGATTAATTTAATGGTTAATCATTATTAATATTAGTTGATACTTATGTAAATTATATATTTTAATTATTTAGTGATTAATTTAATGGTTACTCATTATTAGTGTTAGTTGATACTTATGTAAATTATATATTGTTATTATTTTGTGATTAATTTAGTGGTTACTCATTATTAGTATTAGTTGATACTTATGTAAATAATAAATTTTAGTTATTGAGGAATTAATTTAATGGTTACTCATTATTAGAGTTAGTTGATACTTATGTTAATTATATATTGTTATTATTTTGTGATTAATTTAGTGGTTACTAATTATTAGTGTTAGTTGATGCTTATGTAAATTATAAATTTTTAGTATTTAGGAATTAGTTTAATGGTTACTCATTATTAGTGTTAGTTGATACTTATGTAAATTATAAATTTTTATTATTTTGTGATTAATTTAATGGTTACTCATTATTAGTATTAGTTGATGCTTATGTAAATTATAAATTTTTAGTATTTAGGAATTAGTTTAATGGTTACTCATTATTAGTGTTAGTTGATACTTATGTAAATTATAAATTTTTATTATTTTGTGATTAATTTAGTGGTTACTCATTATTAGTATTAGTTGATACTTATGTAAATAATAAATTTTAGTTATTGAGGAATTAATTTAATGGTTACTCATTATTAGTGTTAGTTGATACTTATGTAAATTATATATTGTTATTATTTTGTGATTAATTTAGTGGTTACTCATTATTAGTATTAGTTGATACTTATGTAAATAATAAATTTTAGTTATTGAGGAATTAATTTAATGGTTACTCATTATTAGTGTTAGTTGATACTTATGTAAATTATATATTGTTATTATTTTGTGATTAATTTAGTGGTTACTCATTATTAGTATTAGTTGATACTTATGTAAATAATAAATTTTAGTTATTGAGGAATTAATTTAATGGTTACTCATTATTAGTGTTAGTTGATACTTATGTAAATTATATATTGTTATTATTTTGTGATTAATTTAGTGGTTACTCATTATTAGTATTAGTTGATACTTATGTAAATAATAAATTTTAGTTATTGAGGAATTAATTTAATGGTTACTCATTATTAGTGTTAGTTGATACTTATGTAAATTATATATTGTTATTATTTTGTGATTAATTTAGTGGTTACTCATTATTAGTATTAGTTGATACTTATGTAAATAATAAATTTTAGTTATTGAGGAATTAATTTAATGGTTACTCATTATTAGTGTTAGTTGATACTTATGTAAATTATATATTGTTATTATTTTGTGATTAATTTAGTGGTTACTCATTATTAGTATTAGTTGATACTTATGTAAATAATAAATTTTAGTTATTGAGGAATTAATTTAATGGTTACTCATTATTAGTGTTAGTTGATACTTATGTAAATTATATATTGTTATTATTTTGTGATTAATTTAGTGGTTACTCATTATTAGTATTAGTTGATACTTATGTAAATAATAAATTTTAGTTATTGAGGAATTAATTTAATGGTTACTCATTATTAGTGTTAGTTGATACTTATGTAAATTATATATTTTTATTATTTTGTGATTAATTTAGTGGTTAATCTACTTTGGTGTTAGTAAATTCTTATTTTAATTAAACATTATAATTTTCTAGCGATTCACTTTTCATTTAACTATTATTTGTGTTATTTATTACTTATTGGAAATTAAAATTATTTTATTTTTGTTATACTTTTTATTATGAGTCATTATTTTTGGTATTTGAAATTTATTCTTATTCATTATTTTTCAATGGTTATTTTCTTATTATTTCTCTATTATTATTATTTTAATTAGCTTATATTGTTTTTTAATATTTTTGCCCGGCTTAAATATCTTTATTTTAAAAATTATTTTAACATGATTAATCATTTTAATTATTCTAATTATTTGAAATTGTTTATTCATGTTAATTATTTATATTATATTCTATATTTGGTTGATATAATTAGGTTTCGTTTTTAACTTCTTAATTAATTAGGTTTTCTCCTTTAAGATTGTATTCAATGTCATCTTTTCTTGTATTTTATTCAACTTCTCTAGTAATCTATTCAATTTCTTACCGAATGTCTACATTAAATACGTTTTTATAATAATTTTATACTTCCCACCTCTTTTTATAAATTTCGATTTTAAGATCTTAACCACTATTAATAAATTATTCTTGATTTAAAATTTTTAATAATCCTTATATTTTTTGGATTGTTAATTTAAAGTTTTCTTATATCTCACTTAGATTCCAAGATATTTTCTTAATATCACTAAATTGTTTTAATTCAAAAAATTAGATTTGATATTCAAATACAACTTCTAAATTGTTAACTAAGTTTATTTAAATTTCAAATTTTCTAACTTAAAAAAAATTCTTAAAAATTTATTCACTTATCATTTCTTCCAGTTTATTTAAATCAAATTACATTATTCCTCTTAATCTTTATTTTTTCATTAATTAAATATTAAAACTTGTTATAAAAATCATATTCTCGAAACATATATCAAAGTTTAAAACAAAACCTTCCCCTTTTATATAATTTGCTGAAGTTTTCAATTGCTTTTAAAATAATATGATTTCAAAATCTCCAAAGGCAACAAATGCTTTATGCATTTATAAAATTTCAAACATAATATTAAGGAAAAAATTAGGAATATCAATTTTAACTTCTCCTTTGCCAATATAGTCATTCCCATTATAATATAATAAACAACAAGTCTATAAACGATCTTCTTGTTCTCGAGCATCTATCATTATAACAATTGGACACTACTCTGTCTACAAAATCTGATGTGTATTAAATTAAATTTAAAAATTGTGAAAATCTAGTTTATTAAATCTTTTCAAAAGGCTGAACAATTTTGAATTGCCAAACTTATTAATAAATTCTTTGGGAAAATTACATTTTTCGCCATCTAAATTGAGCTATCCATTTATAACAATAACTTGTTGAGTGTTAGGAAAGATTTTTAAAAATTCTTTTGGGAAAATTTTACATAAATGGAAAAATTCAAGCGCTTTTTTTACTTTTATATTAACAAAATCAAAGGCCCATGTCATTGGTATAAAATAATTGTAATATAATACAATAAGGTCTGCAAAACCATTATATATTTTAGCATTTAAATTTGCAATTGATTAAATATTATTTTAATCAATTTATAAATGATAGGTCCCAAAAAAATTCAGCCACTCTAATCCAAAAGCATTTTTGAATGCAATTTCCAATTTTCCTGATGCTGAACTATTCCTAAAACAAATATTCCCATTATATATCAAATTTCCAAAATTTTGATAAGAATATGTTAATTATAATTCAATTTAAGAATCAATTTCAGTTGATAATTTTCTAAACTTATAAGCACTTTCAAAATTTTCCTTTTAAAAATATAGTTTTTTGCTTTCAATAAGAAAATAAGTTTCATATTAATAAGAAATTTCAAGTTCTATATTTTTTGGAATAAAAAAAAGTATCTCTTAGAGTTTTTGTTTAAATTCAGCATAGCACTATACAAAGCAACTAAATCCAATTCTTTTTAATTTTCCTAATTATTACAAATTCAAATAATTTTAATAGCATATACTCATATCCAGATCATTGATAAAAGGCAAATCTTTATCGGTTGAATATATTATTAAACAATCTGCTTTTTCTAATTAAAAAATATAATCTAGTTCAGATAAATTTTGAATAATATCTTTAAATTCTTTTTTATCTTTTTCAAATTATTATTGTAAAATCAATGAAAATGTACTCAAACTTAAATAAAGATTGAAGTTGTGATATTATCCAATAAGTTTTAAGATTGTATTTTATTATTTGATTTCCATATCATTGATTTATAATTCCTGGTTTATTATTGGAAAGTCTTATTAATATAGTTAGATTCTATCATATTGATCTTTTTGTGAAATAAAGGGAAGTAATTATGAGGCTTTCATTTATTTGTTTAATTAGGTAAATTTACAACTTTGTGAATCCTGATCATATTAAAGTATAATTGGAATTTCAAAAATATTTAAATGACAAGTTAAAGTTATTTCTTGTAAATTTTTTGCTTAAATTATCTTCAAATTAAAATCTTAAATTTTAAGTATATACCATTCAGAATTGATCTGTTTTTAAGAATCAATCTAAAACATTTTGAAATTAAAATTCTAATCTACTATTATTTTACAGGTGATATTTAAAAATATCTTATTAAAAAATTCGTATTCAGAGATACTTAATTAGAAATTATGATTTAACTTTTGTATTAAATTATTGGCATTTACATTTTGAAATTCAAAAATAAACTCTTACTCTTCAGTTAATTGCAAAGGATCTATAGTTATTTTATTTCTCAAATTAATGTCATCCAAAATTTCTAATTCAAATGATAAATTTGAATTTTTTTCTATTTAAATCTCTTCACTTACAAAAAACATGAAGACAATATTTTTCAACTTTAAAGCTGAGATATTATTCCATGAAAATATTTTAACTTATTATTTAAGCTCGAAAATGGTTTTATTGTTATAAATACCCAAGTTAACTTTTATTTCATCATGTTTTATATTTTCAAAAAAAATAAAATTCAATTATTTATTATAAATAGTTAAGAAAAACTCTTTCGACTCAAATTTAGGGTTTAATTAAAATTTAGCTTCAAATCCTTTTACTTCCTTGTTAAAAATTAGATTAAAAGATCCTAAGTTAAAATCACGAACAAAGCATATCCCTGATATACAACTATCCACCCAACTTTAATTTTTATACAGAATCGAACCATTTAAATTTTGAAGTCTTACAAAATTCTCTAAAATTTGACATTAACTATCTTATATCTATAATATTATAGAATATTTCCAAGATAAATTCTTCTCTAATTTAAACAAAAACTCAAAATTTTCAACATCAAACTGTAATTTCTTTTATGAAAGAGTTATTCCAACACTATTCTCTAAGAATTCATTGAAACTAAAATTCTTTAATGAATTGGAAGTAAATTTTAATTATTTAATTAAACTTTTAGGTTTATTAATTTATTGGGGTTAAAATTATAAATAAAAATTAATTTATTGCTTAAAGAAAATTACTTTTATTTCCAAAGTTGCGAAGATATTCCTTAAATTATCAGATGAACCAAATACTAATTTTACATTCTCAAATTATAAATCAGAAAAATTCTGTTTACTATTTTGTTTCACAACATTAAACTCTCCATTAAACTTTTGAGATAACATATTGTATTAAAATCTAACAATTTAATCTAATTTAGGAAAAATATCTAAATCTTCAAAATTAGAATCAAGCAAGCCAAAACCGAAACTAATTGGATTGATCTACATTATTAAGGGTTAATTTTCGATTTTTAAATCAAGTGAACTGTTAGGAGTTAGTAACAACTAAAACTTATTTAGAGTCATATTCATAACTTTGATAAAGCCATTTAAATTCAACTCAAAACTTTAATTTTTTGCTTTAACATTTAAAACACATTGACAAAGGGTTAAGTATTTGGATACATTCCATTGGTTTAATAGATCGACGCTAAATTTCAATTCGATTTAATCATCCCATATTATAAAAGATTCTTGAGATAAAATAAATTTCTAATTGTTATTTTCTTCATAATTTAAATTTATCTCTTTTTCAAGTTTTTCATTCAAATTGGATTAAAATTCTTCAAATCTTAATTTAGATCCAAGCTCATTTGAAGTTTGGAATTCTTGAACTTCTTTTTCAAATTGTTATGAAAGTTGTTCTCCTAATTTTCTAAAGTTATCAACATTGAATAATTATGGAAAATCTTCCTTCCTCTTAAATTATTTAGTTTATTATTGATTAAATCCAGAAATAGTTTATAATTAGTTTTTCAATTCAATTGAAAATACCTCTATGATATCTTTTAGATAAGGAGAATTTTTTCCTGTTTTTAAAATCATCTTCATTTACTTTTTTTTTTATTTGGAAAACAAAGATAAAAAGTCAAAAACCACTTAAAATTCAAAAATAAATTTAAGAATTTCAATAGTGAAACAAATAGTAAAGTTCATTGTCTAAGGATCAATATGACAATAGATATCCATATTTTTCACTTCTAAATGAATATTTTGAAAAATATTCATTTTCCAATCTATTGAAAAATTAAATTCACAATTCCAGTAGAGTGCATTAGTGATCAAATCCAATTTCTTTATAATTGTCTTTTAATTCTCCACAAATAGTTAAAGAAAATAATTATTGCTATCAAAATAATTTAATAAAAATTATTTAATGAAATTTTAACAATTAATTTAATGCTACTCTTAAGATAACTATAATTTTAATTTTTATTTTTCAATTCGTGCCGTTAAACTACAAAAATCCTTTTCAAATATCTGAAATGTACATTGAATATTTCCATTTAGAGTAATTTTTTCCTTTAATAATAAATATGCTAAAATTCTATTTATTCTAATATAAAATGGCAACTTATATATTTAAATAGAATTTTCACATTCTAAATTTATTTCTAATTTTCTTTCTTTAAGATCTAAATATGAGGCAAATTTGGGAGATTAAACTATATTGATATTTGAGAATAAATTGAAGCAACCATAATCTTAAAAAATATTAATTTAATTTTCAGGGGGAATAATAATCTCTCCTCTAAATGAACTTAAATTATCTACTCTGCTAAAGAGCTCTTTCTTAATAAAATACTAATTTAATTCAAGTTATAAATCAAAACTCAGTGAAAATTGTGTTACAATATTTTCTTTATTAAAAGAAATTTGCCCAGATATATTCTTAAATTTAAGATTGGGAATATACGATAATGAATAATCAAGTAATTTAAAATTGAAGAAAATTTCTATATATTAATCTAGCTACATTGAGCATTCAATCTCAGATTTGGAGAGCATATGCTTAAAAATCTTAAAAAACTATTATTAGGATGGTCCAATAAGAGAATTAATCAATGGAACCAAAAATAAATCATTCGGTTATTAAATCGATACTAGCATTTGACCTTCCGATAATCTTGCCTCAGCTAAAATAGATTATTTCTAAAATAAAAATTTAGATTTGACTAACAAATTCTTCAATTCTTAACTTTTTATAAATAAGGACAAAAATGTAGGATATATTTTTATAGATTGTTAACCAAACTACTTAATTAATTCTCCTTAAACTTGAAATTCATAACATCCTAAATCATATTAATTCCCCTCTAAAAAGTTAACTAGAAAAATTTATTGACCTAGACCTTCAATGAACCTTTAATTAACCTAAATTTCTTTTTATGACAAGTTTGCTTTTAAAAATTAACTAATATTTCTTAAATCTAGAAATTTTTTAGGTATATCAATAGTTTTCAAAGTGCTTGAGACTAATTTATTTAATCTTGAATCAGTGTAATTATCAATAATAGTATCTGGAACATTATGAGACTGTAAATCAAAGATAGGAAAATATGGATTTTTTTTGGATTCTTTAAATTCTGAGCCAAAAACAATTTCCATTATTTAATCATACTATTAAAATCCATTTTCTTGTATCATTTTGAAGGCTTTTATTATATTTCTTAAATTAATTATAGCATTTGTATGTTCTTTGATAAATATGACTTACTTCAATAAATTATTTGCTAAAATAACATTATCTTGTTAAATTGATTATTACCCTAAACCTTTTATGGTTAAAATCTCAATAATATCGTTTGAATTATGTTTTAGATCAATTTCAAAATTGATTTTAATACATCTACTATAAAAGGGAGGAGACAATTAATTTTAATCCACTCTTGTGGGATTTTACAAACATATTAATCGAAAATTTTCATGTGGAATTATGTAAGTGTTTGAGTCACCAAATTCATTATTAAAGAAACGAGGCTAATCTTCTCCTAAAGAATTTAACCTTTCCACTATTTCAGCTCTTGCTAGGTTTATATTATCCAAAATTAACCAATAACCAAATTTACAACAAATTTTTAAAACTCCTTCAACATATTTCATTTGCATTCCGTTTTAGTTTTATCCAATTAATCTTCTTTTTTGATATATTAATTTTTTTGATAACCTCTCTAATTCTTGTTAAATTTCATCATGATTTGGGTTCACTTAAGCAAAACTACCAAGTAAATCATTAGTTTCTAAATCGCTATGAATTGGCAACAAAATAAATCTTTAGTTCAAAAGATTTGCCATTTTGATAATGCATGAGGTTTTTCCGGATGAAGAATCCCCTTAACATAATATTACTTTTTTAGAATTTATTGCAATAAAGAGTTTCTCTAAAATAATAGAGTTTTGTATGTTAATAACGAAAGAATTATTGGAAAGTTAAGGAATGATCTAATTTGATAAAACCCAATTAAATATGGGTACAAACTCCTTTTCGATTTATCTACTTATTCTAATTACATTGGCCTGTTGTTCTAAGAATACTCTTCGTTTTTTCCATTAATCTTAACTTAAACCGAATTTATCCAATATTATTTTTAGTACTTATTGTGAAAATTCTGTCTAATAAAAGTGTTACACATAAATAATATCTAAACAAACAATTATTAATTCTAATTAAAGATTTTCATTATTTAATTTTTATCTTTGTTTCAAAAAATTTTAGCTGAAAAGAGACAGAAGATTTTCCAAAAATCTTATATTAAAGGCATATTTAGATTTTTATTATTGTTAGTCTAACAAAGCAAGCTCTTTATGTAAATCTAAAATTATAGTAAAATTAATTCCAGCCTTTTACAATTATATGATTTCCTTTTAATATTTCAATTTAAATATTTCAATTACTTGATCAATATTGAATGCTTCAATGTACACTTCACATAATAGATTTGATATGCATTAAGGTAATTCTTATCTTCCTTAATATGTAGAAGGATTCATTGAGCATAAAAATACGCATTTTTCTTTAATGAATGTACTATCTTTTATTGAAATTTCTTTCTCATCTGTGTTAAATAAAGCTTAAAGAGTGCTTAATATTTCAGGAGATGCTAGATTAATTTCATCAAATAGAATAAGGCTGTTTTAAGATATTGCTTATGCCAAATAACCTTATTGAAAAACGAATACTACTTTATTATTTTCAATCTTTGGTGCGTAAGATCCAAATAGATCTTCTACACTCAAAGAATCTGAGCAACAAATTCTGCAGAATTTTTTTTTAATTATATTAGCAATTTCCTAAGCAATTGCAGATTTTCCAACTCCAGGTGGCCCAATCAGGCAAGGTATATATTTAGTAGAAAAAGCTGAATATATTCTTTATATTATTTTATTGGTAATAGGGTTCATAATGATTTTTTGAGAATTGAAAAACTATTGTTCTTTTAATTTAAGTTAAATTTTATTTTAAACCTATTAATAGTGTTCCTAAAGTTCAGGATTTTTAATCACTTCTTCAAAATTTACTTTATAATTATCCAAAACCACAAATTAAAATCCTAAGGCCAATTTTTATTAATATGTTGCCTCCAAATCCAAATTCAAAAAACTCATCCATTAATAGAATTTTCGATTAGATATATTTTAATAGAAAAGCTCTTTATATTCTTTTGTACTAATAAGAACTTTCTCTATAAACAAAATGATTTGAATGTATTGAGTTTTATCTGGAATTTTATTCATGATATACTTTTCATAAGAGACATCTATTTTTTAAGAAGGATTCAGAAACTCTGGAACTTGAATTCGAATTTTTGTTAAACGGGACTCTAATGCATCGCTTAATTAACCTCCAAATGTAGTATTTATAGTTGCTATCACAATAAATTCTTTATGTAATTTAATTTCTTAACCATTTACAATAAAATGTGGTTCAATCTCCAATAAAGCATTTAATCCTTCAATAACAGATTATTCTGCCAAAGATATATTTTTTAGACATACAACTCCACCAAACCTAGCATTAAATGTCAATCCTCTTTCAATAAAAGGAAATTAATTACCAATATTTTTAATAGTTTGATCGAAGAACTCTGGTGAATTTTAGCTTTATTTTAATTTTTATAAACAATCTTCAATAGTTTTCTTTTCATCTTAATTCATATCCTAATTGAATCTTCTTATCAAACTTAAACAATATTGATAATAGGAGCTTTTAGTATGAGACTCCATGCTTCCAAACAAATCTGTAATATTGGTTTCAGAGTTTATATAAATTAATTCAAATGGATTTTGATTCTAAAATTCCACTAATTCTGAAAACAGTTTGGACAAGTATGTTTTTGAAGAGGTTTCTCCTGAAATTAAAATATTTTCTTTAAAATAATAGCAAAATGCTATTTTGCATAATGCTAATCTTTAAATTGAGTTTAGATTTTCAACAAAAGTCTGAAATTTGTTGAAATATTTTTTATTAAGTTTAAAAGATATTTGTAATTAAGCTTATTGATTTATTATCGAAAAAAATAAATTGTATCCAATTTTATTGATTTAACATTCCAAGTTATATTCTTCATCAGCGTTTTTGGGAAAAAGTATCATTTAATGTAATTGTAAAATATTTTCCCAATTAGGCTCGTTTGTAGAGAAACATGTTCTGGTTAATCGATTTCTAAATCTAATGAACTACCTTAAAGTAAATTATGTACCATTAATATTCAAACATCTTTCATTACCATCTTTAGGATATTGAATTAATTTAGTTAGAAAATATTCCATACCATTTTTGATGAAAATCTAATTTTCGTTTTGTATACTAGGCTAAGATTCAGTGCAAATTTAAAGTACTTCTTCCAAAGTGTAATTTGGAACATTAACTACTATAACTTTAGAAGCCAACGTGTCAGGGAGCAAATTTCTGCCATTATAAGATGGAGGGTTTTATGCAAAGAAGATTCTAAATTTTTCATGAACCTTTATTATTTGATCCGAAACAGGATCATGAAATTCTGATGGATACTTGACTACATTAGCTAAAAAGTTGAGTAGGCTAGCATCTGCTAAATTAGCTTCATCTATAAGAACAATGCCACCTTACTCCATCCCTAAAAATAATGGACCTTTTTTAAGTTTAAATTCTATCTTATCCTTCGAGCCTGTAGATACAAATTATCCCATTAAATCATTTATATCTGTATTTTAATTCATATTAATATAATGGAAACTAGTTGATTCAAATAATTTGCATGTTTATTAGAATGTAGAAATAAGTTTTGTTTTTCCGACACCTGCTGATCCTTGTAAAACTATTGGTATTTTAGCAATAATAGCTGTTGCAATAATGTCTGCAACCCTTTTTCTTGATTCAGTAATGACATAATTATTTTATCTACCATCATTTAATAATAGCTCTTGATAATTTATGGGTATTTTTATATTTTCATTCAAAAGGGATTTATTATCTTGCAGGCATAAGGCTAAGAAGAAATTTATACACTCAAAAATTTTTTATGATAAAGCTTAATTTAATTAAGATTTAGCAAACTTCTATATTTCTTAAATAGGTTTTAAAAATCTAATTATCTTATTAAATGATATTAGATTAATTTTTTTTGCTAAATTTAATGAATCCTTGCAATTACCTAATGCCATCAGCTAATCAATAATTTTAGGAAAATACAAATTCCTTGTTGTTAGTCCTATTGATTATAACAATAACGTGATATCATTAAAATTCACTCTAAATTGTATATACAAACTTAAGAATCTGCTTTTCAATGATGGGGTCATTTTTTTTTCTAATAGCTCGAAATCAGATGATAAAGCGATGATTGCAAAATTTTCATGTTTTTAGAATTTTTCATTTTATACAATCAGTTAGTTAAATTTCCTTTCCAATATTCCATTTAGTGATTCTATCAAGGCACAATCTGGAGCTTCAAAATTGGTAAGGATTAATACTGCTCCTTGATTGAAACATCTGGTTACAGGGCCTAAAATAAAATCAAAACCATTCTAGGTTGGTTGATACTTACCAAATAAATCTTCAGTAGTGGTATTTGATGATAATTCTAATACTTCATATTTTGAAATATTCAAAAATTTAAGCCAAAGGAGAACACTTGATAATTTTCCACAATATTATTGTCCTACAATTAGAGCTGCTCTTTTTGTTTTATAACACAATGTTAACATTTGAAACAAATATTTATGGAATGAGAGAAATTTAAGTGGCTAATTACTGTTCCAATTCTATATTTCTGACTCTCTCTAATTTTTAGTTGAAAAGAATAATTTATTTGCGTTAGAGATAACTTTATTTTAATCAATTTAATAATTAATTAGTTCACGATTTTTATGTAAAGGGATAAACTATGTTGAGATTAATTTCATACAATCTTTAAAACTTAATATTTCTAAAACTTTCTCCTTTATTTATTCAATGCATAAAAAGAAAAGATCAATAATCTAAACAATATCTCTTAAGGTGAATAGACCATCATCCATATTTTTCTATTTTATTTCTTCATAAATTATCATTAACAATTAGGATAATTATTAGTTAGGTATATGTTGCTTTAGTTATTCTTTTAATTCTTGCTATTTCTAGCCTATGATCTAGTCAATAATGAAATGTAGATCATTTGAGCTGATTGGCTCAAATTTAATAGTAATAAATTAGCTCATCAAAGATGGGGAAAAGATATTTCTTGAGGAAGCAAACTTTTAATCGGTTGCTGGATTTTGAGTTAAAAAGAGTTTGAAATTTTAATGTTTCTTTATAGTTAAGGTTCCATCAACTAAATCAACATGAGAATTGATTTAGCAGCCATAGATAGTGATGTATCCAAGCTCAAGAACATCTTCAATAACCCTAAGTATTGAATCACTTGCCAAGTTAGCTTCATCCAAAAGTATCCACAATCCCTCTTATACAGCTTTAGCAAAAGGACCAAGTTAATATTCAAATTTAAAACCTGGTAAAATTTCAACTTTTCCAATTAAATCAGAGATTTAAGAAAATGAACTAAGATTCATTATTATTAATGGTTATCGATTTTTATAAGCCAAATACTGTATTATTGAGGTCTTACCACAAGCAGCACCACCTTCGCATAAGATCGGATTATCTCCTTTGAGAGCAGCCTCCAATTAATTTAAATGTTTCTTCACACTTTGAGTTTCAGCATAAGTATCCATCTTTGGTATCAACTCTTTAAATTTAAAATTATCATGCAAATCAAGATTTAAAATTCTAAAATCTACTAGAGGTAATAACCGAGATTTAAAATTTATATTTAATATACTTTTAAATTTTGGGTTCAAGTGTTCAAAATCTTAACGATATTACTGAACAAATAGGTCAGTTTATTAAACAATATTTGGATCTGTTAAAATACCCTAAATAGCTCTCTTTTTAACCTAAGATGCTAAGGATAACGTTTATGTTTAATAAATTTAACACTCTATTTGGGTCTCTGATGCCAATTTTTATAGAATTAATTGATTTTTATCGTCAATAAGTATTAAGTTTTCTTTTAGAAGTGAAACATTAAATTAAATGATATTTCGAATAGTTTGAACTTTTTAATTTATCTAAAAATCTGCATTAATTGTATAAATATGTAAATTTTAGCTTGAATCAAGTAAAAGCAATTCTTGCATTTACTTTCTATATGCAACTTTCATAATATTTTAATGAGGATAAATATGCCCGCACTCAATTTTTCTCTCTATTCTAAATCCTTCATCAAATTTTGCTAGCATTATTGCTAATTTATTAGATTGATATTGGACCATCAACAAATTATTATCATCTTGTTCTTCAATTAATTTACAGGAAGCACAATTCTCAAACTTCTAGACTTCATTTTAATTCTCTATTGTTAATACCAAACAAATCGATTTATTCTCTCCATCTTAATATTAAAAAAATAGTTGAGTAAACCTTTTAGAGATTAAAAATCTGGATATATTATTATAATCCGATTTTATTTTTGTTAAAATTTTTTTTAACAAAATATCATATAAGACAATACAATTTTCAAAAATTAATGCACAAATTCTACTATTACACCAATCTATAGTTCTTAATTTAGTAGCTGGAATAATTGTTTTTGAAATTGGAGTAAATGATTTTTCTAGATCGCCTGAATAAAGCTAAGTCAATTATTCCTATTCCAATTCTTCAAATATAAGCAAAATCTATATATTTGGATCGCAGACTGCAGTCGAAATATTCTTATTTGTCATGATGTACTCCCTAAACACAAGGTAATCAGAATCAAAAATTAAGATAGATGTATTTGATTTATCTTTTGATAGAATATTAAGCTTAGAACCAGATAAGGATATGCGTGAAGCATTCAAAACCTAAAACATTGTATTCATTTCTAAAATAATTAATAATAAACATTTTTTAAGAAAGATTGAATTTAAAACTTCAACATCCCAACTTATAAAATATTTCTACATCATATCCTTTAACTACATTATAGGTCATATATAAATATATAATCAATAGCTTATACTATGAGAACTGATATACTGATTTGTTCTATTTAGAACATTTAGAATGTTCCTCAAAGTAAATATTTTAAATATTTAATATTATTAATTTACATATATTGAAATTTATAACAATTAATTATTTTAAAACTATTATAAATAAAGGGAATATATTGAGCTTCTAAAGTATTTACTTAAATCATATGTAAGAAAAATCCCTTTTAACCTCTTTTATTAATTATGAAACATGATTTTGAAATCTTTATTTATTCTTTTTCCTAAATGAAATGAAAACATATTTATAAAATAAAAATTTTGGATTGAGAGGGTTTCAGAATCTATATTGATTAATTAATTTCAGATTATTCTGCTATTCACAATACAATGCTTCATAAAATAAAGAAATTCAATTACTGAAATTATTATAATAGATTTTCCATTTTCTTCTAAAATTTGTACCTAATTTTTAAATAACAAATAGAATTTCCCTTTATTATATATATTATGCATTGCTGCTCCAAGGTTCTAATTTAAAACAGAATTGTAATAGCTCTATATTAATCATTACATTAAATCAATTTAAACTTCTTATTTATCTTTTTATGATTCTATTATATCAAATTGAAAAATTATTGTTTAAAACAAACTCTATTATTGCAGTAACTTAAATTCTCTTCTAATCTAACTTACCTGGGTGTAAATTTTGTAGAAATTTAATATTAGAATGGAGGATGGTATCAAAATAAATTCTATCAATTTTCAGTGCTTTTCTTTTATGGTATTCCTCTCTCAACTTTTTCTCTTGATAAGTTCATATAATTTTTTACTCTGCGAAGAAGTTGGTTTCTCATTTCCTTCTTGTGTAAAAATTTAGCATACTGTTCTTATCAAATTTCCATAAAATTAATTTTTCAAAGAAATGGCACCAAATATTGCATTTATCCTTTCGCATTTGATTAAAATATAAGGATAGAAATAATCTGTAATTGGATTGGCCATCATATCATCAAGATTATCTAAGTGGAAAATTTTATGTAACAATAGGATGTATTAACTTTACGTGTTTTGTTTTCTAGAATGAGTAGAGCTATAACCTAAAAATTGTTATTTTATTTCATAAACTTAATAGAATTTGATAATTAATAGTTAAAATTAATCTAGAATTCGCATTTTTAAAAATTTAATTCGAGAATTTATTCATTGATAAATTACTACTACAACTGCCCATCCTAAGTGTCAAGAACATATTATAGAACTTAAGAATTTATAATTTATCATTATTTTTATAATCTTAAAATATAAATATAATTTTATTATATTTAGATAAAGCACAATTAAGATTGAAAATAGTAAAGAAGATGGAGCTCATAAAAATAACGAAAATAATATTAATTAAGAACAGATTAAGTAATTCCATAATAAACATTACTAAACAATTATAAAATCATGAATAAAGAGAAATTCTATTCTTCTAAAATTATTTAATTAATATAATACCAACTATTAGATTTAATTTGCTTGTTATTTAATTAGGTTTTCTCCTGATTGAATTGCTTATTACTTTTGCTTTTTTTCTTCAATAATTTACATCATAAATTAGGAGATCTTGTTTTAATTATTATTTTTGTGATTTTGATGATTTAGCATTTCTTCTATTATATTTTCAATGTTATGCATCCTATCCTTTACATCAAGTAAGACAACCTCACTTTAACTATTTAAAGAACTCTCTTGAATCTCTTTCAAGATCCTCGTGCATCCTTTTAGTATAGATTGGATGTCCTATGAATCACAATGAGTTTTAATGGAGAATTAACTTTTTTGATGAGGCTAATAAGGAGAGTTTAATTTGGCCAATGATGAATTTTTACTCCCGGAAGGTGTACTTTTGATTTTCATTTAAATGAAAGTTTGAGATTTAGTCTATTTTGGAGTGAAAGAACAAGAAGGATTGATCTAAATCTCTTAAGAGGATCCAAATGATGGTCGTATTAATCTAATTGCACTCATATAAAATTTAATTATTATTACTGATTCTATTATTTATTACTTTAAGAATCATATTTATATTATAAAATAGTTTATTTTTTGAAGTTTACTTAAAGATACTCAATAAATATCATCCAATTCTATACTGAATGCTTAGAATTCCAGCAGATTTGTGATTCTGAATATGAATTTTATGGTATTCCAGTAATAACTTAGTTACTAAATGAGAAATTCTAATAAGAAATAAATAAAATGATAATAAACATGAATAAAATAAAGCCAGTTTCTGTATAGACGAAACTACAATCTAAAAGATAGAATGAAATCATGATATTAAAATAAAAATATCTAATGAAGCCTATAATCATCGTTTACATATATTTTCTAATGCATACAAGTTAAATCATAATAATGACTGCTCTTAAGTGGTTTAAAATCTCATTTTGGCCATCCTGTAATATGAATTTATTCTATTGCAGACTAGTCTTATTTATTTGCAATGGTTAGATCAAGAAGATTGGCATCAAAAAATAACAAATATTATTGTGTATGGCTTACTCAAATTAGTACATCCACACTGAAAAATTCAAATTTGTTTCATAAACATATATATCTGATTAATTTTAATTATAAAATTATATAATAAATTACTACTTACAACTTATGAATAGTTTAGTTAAAGAAAGAGATCAATCAGAAATCATGATCTTGAACAACTTAGAAGTTCAATCCTAAATCAAATCATCAATCTTCTAATCTAAATTACAACAATCAATCTAAAATATTAGGTAATTGTCAAAGCCTATCGCAATGCATATCGAACCTCACATATTGCCTCTTCATAAGCCGAATTAGGAAACGCCTATCAAAAAGTCCTAGCATTAAAAATTGAGTTCTGATGGGCATACCACTTTGACCAAGGGTACTTAAGTAGAAAATCAAGCTGATAGTACTCAAAAATTAGTTCAAAACTAATTTGACTTTAGTTATTCTTACAGAAAGTAGGATAGTTAGATGAGGAAATCGACAGATTACCAGAGAATCTTTGAACATTATCATCATTCGACAATAGTTTAAATGATAAGTTCATATGAGGAGTGCTTTAACATTTTGGTAGAAAGCAACGAAGCTTAATTGTTGAGGATTCCTACCAATTTGATTTTGGCGATTTTAAGAGAAAGGGAGGAATTGCAACATCAATGTGTTATGCTGAGAAGGAAACTCTATTAGTTAGACCGAGCGAGTGAATAATATGAGAGAGTACAATAATAGCACGCATGATTGATATTAATTTATAATATTAACACAATGTAATTCAACTTTTACTTATCTAAATGCATGACAGTCAATGAGAATGGGATGACAATATTGAATGGAAACCAGAAACGCAATCCTCAGTTGGATGATGTTATTACTGTAATGGGTGAGGCTTCTGCATTGGTAATCAACATCTATTTAAATTAGGCTTAAAATTTGAAATAAGTTATTACGAGTCCAATCAGATTCTTTTAGACCGATCAAAAGATGTATATCAAATCAGAAGGCAAAGTAATTCTGTTAAATATTTGTCAGCTTTGTTTGGGAATTCTAAAAATAGGAAGAAAAAACTTATTTCACAGAGATTTAAATGGAGTAATTAAAGAAATCTAACCAATTTGTGTCCTCGACTTTTATGTGCATGAATCAGTTCAAAGAAAAGGCATTGGCAAAGAACTCTTTGAAGAAATGCTAAGACAAGAAACTTTGAGACCAGAAAAATTGGGATATGATCGACCATCTCCAAAATTGTTGGGATTCCTTAAGAAGTACTACAATTTATAAAGTTATATACCTCAAAATAATAATTATGTGATCTACTCACAATACTTTTTCGATAACAAACCGACTAATGCTTCTTAATAATAATTTGCGCAACAAAATCATTAATAATCTTAAAACCCTTAATTAGTTAACTAGTAAGTACAACAACAAAGAGTCTAACCATAATAAACCCCTTAGAAGATGGATTAATTGGATTAGATGATGCAGCAAATGTCTTTGGAATCGAAATAACAATATTAATCATATTAAAAAACCAAGGCCTAGCCACCTTGGGCAACAGACTAGAAATAATATTAAAATGTAAGTATAGAAGGATTAACTTTAGATGTATTAAACAACCACTGGAATGATGTCTGCTTAAATTCATAAACGATGATAAAATCAATACTATTTGAAACAATTATAAAATAATAATAATTTCAGCCATTTCCTCATTTTTTTATTTATCAAATGCTTCCCCTTAAAATTAAGACTATTTTTAATCATTTTCAAAATAATCATTCTTCCCTATAGTAGCTTTCATAGTTGTAGGCTTCTTTATAAATAATACAATTTTGATTGTATTCAGTACTCATGGAAGTTAACTTACTTAAGTTTTCTTTAGTTAGCATTTGATCCTTTTAATTGTAAATTACAATTTGATATTTACACTTACATAATATTAAATATAGAAATTGATTATTATTAAAATACTTGTTGAGTTAAATCTGATTATTTTTAAATTATATGTAAGTGAAGAATATATTCATAATTTTACATATTTTATTTTTCTTGATTATTAATATATATTATAAAAACAAGCTCTCAGACACTAATTGCATCAATTAACTCTTCTTTTTTCATTCCTTTATAACACCAAACAACATGAATATTAGAGTAGAATTCTTACAGTCTCTTGATTCTGACATATTTTAACAAAAATGCTTTAATACTTTAATTTTCAAATTCCTCTGGGTACATAAATACATACACTGAATCTCCTATCTTTAAATCAATCAAAGAGTTATTTTCTATAAAGAAATCAGTATACTCTGTTTTCATTTATCCTATAAAGTAATCTAAGGGCAGTTCTGTACAAAAGATCTTACCTTATGAATAAGCTAGAAATTCTGGATAATGCAATCCAAGATCAGATAGGAAGTATTTTTGATATAGAATGTTTATATTCATCTTTTATTGTTCATATTTATATGTAGTGAGTAAGTAGTTTAATCTTTGCAAGACTTCTTATTCATTTATGATATTCCACTTTTTTAATTTTTGAATAACTAAAGTATACGCTAATGGTAGTGCCTCTGCTAAAGTAATTTATTCTTCCTTTAATGTATTTGCGTAATGCTTATCAATGATATTGTGATTATCAACTATTATTGAACAAGCTAAACTTTCTATTGATTTCCTATAATTAGTTCTCCAATTTTTAGCATGAGGATCGTGTGTAAAGTTTCGAATGAATGTACTTTTATCAATATTCCTCTCCATGTAATTAATGACTTCCTGACTCTCTTATAATTTTTGATTAAATAAACTAGTCATTAGGTAAGGCCCGAATTTCTTTATAATAGAGCTTGGCGAATCTAGTTGTTCTGCCTTATTAATGAGCTCGGTTAAATTATGTTTCAAGAATGAAAATTTCATATTAAATAATATATTTGTTTCATTTTAAAAATACAAAACTATATTTGTTATAATCTAATTTATCTATTAAATAAAATTAAACTTTTATGGATTTATTGTTTCTAGATTTGGCTATATGTATATTATTGTAATATAAATATTAAACCGTTTGATATGAATTATTTCTTCACACATATTCTTTCAAGAAGATCTATAAATTAAAAATTTTAGTTATACTAATATACTAATATATTGTATAACAAAGAGAAAGTGAGATAAATTCAAAATGTTATTAAATATTGTAATCTACTAAATTCTTTAATGGAAATAAAATAGAATCTTAAATAGAATTCATAATCTAGATTTGATGAATTCAATACATGGATAGAAATTAAAAGGCGAATTAAATTTGTACATGATAAACCACCATTATAGAGATGAAAGAAGAATGTAAAGTCGAATAGTCTAAACAATGAATACTAATTTATGGTTGTCTTTATGTAGATATATGATCATTCTCCCATTTAATCTTGTTCAATTAATTATTCAGCTTATTATACAGCGTTATTAATCAAATCTTGAGGGACACTTTGGTGTTTACGACCGTTGTTATCAGTGATCCAAGTCATTTCGTATTCGTATTTCTTCTCTTTGAATTCCTCATGTGCTAGTATCAACCTGACAATTAGAGAATATGGATTACATCTTAGCAATGTAGACCAAGGCTTCTTGACAGGTAAGGTCTTTGAAACTTCTTCTTTCAAATTCAGACTTGCAAATGGCTCTACCTTTTCCATGAGTGCAGGCATGATAGGCATACTTGTTTCCTGAGGGTTCAATCATGTACAACTCATAGCCATCGAAAGTGTTGTAACTGGCAATGAATGCTGAATAATAGAGAGGAGTTGATACTTGCAGATCCGAAGGGTCTCGCTCCAGAATACATAGTGTAGGCATGGACATATTGTGCCACTCTATCTGACAACACATTGGCAGATGCTGGAATAGCATACATGTCTTAATATTGAGATGACTCTGCTTTTGCTCTTTATAAGATGTTTCTTCCATCTGGCAATTTGCCGCATAGAGCCATTCCAGTTTAAGTGTCGATATTATAGATTCTCTTGTTCGTGTTGTCTTCCAACAATCTGGAGAACTTTTACTTCTCTGCAGCCAGAATGACTCCATCTTTACACTTGACTCCGATCACAGTCCTAATTAGATTAATTGAAAATTTACTCTGAATTTTCAACTGCCTTTGTTGCATATTCCACCTAATAGATACGTCCCTCCTGGGAATATGTGGCTACTGATAAGTCATACATGCTTCCACTCATTTTTTTTAAAGATAATATTTAAATTAAGTCACATAAGTATTAATTTATAATTTATAATATATTATACTAATGGGATGTATGAATGCTTCTGGATACATATCTGGACCCATCGAACCATTCCATCAATCCAACAAATCCAATTTTGAAGCATTCCTAATAGAGTAATTGACACTCTTGGGATTCCAAGAAAGTTAAATTGTGATTTCGAAAACTATTGAAATCAAATTCATGTATCAATTCATCATTATCTCTCCCTGTAGACCCTATCTAAAGGAATTGCAAACCGTCATTTAATAAGACATCCACTCCCCCTTCAATAACAATATCTACTTGATCCCAGTCCTCACGAATCAGCTGAGAGAGATCTACATAAAGACATCCGAATTCCTAATTAGATTCCAAGATTACAAATTGAATACTCTAATCAACAAAGTGGGTCTCAAGTATCAAGCTCTGCTTAGAGTAGGTGATCTGTTCCCCAAATAATTGAATCTAAGATTTTACAATAATCAGATCTCCAGGATCCAAATAGATCCCACCATCGTAATAATCGTCATCAATCAGACTGATATTGGTTATGCACTTTTGTAATTCATTAAAGATCTCAATCAACCCTTTTTGCTTGTATTTCGTTATGATGACAACAATGATAACCAACATATTAATCTATTCATTGAGACCAATTCATTTCAAAAGTATCATCTCTATAATCCCTAGTTATTCAGTAATAATTGGCGTCGATGACAAGGAAGATCGATACAATACTATTATCAATCTTTACACCAAAGTCATCAAAAAACAAAAGAAAAACTAGAATTCTGATTCTCATTCCAGAATACTTACTCAATTCTTAAATTAAGAGGATCAGGAGTAGTTTTGGGATGATGGTACTCTCATTTTCAATTTTTTGGATTCAACCCAATCTCAGATATCCACCAACACATCCATAATCACAATTCAGAATTACAAAATAACAGAAATCAATGAATTCAACAACAAAGGCCTGCAATTTCATACTCAAAAGTCTCTGCAAGATAAAAAACACATCGATTAATAAATCTACAAGTCAATTAAGCAGATCATGATCAAGGAACTAATTTAAGCACTTTAATTGAAATCTTCCTAGTTCTCTCAATATTTCAAATTGAAACTGTCAACCCAGAAGATTTATAAAGATTTGAAATTGCAATAGAAAATCTACATGCCTTCCCAATTGAAATTGCAAAATGCCAACGAAATCGAGAGCAAGACTCAAGATATATTGACCATCATCAAGAAGGCCTCTTATGACACATTGATTGTTAAGTAATCCTCAAAATTCCAATTGCCAGATAAGGAACGTATCTATTAGATCTTGCAATAAATATTCAAGGATCAAGATGTTAATTAAGTGTAAATTATTATCAATTCCATCTTGCATGTCCAATGGAGTCTTGGCGATGAGATCATCAATAGTCAATTCAATATTCAAAATCAGAACTTCCAGAATTACAAGTATAAATGGAAGATGATCAAGTTTTATGATAATTTCAGAATCACGAATCTTGCTCAACCCAAAAAGCAGTAGATCTTCTTTTAAGCCAAATAACTGCTGAAGTGTTTGACTCGAAAATCTGATCAAGAAATAGTGAACAAAATCACAAGTCAAATAATGCTGGATAAGTGGAATTTAAATGAGGAATACTCACCGATCTGTGATGTTTACCAGATTTCATTTATTAATTCAACTTCAGTGGATGAAACTTCGCAGTATCAAGAGAAACTGGATAAAATAGTGGTCTCGTAGGAGGTATGCAATTATGTTTATTATTAAGAATCAATATTTGATCATCTTTTTAATGGATTACTAGGATCCCCAAAGGATTAGTTAATTGGATTAGATCATTTCTCTCCCCTTACAATTAGATGTCAAATTGATCATCCTGAGCAAATCGGAGTTCGATAATGACAATTTTGAACAGTTACTGAACAAGAAGAAAATAGAAAAAAGAATATACCAAAAGAATATTCAGTTTTGGTTTCCCATTTCATCTGAAATCAATGACATGCAATTCTCGCAATATCTGGAAATCTTCTACAATCTTAATCAGAAGGAAAACGTAATTGTTATCAACAACAAACAATAATTGTGTCACAAAATAACTGGATTCCACCTGATTACAATGTTGCAGGAGAGGAACTATCAAGAGGACGATAAGAAGTGCAATCATTTTGGAGCAAGAAATCAACAGAGAGTTCAGAACAATGAGTAAATAAAGAAAGCAAGACAGCAATTGAAGTAGAACATTGAGAAGGAGATCAAGCAGCAGCAGTAGTTGTCATTGTAGAATGAGCAGGATCATTCAACAAATATGATTCTAGATTTTAAGTGGGCCAAAGAGAAGACTATTAAATTGGATGGCCAGTAGAGAGTGCAGGTGATTTCTAAACAATATTTAAGGCCTATATTCAATAATAACAGTGGAATATAATTTGAGATATTTTAATAGATAATTTCTAATAAACAATACGATTTTCAATGATTTGGAAATAAATATCATAAAAAAAACACTTTCTTTTATAAATTTGAGTTTATTTTTAGTATTATTAATTGAAAAGGATTCTGCGACTGTTTCTGATGATTTGCGGAGGTCTGTTGGGAGTTGCATGATGGGGAGAGAGATCGAAAAGTAGTGCACGGAATATATTGATTACTAGGAATAACGGTTTTGGAAGGTTGAGTTTGATTAAATTGAAGTGTGAAGAATGAACTTGATGAGATTAATTAACTTCTCGTTTATGAATATTAATAATAAATGCAATAAAATAACCGTGTGATCTATGAGTTGGAGGACGACGAGGACATAAAGTAGGCTCCCTTCCCAAAGACTCAAGTATTTGATCTATGTCATAATGAAAGGCGATCAAGATTGATAGGAAATTAGGTGCAGTGTCGTACATAAAATGGGGAACTCTTTACAATTACTTCTTCTCGTTTGACCTGAGGAAGGGTAGGTTATTGTGTTACAAGACTCCACAATCAAATAGTTATAATAATTATTACTCTTTGAACAAGGGGGACTTTGTGAGGGATGAAGCTGAGATCCAAAAATGCGAATAATCCTTGAGAAAGAAAAAGAATTATTAGCAAGCCAATGATTAGAAAGTAATGTGGCACTTTATAATTTAAGTCAGTGATATATGTGAGAACAGCGAAAGGGCGAGTTTTTAAATTGATGATTGACGAAAACGAAAACTATGATAAGATTTTAGGATATTTGCAGATTTGTTTCTCGTCGAAAATGCAAAACGTAAAGGCCTTTTATGCACTTTTGGGAATAGGTCTCGTGAAGATAGACGGCAATGAATTTAAGCTGACTACAGGAGTGGTTGTGTCTTTAAATGATTGGTCCATAAACAACAACAATAATTATTTGTTAAAGAATGACAGTGGTTTTAATTTATTAATAAGCAATATTGAATTGCTGGGCGGCATCATTGGATCCTTCTACAAACAACACGAGATCCTGGGAATCATATTCAATCCATCCACCCAAACCATAGACATCATCCTATTCGATAATTTTTAGTAATTTATGTTCCGAATATAATTAGAAATCCTAAAGTACTCCATCAGGCCATATTCAAATTGGTCAAATTCTCCAAAAAGAAGGTGATCCCGTCTGGCAAAGGACAGTTATTGAAATTGAAGACTGACGTCGCTGAATTCAATCAAACTGAATACATCGATATAGCCAAAAATGACAATGTCAAAATCTACATTCATACCTCCAAATTGAATGTGGCTGATTATGCCCTAATACAAGGCAGTATGTTTTCAGCACAGTATGTGGATGACCAAAATGATCTAGACGGTGACAAATTGTTATCCAATAATGCTCTTGAGTTTTATAAAAAGAACTTCAAAAACATGAACAATCAAGATGATGAAACCAAAGAATTCATTATAGTAAGCAAATAACAAACACAAGTCTTCGTGATGAATAATTAATCATCTCCCAATAAGGGAAGTGCTCAAAAACAGAGTTCATTTAAATTTGATGATATTAGCGAAGAAAGTGGAGGAGTGGGCTCAGGTGTGCAAATAGCTAAGAGTATCAAAGGTAATTGAGTATATATATACATCCACATTTTAGTCCACATGAGGAGATAAGCCAATGGTGTAGCAGATTAGAGTCCAAAAGTGCAGTTCGTTAGTGGTTTTCAAGGGAATGGGTTTGAAGGTGCAGTCAATTATGCCAATGAAATTAATGAGTAGAAGCAAGCGGATGAGGACAAGAATGATAATTAGGATGTCAATGAGAATGGAAATGGCACTAATAATAAATAGGAAGCATCTGATAATCAATTGAGCAACAATTGCAGTAAGATGCAGTGTGAGGAGTAATAGTAGGTAGTGGTGAAGCAGGAGCAGTAACTACTTTAGCATAAACCCAGTAAGACAGAGTAGAATTAGGAGGAGGACTCAGATGAAATCGATCTTGTTAAGGTTTCGATTGTTTTCGATGAGGTAGAACATTGCAATCATAGGGATTATAATACAATTATGAATTATGCTTTGAATTTCAAGAAGGTTGATTACAAGGACGAGTATAGAGTTCCTTAGGCTCATAAGAAAGGAGGGACGGCTTGTTAGGATGAAAAAATAATTGATTTGGCAAGAAGTGTGGGAAAGAACATGATCAAGTAGGTGGGTCAGAAATTGCTCAGTGGAAATTTCAATTTGACAACAGTTTCATTTCCAGTAATTGATTCGTTTTTACTATTGTAGATCAAAGCTATGATTCCTAAATCTGCCCTAGAAAAAACATTTATGTAAACAATTCTCTTTCCTTTGTACATGAACAAGGCTGCTTCTCTTTAAAAGCCATTAGAAAGAATGAAACTTAGTATAGTTGCTCTTATATCTAATTACATTTAGGCTAATTCATTTCTTAAACCTCTCAATCCAATCTTGGGTGAAACCTTTGAGGGTGGCTACGAAGACGGCACCTAACTATTTTGTGAATAGGTACGAATATAAAGATCCTATTCTATAGATATCTCATCATCCTCCCTTGTCTTATTTTCTAGTTTGTGGACCCAAGAAATCTTACAAATTTTTCGGATATTCTCTCTATGAAGCAAAAGCTGGTTTAAATTCATTGACTATATTGAATCATGGGAAAAGAACAATCTAATTCCCGGATCAAAAGATAGTGTGTACTTTTTCATCTGAGCATTATTCAGGAACATTCTTTGGAACAATGAAGAATGAATCTTAAGGAGCTCTTTCTTTTGTGGATGAAGCCAACAGTACTTAATGAGTTTATGATTAGATTTAAATTGCATCGTCTAATTGGGCAAGGTGAAGAACAAGCCAACGGATTACTTCGAAGGGGAAATCAAGTAAGGGAAGACTGTGCTCAGTAAATTGTTTGGGAGTTACATGGGTTTCGCCGATTTCGATGGGATCAGATATTGGGATGCCAGAGTGATCAAACCATTTGCGATGCAGATATTGAAATCGAACTTGGAATCGGATCATACTAAGAGAACGGACAGAATTTGTATGATTGCTGGTGACATGAATAAGGCATAGGTGGAGAAGGAAAGGTTGGAACAGTCCCAGAGAAATGATGCAGCTTTAAGGAAAGAATTCCTAAAATAGAAGAAGAAAAAAGATTAAAAATGATTAATATATATTATTAATAATAATGACCTCTATAACTTAAAAGATTATATCTAAGTTAGATCCGAGACAAGTAATCCAATCTGAATCTATTCATTTTAGTACTATCTAAGTGGCTGTATTGATATCATTGTTGTGGAATAACATAATGAATCATTGAAATCGACCCCCTTTCATGTACGATTTGGCAAATATAATGGATAAGACTACTAGGTGGACATTATTGTGAATGACAAACTGACTGACGTGAAAATGAGATTAGGGAAGGAAGGCTCAGCTTATTTTGAAACTAGTTCCTATTCCTCAGGCTATTAATCTGATGACACGTTTTCCGAGAAAATCTCGTATAATTCTTACATTACACAACATAGATTGTTCAATGAAGCATCGGAGTTTAGACAGTCACACCTGTATAAAAAACCCGATGATTTGTTCAACAGTGACAAAAAGAATAGTAATTGGCTTCAAACTCTAAAATTTTGGGGCAAGGGGTCCAATTCCAAAAAAGATGATGGAATTAAGATTGAAACACCAAATAATCTCAAGGAATTTTAATAAGTCGATACGTCATCTTTAGTAATTATACTATCATCATATTAGAGACTTTCATAATTATAATTGCAAAAATAATTCCAGTCCCAAGAAGCAGAAAAACACATCTAAACTAACGAGTACGAGAAAGACAACATCACTTATAGTGACAGGGAGACCCTCTCTCCACGTCAATCAGTAATAGAACTTTCTCTGTGCGGTCAATATTAAATTTAATAATCAAATCTAACATAAACTCAGAGATTGCAATTGTTCGAATAACACAAAATCTCCTTCTCAGTATTCGAGAAAGACTCACTTAAAATTATAAATCACAAAGATCTTGTCTTTAAGATTGGCGATAAGTTCTTCAGCAGAGAAGCAGGATTAATCTAATTATTGGCCAAGCAAGTCTACGCTAGGGATATGGTTATTGACAGTTTGGATCAATAGAAGAAGTAGAACACTTAATAGTAGTAATAATGGTATAGTGTTCTCTTTGGTAAGAAGAAAGGTTCAGATTAAATTGAATAGAATAATACCAATAATCAGAGATTAAATAATAATGAGTAGACTCAAAAACAGCATCAATAGTGTAAATCTTAAGACAGACTCAGAAAGCTCAGTGAGAACTCTGTTGATACCTATAGTACTATGTCAATCTAGAAAAGGAGAAAGTCGCAAAGACCAATACTAAAACCTAATTCATCAATTTTAAAATAATTAGGATTGAAGTAGGGAGATAACAAAATTACATACAGATTATGTATACCCAAGAAAAGCGATATTGTGGAGTTGCATGGGACTGTCTACTTGTATGATCAAAAAACTAAATTTGTCATATCAGACATTGATGGCACCATCACCAAATCAGACATCTTAGGTTAATTAATGCCAAAATTAGGAACCGATTGGAATCATGATGGAGTAGCCAATCTCTATTAGAATATACAATCTATGGGATATAAAATTATGTACTTGACTGCAAGAGCAATTGGCTAAGCAGATCAAACTAAAGATTTTATTTACAATCTACAATAAGACAATACTAAATTGCCAAAAGGACCTGTAATTTTGAGTCCTGACTCTTTGTTCCCCGCATTTAAGAGAGAAGTCATTGACAGAACGCCTGAACTATTCAAGATCACTGCATTAAAAGAAATTAGGAATTTATTCATTGGAGAGAGTCCATTCTATTGTGGATTTGGAAATAGATTAACAGTAATATGATCTTTCTCTATATTAGGATTCTACAGCTTATTAGGCAGTCAATGTGGATATCAGTCGAATCTTCATAATAGATCCAGAGAGCAATATCCAAAAATATAATACAGATGAAATCACTACCTATGTGGAAATGAATAAGGGCATCCATCTTTATTTCCCTCCTGTTAATGAAGTAGAATACTAATGCTCAAACTTCTGGAAGATTCCAATAAATGTCAATGTTGATATAAATTATTATTGATTTTTGATTACAATAGATATTATTGGTATTCCTAATATCATTTATTAAATATTCAACATGTACTTTAGAAAGTATGAAATACTTGTCTTATGAATATTGTCAATTAGGCATTGCAATGATTTCAAATTTCAGCCTAACTCTTCAACATAAAAATTCAATCAGATTATAGGATTTTATTGAAGTGAATTGTTATCCTGAAATAGATAAATAATGTTAAGTGATATATGTAAAACTAATAAGTTTGCAAAAATATACATCTTCATCAAAACAACAACTAAGAATTTTTATAATCACACTAAGTAGATTTGTTTTTTTTAAAAATTCAAGAAATGCAAAAATTTTAATTGAAATTGATATTCCAAACAAAATTAAAATCTTTAACGGATTTATATTTATAATTATGGACATTATTTCACTTTATCTAGATATAGCTTATTAAATGATTAAAAAAAATGTTTATAAAATACGTTTTAACTCTCCTAAAGGAATTTGTATGTTTTAGTGACTTCCTACATTGTAGTTGCATAATTTATTATCCTACAGTTTACCTAAAGTACTAATTTGAATACCAATATTAATAAAATTAGTTGACTTTTCATCAACAGAGATATTTAGAGAAATAGTATTAAATGCAATTCTAATATCACCAAAATCTATATCAAACGAATTGTGATGAGAAAGATGGTAATAGATTATATGTAGAATAAATAAAATAATTGTTTTAACATTCAATATTTTATTAATCTTCAAATACTATTTTAAAAATGAGTTATTATTGTAACAGTAAAAATTACAAATTGATAATTTTAATTTCCATAAATGGAGATTAATAAGATAGGAAAGTTCTAACGAATTGAAAGTTAAGGATATAAATTATGTATTTTCAGTACTTTGTCATTAGGTCCAAAAATAGAATTCTTTTGATGGAACTATTTTTCCACAATTATTTCGAAAGAGGATTAAATTTAGTCAGGAAATAAAGGAAATAAAAGAAAAATAGCCTAATATTTTATTAATTAATTAAAGAGTGAAAAATAATTGCTTTATTGGATAAAAATATAATTTGACATGGTGTTTTTATTCACATGTTATTATGAAGTGATTGGATCAAGGGGTGTCATGGTATCTTTGCTGATTCTTTCAGGAGTTCCTGTGGGATGTAATGGTGTCGGAGGAATCAATAATTTTTGGAGAGAGGATTATTGGTTATATGGTATATGTAATTTGATCATTAATTTTAAACAATTAAAAAGATTGGTTATTTTAATTGACCCTATTTATGTGTAACTGTTAATGACGAATTGATATTAATATTAACTTTTCATAACATTTTACTTGACTTCTAACTATGCAAGGAGCGTTTAATCAGATAGGAAGCTTGGGTTAGGCCATGGCTATTTAGATGAATGAATAGGCACAACATTTGATCCAAGCAATTTCCAGCAGTTGTTTGGAAATATTGGGGTAGCAAGATGGTATCTTCATAAAATAGAAATTTGAGTTGTTTGAGGCAATCACAGGTACTCGAATATTGATTAATTGTTAGGTTTCGAGACTCCAAATGTATATAAGGTCTATGCAGCTAACGATTAAGGAAAGAAGAAGAAGTAAAAGGCGTTATTCAAATGCAAAGAGAAATCGTCTACATGTGCTCGTCTTTGTCTTCCGTAAGTTCATTAAATTAATTCGTCTTAGAGGGAATGCAAGACCTTTTGAAATGAAAATCAACAATTACGGATGTAAGGACTTCTAGCCAGCCATGGCGAAAATGTTCTTGAAGGACGAAAAGAGAGTGGTTTTCAAGTTCAAGAGGGAGTATCAATGCACATGCTTGTGTTTTAATAGGTATTTTGTTTGAGTGATTTAAAAATAGACCTCGTCTTGAAGTCTTGTATGTGGAGAACGACGAGAACAAGAAACTGGGAACAATAGTGAATCCATGGTATTTCTGCAACATTGGATGTCACGTTCTGGATATTCACGACAACTTAAGATACATCGTAGAAGCTAGTTGTTGTTAAACTTATTTTTGGTGCAGATGTCCATGCAATTCCTGCAACAAGGTTGAGTTCGTCATCAAGGTACCAACTGGGGAGGTAAGCACTCAAATTCATTGAATAATTAGGTTGTGGCCCATTTAATGAAGAAGGGAAAGGACTGTTGCAAAAACATGGTGGGTGATGCAGACAATTTCAGTTTGATCTTCCCCAAAGGAGCTTCAAAGGAAGACAAGGCGTTGTTGCTAGCTGTCACTCTTATGATGGACTACATGTACTTTGAAGATAAAGGAGGTGCTTAAGCTTCTGTTGGACCAGAATGAGCTTATAAAATAACATTTTCATGTTTTTTTAATAAAAAACAACATTTAATATATTAACAGATGAGTAGTTAATTTGAAGCTGATGATTAAATGCTGTATGCAGATGATTCCCAATTCATAGAGTAAATTAATCAGAAACTGTCGAAGATCAGAAATAATCTAGGAATAGACATTTACGACCAAGAAAATCTGAAAACTCCATAATCTGAATAATCTGGTAGAAATAATGAGCATAACACTTTTGGGAGGGAAAAGAAAACGACAGAATCCAAAAATAATATGCAAGATGTTCAAGAACTCAATTTTATTACCAGCTCTAAACATAAGAATAAGAATAATAATAATAATATTGACAATAACAATGACTATTAGTATTCGGGTCAAAGTGGCAAAGAGGAACAACCCTATCAGATATCATAGTCAGGCACCAAGGATGATTTATTGCCATAATAGATCAGTTTCTTATAAAACAAATTGGAAGCCCTTAAATAAATTTGTATTAAATTGAATTTTATTATAGATCCTTGTCAAGGCCAAGATTAAGCTAGCTTTCTGGAGAGAGAGAACGTGTATCTGAAGATCGAATTGGAATTGAAATCCAAGTAGGAGAGATTCTTAAGACAATAGTTAACAACATTAACAGAAGAATATAATTTGAAATAACAACAACTGCAACAAAGCATCCAAGATCTCAAGTAACAACACGAGGAATTCGTTTAGGCTACAGATCTAACCTAAGATATCAAATAATACATTCTATCCTTAGAGTCTGATTTGCATTTGACAAAAGGTGAGTTGGACTTGTTCACATAGAGATTAGCCAAAGAATAATCTGAAAAAGAAATACTCTAGAATCAAATCAACAATATTCACACCAAAGCCAAAGATGAATTCCAGAAACTTTATGAAAAAGCATTCAAAGAGTTACAATTCATGTGTCAAGCTCTGAGTTCAGAATTGCTCACTGAATAGATTGATAAGAAAGTCAATAGGATTTCTTAGCAAACAAATCTATCCAAGATGTATCAGGATCTCATCGATGAAAAGATGATTCTAGTATCTATATGTTACTTATTCCTAGGAAACCAAAGTTGACAACCTCGAAAATCAATTGGAATCCTATTAAAATAAGCAATTTAGCATAAGTTATGCCCCATCAATCAAATCGGTCTATGAGAAACGATTGCATGTTATGAAACAGGGTTTATTGCACTGGAAAACCAGAACTCAGCAAATCGAATAGATTGTGCTTTAATGGATTCAAAAATTGAAACAAGAAAACCAATAGTTAAAAACATCGCTAATAAAGAAATAGAACAAAATGTTTGTTGTGTTTGAAAATTTATTACGAGAAATATATCAGCAATTTGAATAGGACAAGTATATTCAAATGGAGGAGATTAAAAAACTGTAAGAACAAAAAGTTGATGATCAGGTTAAGATCACTAAACTTAGATCAACTATTTAGTAATAAACTAAAACTAAAAAAAGATGATGATAATTCAAATTACTCTTTAAAAATATTATATAAATATAATAGATTATCAAATTAAAACTAAGTCATATGGCTATGATCAATCCGTACTTCTTTATCTCATCCACTTTTCTCTTCACTCTTGACAGGTTTATGATGTTTTGATTTAGATATATCTGATTCAAAGATTAATGCTGCATAGTTTTAGAGTATTTCTTACCTAAGAAAATATGATTTTTAAATTAATCTTACATAAATCAAGAATAGTGTCTACAACTTTGTCGGTCAGCATGTTACTCGATAAATTTATAGTTTATATTTGATTGTTCTCCTATTCATTCTCATTTTGCTTCTCTATCAATTCAATCAACAATTATTACGCTGCTCCATCCTGAATCTTGTTTTTTGCCAATTTCAATACTCTCAGATTCTTTGTTTTTTTTATTATTGTGATCAGAGACAACAGCCCTTCATCTCCTAATTCAGCCTAACTAAAATCACACTGATCCAAACTGTCGCCTTTCAGTTTCACAATCAGAGGCTGGAATTTCTCATTAATCTTCTTTTGTTTCATCGATCTTCTGATTGGCGAAGGTGACACAGTTCGTCTCGTAGCCAAAGTGGTGGCAGAAGGGGATTTCTTCAAGTTATTCAAGTATTAATCGTCTAACTCTTGAGATGTCAAAGGTTGATCCGTTCGCTAATGATTAGAATAAGACAATTGTTAGTATGGTTAATTTGTAGGTAATTATTATTACTATTACTATTGCTATTGCTATTGTTGCACATACAGATATTGTTGTTGTTAATGTTGTTATTACAATTAGAATTGTTGATTCAATTATTGTTTGTACTGTTGATTCTCTTGGTATTGTTTGATCCACAATTCCATTTAATTTTGATTCAAGGGATCTTGAATGATTGAACTATTAATGTCTTTAAGGAGTGAACATTCAGTTACGGATTCAAGTCTTGATAATGAGTTTTCTAATCTGAATTAAGGGTCCTTTTGATACACAATCAAATGAGTATTTATAAATTGCTCCAAATCACTTTTCATCTCCAGATGTATCTCCCTGTAGGATGGCTCATCGATTTTGAGTAAGATTTACTATTTGGTAGTCTCTAATTCCTTCAAATATTGTGCACCAATCAGCATCAATTCATTGGTTGAAGATATCGAAATCAATTCAAATGGAATAGAATTAGACTTTTATTACTCTTCATAGTAATGAATTCTATCCTTGCTAGTCATCCTCCACAATTCTACTTTCCGTTGAACATCGATGAATGACTCTGTTATATACTTATTGTATAGTTCTTGGGAATGTATTATTTTCTCTCTGCATTCTTGGATTATTTTATTTCTTTTGTTGTCTAATATTTAGGTTAATTCATCAAAAAATGCATTGACTTACTTGATCTGAACGTCTAAGTTAGATTAAAAATGCAGCTCAATTTTGTTAAAATATTAGGACATTTCAAAGGTTTCATTTGCTGCTTTGTCCAGTCGTTCTGACATGTCCTTTAATTCATCTATTCTTCTAATAATCTTTTTTAACGCATCCTCCAAGTTAACAACTTTATGATCTGCATGATCTCCAAATAATGCACACTTTGCACAAATCCTTACACGATGATCAACACAAACTACGTCCATTTTCTCGCCGTGTTTCTTGCATCTATCTGAATCCTATTCAATTTCTGTCTACTTTGGAGAATTGTTCATTACGATTTTTCTGTTTGTTGGTCTATTTTTTATTATCTACAACAAAGCAAAGTTTTTTGGGAATTCATTCATCTAATTCCTTGTTACTTGTACACTGCCATAATAATTCAAATATATATACCCATCTTCTTTGCATACAAATTAATTTCCATTTTTTAATTTTACAGTTAGGCACTCAGCACAAACACTGTGACCACAATCAGGTAATAGGAATGGCTCCCTTTGAATGGAGAAATATTCCTTGCAAAATTAACAAGCGAATAATTCAGAATTCATTATGGATTAATTTTATATGAGAAATTAATTATTCAATCTCATCATCTTACCATCATCAATATTGAACTAATATTAACAATTATTCTAGATATGAAAAAATTCATTAATGATTTCAATTTATTATTGTCTATTATTAAAATAAATCATTTTCCCAATTTCTCTGTTTTATTCACACCATTAAACCAAACTTCAGACTAAAGTCCTTTTTGTTAACTCATTTTTGTAAATGCTCTTTCGGTGATGTTAATTGTGACACTAAGAAGCATCAATTACTTGGTAACTAAACTCCAATCAATTCATCTCTTCATTATACATTTATTGTATTAATATTTTTTATTTACATTCTTACCGCTCCAATTTGAACAACCCTATTTCAAATTAATTCTCATCTCCCTAGGTTTAATCATTGACTTAATTTTATAAAGGTATAATCTTTTTGTTGTTGTAAATACTTAATTTTACTTAGTATTTCTAGCAAATTTAATTTTAATTAATTACTTTTTATAAGATATAATCATACAGATTATTCATTTTTTCTTATATGTGCATTTTAGTAAACTGATATAATCTTAATCGTCAAAAGAAATTTGATAAATCAGAGAAGGTGTTTTGTCAATTAAAATACATATAAAGATAATTGAAAAGTAAATAGTAATTATAGCGAATATTAACAAACAAAGCCAAAATAGTTTACTATACTGGATTCATATTAAAATATTTTATATGAAAAATGTAATTATTCTATAAGTTTTTCCACTCAAAAGATTTTCTAACCTTATCTCAGAATCCAAAAAAATTACTTAATATTAATTTTGAGCCTTATATCTTATTTAATATTATATAAGGAAAAAAATTTTGTGAACCTATATAAACAATAATTATTATTATCTTTGTAAAATCTCATTTTTTACTTTTGATCATTTTATTTACCATTATCTGGAATTATTAAATAACTGAGGAAATTTATTTACTTATCAGAAATTAATAGAATTCACATATATAACAATTCAGTATTTATTAATGGCGTTAATATTTTATATTGAAAAAATGAGAACTAATTTGCTTTCCGTTGTTCTTTTATCCATACTAATCATTCCAATTGCAAGCTAGAGATAATGTAGATCAAGTTCTGAATGTGCTGCTGGATTTTGCTGTGCCTTTACATAAGTTACTTCTGTTGGCATTGATTTAAAAATAGTCTATTAGACATGCAGAAACTAGACAGTTGTTAAAAGCTATTAAAATGAGTTACATGTTCAGAGTTTATCAATCCCTGATTATGCTAATATCCATTAAATATTATTTGAAATAACATATTGCATAACTGCTAACTCAACATCGAATATTTTGGGATATTGAATTTGAATATATATTATTCATAATTATCATTTTTAGGATAGTGATCTTTTATTAATCATCAATACTTTTTGACTTGATAAGTTTAAAAACAAAATAGAATATTTATATTGGTATTTATAATCTTCAAACTTTTTTATTGATGGATTACTTTTAGGTAATACTCTAGCATCTAAAATGGCTCAGTTTATAGATAAATCATGTAAAAAGTAAAGTAGCTGAGTTCTGAAACCAAGGATGAGAATTATTATTAATTAGAAAATTGTCTAATTGTACCTATTCATTTGGATGAATCGATTAACTCCTATTTTGATTCATAATGAAAAATAATATTGGAGGGCATTTATATAATTAATATTTGAGAATATTGGATTAATATGGTATTTATTATAAATAATTTAATTTTTTAATTTATTCAAAATTCTATATATTTTTAATGCAAATATCTAGAGGATCTTAAGGCAAGCAAAATAGAGTTTTACCGCAATTATTGTTGATTATAGAGGCTCTAATAATCTTACATCGTTTAGTGAACAAATTTTATTATAAAACAGAAATATGGAATTATAATCTACATAGATTAATTGGAAAAATAAATTACAATTTTATGGAATATATCTTTTAACTTTAATTTTACAGATTAAATTAGGAGCATTCAAAACTTTGGATGATCATTGAATATCAAAATAAAATAGATGGGAAAGACACTATGTTATCTTCTTTTATATTAATAAATTAACATTTCACATCCAAGGAATTGGCAACTCATTAGCCAATTAAATAACTTTTTATTTCAAAGGCATCAATTTATCCTAATTTTCTGTTGCCCATTACTTAATGTCACTGGTAACAGTTTAAACCAATTCAACTGATTATTTTATGATTTCGGCTAATCTTGTGAAATGCTCTTTAGTAGCCTGTCTGACTGTTAATGGGATTGATCTTTTATTAATATCATAACTACCCTATTCTCAAAGCCCTTTGATAAGAAACTGTGTCAAACGGAACATAGTTTTTATTACATTGTATGTTAATCAAACTTAAGATATACTCCATTTTAATAGCATCAACATTAAAATTTCTCAAGTCTACCAAAATTAAGTGATTTTCAGTTTTCCCTCCAATCAAACCAAATCCTAATCTTTAGAATTCAGCTGCAAAATGTTTATTATTTTCAACAACATTCTACTAGAGTTGTTTAAAGGATGATGATTAAGCCTCTTTTAATGCCACAGCTATGGCAGTAATTGTATGGAAATGAGCACCAGCTACTAATCCTGGGGCAACTGATTCATCAATTCTATTTTTGTATTGTAATTTATAATAAATTAAACTTCCTCTTGGTCCTCGTAAACTATTATATAGAATAAATTGTACGATTTGTGAGTAGTACTCATTACAACGTCTGCAAAAGGGAATGGAGAAGGAATAACACCTGCTGACATTAAACCACTCGTATGAGCTATGTCAGCTAATAAAAGAGCCCCCACTTAATCACAAATGGTTCTGAATCTTTCAAAGTTGATTAATCTACTGTAGGCTGAACAACCAGCGACAATTAGCTTTGGCTTAAATGACTTAGCCAATAATTCAACCTTATCGTAATCGATTTCCTATGTTTCCTAAAAGGTAAATCTCTAAATATACTTCATTAAGTTAATAAAAGAGGACTTCAAAGATTCTGTTGACAGGAGATAACTTCTTTTCTCCAACTTAGTAACCATGGGAAAAGTGTCCACCTTATTAAAATTCCATACTCATAATTCTATCTTTCGGTTCTAATAATCCTAAAAATATGGCTAAATTAGCTGTAATTCCACTTCCCATCTAAACATTCACTCCCCATTCTTAAGGATCCAATGAAAATGCTGCCAGTGCTCTATCTTGACACAGCTTTTCAATTGCATCGTAATTCTCTACTTGGGGTGCATATTTGCCTCCCTAAGGACCTAGTATATAATAATAAGATAGATATTACCAGGAGCATATCTCGAGCCAAAGACACATGACTATGCTTCAGCTACTGCTCTAGAGGCATAATTTTCACTAGGAATCAAATTTATACTGTTTTGTTGCAATTCCTTTTCTTTCTCAATCAAGTGATAAACTTCTTAGTCTTGTTACTCAATTGTTTGTTAGGAATCTGAATGTAGATTGATCATTATTTATTTTTATAAAATTTAAGGTTATACACCATATATAAAAATTAAGAATATAGGTCTAACTTAATTTTAGATTAGACATGTTTTTAATTATTATAAAATCCAATAATTCAAATTAAATTAATTTTATAATAAGTATTAAACCATAGATATTTATTTTAATTAAATTTATATTTGTATTTAATATATAATTATCAATATACACATCTCCAAATTATGAGAACTTGTTATCATTTAATCCAAGTTGCTAATATTGTTCCATCATTGTTGACAGCGGCTTAAATGTATGAATCTTTGAATTCATCAACTCTATGCTAAATACAGTTTAATGAATCAACATCAATCAAAATATAAAGTTTAATGCTTCACACTGCTTACATTAAGATGACTCCTATACTGAAATTGTATAGAATAGGCAATCTTGAATTCTCTCGAGCTATAATTCCTATGTAATTTTCACTAAGATTTTAAGAATGCTTATTTTCTCTAGTTTCTTTGTTTGAAGTATGGAATTACAGTATTAAGAAATTTTAAGGTTAAAATACAAATTAGTCTTCACTAATATAACTCAGAAATACTTTTCCAAGTCGATTTAATTAGATTTTTATGATCACCAAACAATTAAGTTTCTGTTATTATTCAATAACTAAAATAGATCCAAAAATTTCTTAGGATATCACCTAATATCTCTTTGATAAATCACACACTGCGACCTTTGATTTCTTACATAGTTTAAAAACATTCCCATGATGAATTCAATAATTTTGACCAAAATTTTATACTTTGATCCAAGCATCCAGAAATAATGATTATATTTAATGGTTTCATTTTGCAACAAAACTCCATCTGAATGTCCTTTGATTTTTGAAGGTATTTCGGTCTTTACAATAGATTGAATGATTCTAACCTTAAAAATGAATCATTAGAGGTAGTCAAAAATAAAGAACTCATCTTAAAAATATAGTGTATTTAACTTCTATTGAAATATATGTAAGAGTTTCAAACATTTAAATTTATTTTATTTGAAATAATATTTTGCTATTTATCTCTATCTTTAAGAGATTTTTCCATATTTCAGATTCAATACAATGAAGCCTGCTAAGTCTAATATTCATAAGAGATATTGCTTAGCATCTCATAGAATACTACACTAAGACTACAAAAATACTGAAAATAATATCACAATCAAAACAAATTCATTAGATAGAATATATAATTAGAAACCCAAATTATGATGTAATTATTATTGGAGATTATAATATTTTTATAATTGATAAGAAAATTAATTTTATTCTATTTCATACAGTTTGAATTATAACACGGTTTTTTATTTCCACTAAAATACAATGAGAATTTTTTTGAATTTCTTTGGACTTTTCTTTTTTTTGCTGGAGTTTCTTATAGAATGAACGAATCCTTTCATAAATAATCATAATTAATTGCACAACAAGACCAAATGAGAGAATGCTGATGTGAAACCAACCAAATTTAATTTTTAGCTCCTAGTTGATATACATCGAGTAATCATTTACATATACAAGTGATGTAAATGTAAACAATATTATTGATCCTTCAATAATAAACTAAACCAAAAAGTTTGACAATTCAAAAACCTTTCGATAATTGTAAACAATTTTGAGACATAACACACATATCAGTGCTATGAGCATAATCTACAAAATTTCTTAACTCTATAAAAATACTAAGATAATAAGGAAGCAAGTTTATCTTAACAAATTAAAAATCTCATATCTTTTTATCAATAACATCTTTCGTCTGCCATTTCTAATTAGACTCTCTCTATTGCAAGCAGAAATCATTATAAATAAATAGCCTATAAGGATGAACGAACTCAATGTCAGGGAAATAACATCCCTTACTTAGATTGAATCTAATGATCGAAGATATAGCAAGGTTTTAAAGATCAAATCCCATCCATTAATTAATAATAACTATTTGATCCCATTATATGTGGCAACTTATTCTAAGCTTAAGCACCATTTGGCTAATTTGTATAATCCTTAAGAAATCTTTATTACAAATTGATTTTTTAAGCAGTTGAGTACAGCAGAGATTTTTATAGAAAATTAATCAGTGAAGATGTGATAATAGAACACTCTTTGCAACAATTGGATAATTGATATTATAAGTAAGCAAATGATACATTGAAATAACTACCACTGTATATTCTAGATGAGATCAGCATTTAGGTTGTAGTAATAGAATTTTTCATAAGAAGGCTTGAAGCTCGAATCTACTTAGAAAAATTAGAAAAAGTCATGCACACAAAAATAATCCATTAAAGTTTAGCTCTATAACAAATCACCTAATTCGAAATATATCAAGAGATTTTAAGGAAACTCCAGATTGAGGTATCTCAAGTATTATTGATATTACAATATGTTAATTATTTAAAAAAATAATTCAGATAAGCCAAATAACAGGGACATTATTCCAATACCAAGAATAATATAAATGATGGATTTATTAATTTGCTTCAACTTTAAAGAGTATACTGTTTAGACTTCATCCAAGTAATTAGGAATATTTAAAGTGATGTAATGATCATTAGGAATTACAACAGCTCCATGTTAGTTAACAATTTATTAATTTAATTTAATCTAGAGTACTGGCTTAAATTCAAGTAACTAAAATATCTGAATTGCAATAACATATTCTGGCTTTGAAAGTTATGCACTTGCATCATTAATAATAGTTAAATTTAATTGTTACTTATCTTCTGAAACATCAATTACCCATGTTTCCATTGTATCAGTAAGTACCATTTAAGATGTAGTCATAACTTGTTCATTGAATGAAATCTGTACAAATTAAGTATCTTATGTATAATTTAGGAAGGTAAGTATCAACTTTGGATTTACAGAAAAGGTACACTAACTAAGTATGTCAACTGAATAATCTGAACATACCCAATTCAATTCAACCATTTAATTAAAGCACCCATCATTTGGTAAATCGTTACCATCATAGCATTCAATAATAGCAGTTTCCTGCTCATATGAAATTGCAATATATTGGCATTATCCATTTTTAGTGAGTTCATATTACTCCTCGCACGCAAGACATTATCCTTAATAGCAATCTAAACAATTCAAAGTACATGAGTATTTACAATTATGACAGCCATCATACTCAATATCATTATTATCATCGCATTCTTCTTACAATGTTACATATTAATCGCCACAAATTGTAAAACATTCCCCCTAGAGTAATTTATATCCTTCTCCACATAATTAATCATTACATTTCCCGTCGATACATATGATGCAACTTTCTTAACATTAGAATTTGCATTCAAAACATCCATCAAATGGTATTAAATTACCATCATCACAATCCTCAAAACCATTAATTACGATCTTATCTCCACAAAAAGAATAACATTAATTATCGATTAATTGATACCCTGGTTAACATTCTAAGCATTTCTTCAAATAACAAGTATTACACGTTTAATCGCATTCAAAATTACAATTGAAACAACCATCACCTTCTAAATTATTACCATCCTCACATTTTTCTTAAGTATAAGGAACTACGAATCCATCTCCACAAATAGGTAAACACTGTTAATCATTATTTAATTCAAAACCAGTTTAACAATCTACACATTTGCCAAATTAGCATACAAGGCAATTTTAGTTGCATTAGAATTTACATTCAAAGCATCCATCGTGCGATAAGTCATTTCCATCATCGCATTCCTCATCTCCAACAATAAATCTATCACCACAATAGGGTTGACACATTTAATGAATAGCAATAAACTTCCAACCTTCATAACATTAATTACATATCAAGTCAATTAAAAACATACACCCAGGCATGAATTAGATTATGTTTTCTTCTTCGAGATCTGCATAGTAAATATCAATATCCCTTATATATAAACTAGATGATAAGGATTCAAGCAGAATTTCATATACTTCGCCCTTCCAATCATCTATCAAAATTTATATCGACCCTATTGAATTGTAAATAACTTTGTAATAAAGATTATTTAATGAAATTTGAAAAGTATTTGAGTCATATTTAAATAATCTTATAAGGATTTATTGATTTTTTGGCAAATACAGAAATCTTCTAAATTTCATTCCATTAAAGTAATGGCAACCAGAGCATTAGTCTGACTGAAAAATAGTTAAAGGAAATCCTAAACCATCCCATAAATCAGATCCACTGATGTAAGATTATGAAAAAGATTATGTATGTTTTTGCCATTTTAGACATTAGGGGTAATCATCACCAAAACAAGCCATACATTCACATTTTTCTAGACTTAATTTAAATGTTTTTATGCCCCATGATTACTTTTATACATTATAATTTTACATCTTCATCTGTTTTCACATTTGTATAAATATGTACCCAGGCACTTCTTTTGACATGAGGAATTGTGATTGATATTGTATCTAATTCATCATTGTAGACAGATGAATCATCATCATCATCCTACAAGCTCCCAGTACCACAATAATCAGGAAATACGCCAGAATGAGTGTAACCTTTTTAGAATTACAAAGTATTGTCAATTTCAATGTTTATTGAATCTAAAGTCCATCTATCTATTCTAAATATAAAAGATCAAAATCTACATCCACAGCTCGATTTCAATTTTCAACTTGTAATGAGGATCAAGGTCATTAAAAAACCTAGTAATATAGGTATTCATTCCAAAACTCTTAGGTCCACCAAAAATCACTTAAGAGTCACAGGTTCTAAACATCGTATTAAGCATATTTGTGATATTCCAACCTAAAAATTCAAATAATCTTGTAATACAATCCTGATTTTTATCGTTTGCATCAAAAGAGTAGACTTAAACAAAGCAACTAACTTTCTTCATATAAACTAACCAAATTAAAATTGTGAACATGTTATAATTGAATATAATTTAGTCTTTTTATTGCCATCAGTCATATATTAATAATTTAGAAGTTGTAATTTGTTGAATGAATTGTGGAAAAATATTAAGTTTATTATAATGGAATTTATTTTTTATTTATGGATAGGGTTGCTTTGGATCATTTTTCTCTATTGAAAAGAAGAATTACATTTGATTTATATGAGTTTTTGAGAATTATCATTGAAAAATATATTGCTATCATATTTTAAGTTGAAATTGTCACCAAGGATTAACAATATTTTTGGTGAAATTTCATTTATATGATATGAAATTGATCAATGAAGACAATATAATATATCATCTATTTTTGGTGTTTGGCCTGGATGGTTACTTTATAATATAATTACTAAATAGCCAAATTGAATGAATTAATTAGTTATTTACTACTTTGAAGCAGAGTAGTTAATTAATGATGAGAATAAAAGGTGTAGGGTAAATTTATTGATAATATGAATATTAAATTTTTAATTCGAATTACTAATTTAGTAATTAAAAAAAATATTAAAGATCTAGGTTAACTTGAGAATTATGGGATTGAGGATTATAATTAATTAAGAAAAATGAAATATGATTATAACAGTGTTTTAACGACACGATGTTAAGGAATCCATTGTATTTATACTAAATCAACAAAAAGAGAGTTGATATTAATAAAATAATAACAATTAGGTAAATTTGATTTACAAATTAATATATGTAAACGTAAACATGAAGTTATATAATGGATGAATGTTAATACAATATAAATTAAAATTATACAAGCAGAATGAATAGATTCAAGTTGGAACTAAAAATAGAATGATATTTTATATGAATATTTAAATAATATTCAATTCTAAACTTTCTATACTAGGTGAAGTGTTGCTTCACATTAAATGTTATATTCCTAAATGGTCTTAGCATTATCCAATTACAATCCTGCAAATATTAATCTTTGTTCTTCAGGAGGCATTCCAATCTAATTTGCTATTAATTATTTGAGATGTTCTATTGTATCTGCATTTTCTACTACTACTGCAAGTGTTTGACCAGTTATAGTTTTAATAAAAATCTACATCTTACCATCTTCCGATACGGCTTATTACCTTAATCGCAAGACTAAATGAATTGTTGATTCATGTTCTACATTATATTCCAAAAGAGTTTTTTCGTCTTCTAATTAATGACCAGAAAAAATAAGTCTTTATTAATCTGGTGGAATTCCTTCCTTATCTCGAATTTACTTTTTGAGAGATTCAACTGTATCAGTAGATTCAACCTCAAGGGTGATCATTTTTCCAGTCAGAGTCTTAATGATAATTTGCATACCACCTCTCAATCTCAAAACTAAGTGGAGAGTTGATTCCTTTTAGATGTTGTAATCTGAAAGTGTTCTTCCATCTTCCAATTATTTTCCTGCAAAAATGAGTCTTTATTAATCCGGAGGGATTCCTTCCTTGTCCTAAATTTTAGCTTTGACAGCATCTATAGTATCTGATGGCTCAACATCTAGAGTAATGGTTTTTCCAGTTAATGTTTTAACAAATATTTGCATTAATATAANTTGAAATTGTCACCAAGGATTAACAATATTTTTGGTGAAATTTCATTTATATGATATGAAATTGATCAATGAAGACAATATAATATATCATCTATTTTTGGTGTTTGGCCTGGATGGTTACTTTATAATATAATTACTAAATAGCCAAATTGAATGAATTAATTAGTTATTTACTACTTTGAAGCAGAGTAGTTAATTAATGATGAGAATAAAAGGTGTAGGGTAAATTTATTGATAATATGAATATTAAATTTTTAATTCGAATTACTAATTTAGTAATTAAAAAAAATATTAAAGATCTAGGTTAACTTGAGAATTATGGGATTGAGGATTATAATTAATTAAGAAAAATGAAATATGATTATAACAGTGTTTTAACGACACGATGTTAAGGAATCCATTGTATTTATACTAAATCAACAAAAAGAGAGTTGATATTAATAAAATAATAACAATTAGGTAAATTTGATTTACAAATTAATATATGTAAACGTAAACATGAAGTTATATAATGGATGAATGTTAATACAATATAAATTAAAATTATACAAGCAGAATGAATAGATTCAAGTTGGAACTAAAAATAGAATGATATTTTATATGAATATTTAAATAATATTCAATTCTAAACTTTCTATACTAGGTGAAGTGTTGCTTCACATTAAATGTTATATTCCTAAATGGTCTTAGCATTATCCAATTACAATCCTGCAAATATTAATCTTTGTTCTTCAGGAGGCATTCCAATCTAATTTGCTATTAATTATTTGAGATGTTCTATTGTATCTGCATTTTCTACTACTACTGCAAGTGTTTGACCAGTTATAGTTTTAATAAAAATCTACATCTTACCATCTTCCGATACGGCTTATTACCTTAATCGCAAGACTAAATGAATTGTTGATTCATGTTCTACATTATATTCCAAAAGAGTTTTTTCGTCTTCTAATTAATGACCAGAAAAAATAAGTCTTTATTAATCTGGTGGAATTCCTTCCTTATCTCGAATTTACTTTTTGAGAGATTCAACTGTATCAGTAGATTCAACCTCAAGGGTGATCATTTTTCCAGTCAGAGTCTTAATGATAATTTGCATACCACCTCTCAATCTCAAAACTAAGTGGAGAGTTGATTCCTTTTAGATGTTGTAATCTGAAAGTGTTCTTCCATCTTCCAATTATTTTCCTGCAAAAATGAGTCTTTATTAATCCGGAGGGATTCCTTCCTTGTCCTAAATTTTAGCTTTGACAGCATCTATAGTATCTGATGGCTCAACATCTAGAGTAATGGTTTTTCCAGTTAATGTTTTAACAAATATTTGCATTAATATAAAATTATAATGTATCCAAAATATTAATTCAAGTTATACAGTATAATATGTATTCTGTTCAATTCTGTCTTGAGAATGAGATTATAATATTTTGATCAACTAGATTAGATAGATAATTAGAAGACAATTTCATTCAGTCGCATTCAATTCAAATGCGTTTTCTCATTTAGATATATTTTTCCTATTCTAATAATAGTATATTGGATTATGCAAGATATATAAAAATTTATTTATAAATAGTAAACAATTATAATTACTAGTTTTTCTGCTTAAAAAGAGTAAATACGGTCTTTGATAATATCAGATTTTGACGAACAAGATATCCATATTTAAACTTGAAAATGATAGTTGTATTTAGTCAAGTTAATACAATAAATGTTTAATTTTTATGGAATTAAACTTAATTATTTAATTATAAATCTAAATAATATCTCAAAATTGATATATTTCTTTTTGTATAGCTAAAGATGTAGCACTAATATGTAATAAATCCTAATATTTCAAGCATTATAATTATTAACTCATCCCAGGGTTCTCATTTGAACAACGTAGACATTCTACTGTTTTAGCAATCAATAAATCTAATACAATGGTGTATTCTGCAGGTGATAATAAAATTGTTGTGTTCTAATTGAAAAATGGGTTGAGATAGTTATAATAAGTTAAATCACATTCAATCAAAATTACTACTCTTAACGTCTTTAATCAAAATTCAGGTTTGGTATCTGGTTCTCTTGATGCTTCAATCGTTTTATGGTCTTTAGTTATGAATCGAGATTTCAAATATTTAGCTAGATTAAAAGAGCATAAAAATGAAGTAACATGTCTAGTATTACATCCTTTTTAAAGTAATTTAATCATTAGTGGATCAGATGATCAATCAATAAAATTTTGGACTTTCAATTGTTTATAATTCTCAAATAAGAAATCTTGGTATTGTTCATAGACTATTTCACAGCATAATTCTACTGTTTCTCAAATTTCTATAAGTCAAGACGGAAATAAATTAATATCCTGTTCAAATAAATTAATAATAGTTATTAGCTATTCTGTCTAAAATTTATGGTAAGTAAATTAACTAATTTAACTATCTGAAGTAGGAGTAAGATTGTCATTTATCAATGATAACTTGTTTGCTTACTAACCATGGACTGGAAAATCTCTACACATTTATAAACTAGATTCTATTGAAAATTAATACGTCAAATCAAAAGAAGTTGCAGTTTAAGGGCAAAAAGATGCCTGCTGGAGTTATTTTCCAGCCATTTATGCTCCTTCAAAAAACATTCTAATTTGCAAGAACGGATATAAAATAAATGTGTTAAAATTCATATTCTCTTCATCCGACTCCGACTGGCAATGTCATTTGGAACAAAGTATTAATTATAAACACAATTGGGTATTCGGAACCTTAAGCGCCGACGGTTAATATTTAATAACAAGTGATTGGTTTTCAAAATCAATTCAGATAAGGTAGCTTACTTATTAAGAGAACATTGAGTAATAAGTTGAAAATAATATAAGTAATTATTTATGAATAAATTTAAAATTATTTCATAATTGAATATATTTTATATGGTACTTTGGTCTTAACCATTCTTGTAGATAATTAGTTGATGTTTGTCTCTTTCTAAAAGTTGGGGTTAAAACTAAAAAAATTATAGCTAAATGTTTGATCAATTTGATATATAATTATATAATAACTATGATATTGAATGCCATAACATATTAAGTGGGTCTGAATTTCAATAAAAAGAAACTTAGGCAATAATTTGCAACAATTTATTTTAATTACTTAAAAAAAATTTCTTAGGATAGAGAAACATAAATCCATAAAGGAAATTAAATCAAAAATGCTTATTTCAAAAATTATAGAAAATGAGCTTGAAACATAACCAACAAATTGTTTAAGCACTTCTAAACCCTTAATTATAGAGAGATCAGAGGCTTTTATGCGGCTAATGCATATAAAATAGGTAAAATAAAAATAATGATTAAAGCGTTGGATTTATAAATAGGATAATAAACTCAAGATACTTTACGAGATAATGAAAATGCACTCTAGTAATGTATTTTAGTTTTTTATAATTAAATTATGAATATAATTAAATAAATTAACCAAAAAGGAATCAGACTTCATTCAAAATGGCAGGAGGCTAATGAAAGAATTACCCAATACATAAAATTATCGAAGAAGCAATAATAATTGCCAATATTCTTCTAATGTATTTCAATTCTATATTATATTTAGGTATATTTTTATTAATTAGAATATTCTATTGGTTTATAATTGAGATGAATTAACCAGGAAAAGAAATAATGATGAGAAATTAGGCCAAAAAGATGAATGATAACTTGTATAGAGATTTATTAGATTACTCAGATAAAGAATTAATTAAAACACCGTAAGATGCTTTTATTTTAATAGCAAAAAGTAAAAGAAATTAATAATATATAGGCTATGCTTTATCTGAAGAAAATAAGTTTCAAGAAGCAATTGAGTTATGCGAGAAGGTTTTTGAGAGAAGAACCTTTTTATCGACACGCTTTGTATAACAGATGTAATTGTTTATATTAAAAAGCAGGCGATTNTCCAGCCATTTATGCTCCTTCAAAAAACATTCTAATTTGCAAGAACGGATATAAAATAAATGTGTTAAAATTCATATTCTCTTCATCCGACTCCGACTGGCAATGTCATTTGGAACAAAGTATTAATTATAAACACAATTGGGTATTCGGAACCTTAAGCGCCGACGGTTAATATTTAATAACAAGTGATTGGTTTTCAAAATCAATTCAGATAAGGTAGCTTACTTATTAAGAGAACATTGAGTAATAAGTTGAAAATAATATAAGTAATTATTTATGAATAAATTTAAAATTATTTCATAATTGAATATATTTTATATGGTACTTTGGTCTTAACCATTCTTGTAGATAATTAGTTGATGTTTGTCTCTTTCTAAAAGTTGGGGTTAAAACTAAAAAAATTATAGCTAAATGTTTGATCAATTTGATATATAATTATATAATAACTATGATATTGAATGCCATAACATATTAAGTGGGTCTGAATTTCAATAAAAAGAAACTTAGGCAATAATTTGCAACAATTTATTTTAATTACTTAAAAAAAATTTCTTAGGATAGAGAAACATAAATCCATAAAGGAAATTAAATCAAAAATGCTTATTTCAAAAATTATAGAAAATGAGCTTGAAACATAACCAACAAATTGTTTAAGCACTTCTAAACCCTTAATTATAGAGAGATCAGAGGCTTTTATGCGGCTAATGCATATAAAATAGGTAAAATAAAAATAATGATTAAAGCGTTGGATTTATAAATAGGATAATAAACTCAAGATACTTTACGAGATAATGAAAATGCACTCTAGTAATGTATTTTAGTTTTTTATAATTAAATTATGAATATAATTAAATAAATTAACCAAAAAGGAATCAGACTTCATTCAAAATGGCAGGAGGCTAATGAAAGAATTACCCAATACATAAAATTATCGAAGAAGCAATAATAATTGCCAATATTCTTCTAATGTATTTCAATTCTATATTATATTTAGGTATATTTTTATTAATTAGAATATTCTATTGGTTTATAATTGAGATGAATTAACCAGGAAAAGAAATAATGATGAGAAATTAGGCCAAAAAGATGAATGATAACTTGTATAGAGATTTATTAGATTACTCAGATAAAGAATTAATTAAAACACCGTAAGATGCTTTTATTTTAATAGCAAAAAGTAAAAGAAATTAATAATATATAGGCTATGCTTTATCTGAAGAAAATAAGTTTCAAGAAGCAATTGAGTTATGCGAGAAGGTTTTTGAGAGAAGAACCTTTTTATCGACACGCTTTGTATAACAGATGTAATTGTTTATATTAAAAAGCAGGCGATTTATATAAAGAAACTACTAATTCAAATTGTAATTGGTTTGAGTCAATATTCATCAGCAATTTCAAGTCTAGGTATAGCTCTAAAACATAATTCATAGTACAGTATTGGTTGTAGTTTAAAAGGTATTTACAAAGTTATTATTTTGGGTTTTGCTTTAAAACATAACAATGTTGATTAATAGAAGGATAGATAATCTTTATAAATACGATGATACAATTTTTTGTTATGATAAGGCAATTCAAATAGATCTAATTTTTTGCCACTGCCTATTTTAATAAAGGTTTGTAATTTCTTGGTTGTATTAGGTGATATATTAAAAAATATCGGGAAATACTCATTAGCAATAAAGAATTACGAGCAGGCAATTCAGTATTGTAAACCAGAAGAGAATGAATTTAAGCGTTTTCAATTATGAAATAAAAAAATAAAAAATGAACATTTTCATTTCAGTTATATAATAAATATCTGATTCTATTCGATATTTGAAAATTCATAATAGTTAATAGTGTGATTGTGATACTTTAATGTTTTAGATAAAAACTAGATTAACTGTCTTGCTTTCAAACTCACTAATGATTGTATTGAATGAAAATCTCATCAAAGACAATACCATATGAAAGCCCAAAAGCATTAGAGGAACCAAAAGGGAATTAAATTTATTAAAATGGCTGGCAATATTATGGTTCCTAAAATTATACAATTAGCACATGAAAAAGTAAATGATCTGACATTCCATATTTTTTCAGAGCATAAACCATTTAACTCATATATTAAAAATGACTTCAAGTATAAAGCAAATAAGATTGATAAATTTTCGTTTTTAAAATTAACTTTAATCACAAGGGTAAATCAAATTGTAAGAGATGTTCAAATTTCTGTGACAATTATGAGCCAAACCAATAAAATACTTGTTTTATAAAATTTCGATTATGAAAGTGAGAATTTAGTGATAATAAGTGAAGATCTTATCTTAACTATTATTTAAATAATAAGAGTTGCAACAGATTGACACAGAACTAAAAAATTTGTGAACATTTAAAAATATATTATTAAATTTAAATGTACCTCAAGATATTAAATTAGTTTTGGGAATTTTATTTACTTTAATTGTAAAATTATAAAAAATAGTTTTAAAAACCTGTCCATTTTTTAAATACATATTTAGAAATTTTAGTTGAAAATTTTTAGCGCTTTTTGTAAATTGACTATCTAAAAATATTATTTCTGCTATTCATATTAATTTTAGTTCCCACTAAACATATTAATTTTAATTCTCCCTAAAAACCATAAAAATAATACACGAAAGAGTAACCTAATGAAGGCCAAGAAATTTTAGGATGGGCTGAATGAAGAAGAATGTCGTAACAAAATTAAATCCTAAGATGAAAATCATAAAAAAGGAGACCATTATCATCAATATTGCATTTAATTTTTAAAGTCTGCCTTAAATTATGTTTACTTACAGGGCAAGACTTTAATGAGAAAAGATAAACGATAATCAGATGCAACTTTTTCAGATGTTAGGTGCTTTAAATTATTGTTTAATATTTTGATATTTTAGAATATGATAATATGTAATTCACATTATATCTTCTAAAAGAAAATTCTAAATAATTGCTTCAGAATATTTTTCAATATTATTTGAAAATAATAAATTAGTTTAAGGAGTTAAACTAAATATCAATATTTATTCTGAAATATCAAATATTTTTATAGTATTATCTCTAAATACAGATGCTAGTAGAAAACCAATTGGCGAAAACTATATGATTTCAATATCTTATTGTTGATCAATAGACACCTAAAATACAATATTTTCTTTCAACATATCAATAATAGTTATATATCCTTTTCCTCCAATTGCTAATTGTACCATTTCTTCATTTCGAGAAAAAACTATACATTTTACATCTTTAAATGTAATTTCTTTTATAGGTTTTCTAACATTTATTTTATAACACTTTAATTCATTGTTCGTATCATAAGTAGCAAAATAATGGCCTCCTTATGAAAATTCAAAATAAATAACTTCCTACTTTAATTTTTATAAACTTTTTGTATCTCCAGACTAGTCCAAATAATTCCAGCAATAAATAGTATTTTGAGCAAATATCAAAATCGTTGAATCGGCTGAAAAGCAAAAATCTACAATATTAATGTTTTAAGGTAATAGAGGTGGTTTGAATGCTTCATTAGTCTTCCAATTTATAATTGTTAATTGTGATTCTTTATTCTCACTTAAAAATACCAGATATTCTTCATCCTAGGAAAACTTAATCTTTTTAATTATTGAATTTGTATCCTTTGAAAAATCAACTTTATCATTTTTAAAATTATAAATTAATAACTTACCTTCCTCATTTGCAGATGCTAAAAATTAATCTGTTACACTAAGAATTATTGATATCGCTTTAGAATCATGAAGATCTTTTATTTTTAATCTTTTTCCATCCTTCATATCCCAAAATTTTATTACTTTGCTTAAACTAAAAGTTAACAATGTTAAACCATCATTAGAAAAATGAATCTAATTTATTTTTTTTGGATGTTTTACTTGATGTATCGATTGAAATGCTTCTAAATCCAAAAATTTTATTTATTCGTATTAATTATAGTATCCCAAAATTCTATTATTCTTTCCTATATTCAAGAATTGAATCTGTTATGGATATATTTAAACTCTACTTTATTATTTACCAGTTTGATAATTCCACAATATGATAAAGCAATCATCACCCCCAGAGATTAAAGTTCGTTTATTTTCAAGAAAGACCAAGCAATTGATTTTATCTTGATGTCCTTTAAGTTGAATTTCTTCTTTGCTTAATTATATATTATATAATTAAATAATTTTGGAGTTTTAATCTTTAGATGAAACTGAAGCAATTATCTCGTCAAAGGACACTGCAAATACAATCACTTCATCTGAAAGTTATTTAATAAATTTTGGACGATCCCATTGTTTTACATATCTTAGTTGTATTAATTGTTTTTCAAAATTAAGAGCAAGAAATGTATCACCGTAAGAAAATAAAAGGCTACGTAATTTAGAACCTTTTACATCTATAACTTATTTTTTCTCCTGCCTTTACCATTTCCAAATAATTATTTTATCATTGCTTGCTGAAGCCAATTATTCTTGTTCTTTTGAAAAATACAATTTTTCTACAAAATTGTTAACCTCTAATAAAGGTTGGTAATCAAATGTATAGCGAAGATTCCTTATATAAATTACTTAGCTATGCATTTCTACATAAGCCAAATATTCCCCGTTTTAAGAAATGTCAAAACATTTCAAACTTTTTATACATGAAAAAACTTATTACTTCTCTTTGCCCTTCTCTAATTCTAATTAGAAAAAACAATTTTAAGATTTATATATCACAGCCAATTGTTACTACCTGAATTAAAATAAATAAGAACAATTTTTGATATCTTTCTTTATATTGTAATTTATTGTATTTTTCCAATTGGCTCCGTTTAATTTTGTATTCGTAAAATTACAATCACTGATATTGACGTGTTAGAATATTGAATCGCTCAAGTCAGAATTAGAAAAATCAATACCAATCAAACTAGTGTTTTTCAATTCCATAGTATCTAAAGGTATATTACTTAAGTTCTTTGTTACAAAGCCTAAAAAGCTTATGATGTTTGATGCAGCAGGAATCAAAAGCCTCTTAGCTGATTTCTAAATAAGCCAAATAAGCCTTTCTTAAAAAGCCTTGTCCATTTTTACTTTTTCTTTTAGAATTTCAAATGCCTCTTTATATTAGGGTTTTGATAAATTAAATTGTATATTATTTATCCAAGACTTTCTTATTATATCAATAAAATTGTTTTAAGATGAATTATTTTCATATTATTCTCCATGAAACGAATTCATAAGATTTTTTTCTTAGTATAAGGAACTATTTATTAAACTATAAAATGCTTTGGCAACATAGAATTATGTAATTTTTTCATGAGAAAAAGATAAATTACTTCCTCTTTAAGTTATTAACATTGAACTTCTAATCAAAGCATAATAATCATGACTAATATTTTAATCATGAAAATACTTATCATACCAAGTTTCCACAGTATTTGGAAGAAATTTTCCAAATATCTAAAGCTACCCTTATGGTTGATATTGAATAGATAACTCTTAGTTTTAGATCATTTCTAGAGAGAAATAATTAGCAAATAATAATACATCTTATTTAAAATTCTCTTCATCTTTGATTTTTCCTTTTGATTTTAATCTTAATATTTATTTTTCCAAATATATTGAAGTTAATCTATCAATAAAATCATAAACAGTGATCTATTCTTATTTAATCGCATTGATTACTAGTTATAAGCTTTATGAATCACTAATATATTCACTTAATTTATTCTTTAAATCCGATACATTTAAATTACTATTAAAAATTGTTCTAAATAATCCTTTCGACTAGAATGATAATATCTATTTTTTGACAACTTTTTCAATTTCGAAATTACAACTTTTTAAAATTTATTTCCAACTTTATTATTTATAATTAGGTGATTTAATTATAGAAGAGATTTTATTTGATAGAATACTTGTTTATATAACTTCAAAGTAGTTTTATTCAAAGTGCTTATGTTTTTCAGTCAAATTGTAATTTTTGGTTAATGTTGGGACTATCTTCAAAATCATTTTAATTAAATATGGAATCCTCATTAATTCTCCTAATTTTAAGTTGTTAGAAAATGATTTATATTTTTTTGCATTCCATAACCTTGATAAGTTATCTCGAAGTATGTTCATTTAATTAATGTAATTTTGATTCGACAGCAAACATTAGTTTTTTCCTATTAAATAATTAATTATTTAATCCAATTGATTGCAATTCAATAGTTATTGCTAATCCAATGGTTATTACGAATCCAATAGTTATTGCTAATCCAATGGTTATTGCTAATCCTGGTTTTTACACTTCTTTATAATTTCAAGTACCATCCTCCAATCATTTGAACATTCAAAAAAAGTAAATTATTTATATTCTAATTACTTAAAAATTTTTTCAGAATTTTAAATCTCTTTTATAACACTTAATTAAGTGTATTATTATAAAAAATTGTCGATTTATTAGTCATCAAATTCCAATAACTCAACCTCTCTAAGCATCCTGTTCAATCCGAACCATGTCTGTAATTATGATTCAATATAATCTTATTTTTTTTCATTAGATGATTACGACTTTATAAACTCTGTTCTACAAGATATTATGAATTTAATAGCATTTCTGTTATTTGCTTTATTCTTTAATTCAGAGAATCTGTTCGAAACATATAAATTTTAGTATTTAAATTCATTTGGCATCTCATCATACGAATCTAATAAAAGAAGAGCTAATTACTTGGTTTAAGTTAGAGATTATTTAAACTCTTCAATTTAATTCTCATTAAATCCATATTTATTTTACATCAAAATTTCTTTAAATAAATTTGTTGTTGGAGTTTATAAATTAGATAATTAAGCACTAATTGGAATTATTATTAATTCATCATTCAAGCTATAATTCTTCCAAATATATTATTCAATTTTGTTCATAGCAGTAGTTTTTCCAATTCCTGATCTTCCATGTATTAACATCACGTATTGGTACGTATCTTCAATAAACATATTAATTAGTTTAGATACATCATATTATTTCTTTCCTTCTTCTTTATCGAAGTAATTAAATTATTGCTCAGTGTGTAGTTCTTCAATCCCATTTTTATTCATCTCAAATTCAAAATTTTTTTTTCTAATATCAAATAATTCTTTAGGTGTTTTCCAAATTAATCTTGCTATTCTTTGGTCTACATTATTTAATTTGAATTACAACTCTTAAAGTTGTTATTTTATATTATTAAATTACTTTTTTAATTCTAGCAATATGATTATCTTAATTTTTAATTTATCCTACATATCGTTGATATTTAGAATATATTAACTTAAATCTTTTTCTATTTCTTAAAGTTTGATTTTCAATTATTCAATTTTATCTCCATCAACTTATTATAATATTTGAGTATGACACTCATCAAAATCTGAAAGCCTCTCTTTAAACTATCGTTCGATTTCCTGTTACGATTCCTCAAAATTGCGAAGATATAATTAAGTTTATATTTCAATCATCTCCTCATTTTGTAACAGTTACTTAACTTTATAATCATTTTCTTTAATCCAAATTCTGGTAATTAAACTTTTGGAAAATCTTTGTAAATTTTCTTCCAATATTATATTATTAATCTTAATTAAATTATAGCAGAGGCATTACTTGATTTTCTATTCTTCTCGTTATTAAATTTAAGGGTCAGGATTAGCCTACTTCAAATCTTTATAAAATTATAATAGATTGATATAAGGTTAATTATCATTTGTCGAATATTCAAATGGTACTTAATGATGAAAACCATTTAGATCAAAGCTTTACAGGATTTCGAAAAATTAATAAATATCTAAATAAGGAATTTACGTATCATAGTTTTTAGGAAAATCAAAAAATAGTGACTTTAGATTTTTCTCTAAAGCCCTTTTATTTTCATATAGATCTTTCTAAGGTTTATGCATTTATTCTATAATTTTTTTTCTAGTTTATTCTGCAGAATTGTCGACAGTTTAATCAGATTGTATTTTGTTCTTTATTTCAAATGTATGAATTATAAACTCTGTCTTTCTCATAAGAATCATCAAATTGTTAGCAATTGAATCAAAGTTAGTAAGTAAAGTTTCTGATTTCTAACAAGGCTAGCTTTCTCTCTAACTCTATCTACCTCTCTAACTTTAGTTTTATTCTTTATCAACTGAATTGCATTGGTTGATTATTGACAAAATTTCATATTGAATTTTGCATATTATACGTATATAATTTTTAGAGTTTTCACCCTGAAAATCTGGCAATTTCATCAGTTCAAATAATATTAATGTCATTTTTTTTAAGATATCGTTTTTAATTTTATCGTTGATTTACGTATTCTTAATTTAGTTGATGTTACTGTTCACCAAATCAATTAGTTTATCTATCGAAATCTCTTTTTATTCTTTAGAATCGTCAGATAAAAGGTTTTCTATATACTCCTTCTATTCTTCAAGCAAAATTTTAACAAAATTAGTTTAATTTTAGGTTTCATCTTCTATTGTTCCATATCTTCTACTTGATAATACTTCCATAACTTAATATGGCTCATTTTTCTAAAACCTGACCTACATAATGTGGAGTAGAAATCTAGAAATTTTAAGAGAGGTATAGAATGAATAATAATAATGATTATGCATCTTTTTCTCATTCTAAGTTTCATCTGTAAGTTTTATAATCTTTTTGATATTGCTTATAATTCCATTTAGAAATATAGTAAAAAAGTATTAAAATTCAAATCCTATTATTTCCTCAAATTTTTCTATTAATATAAATTCATCAATTTTCAATTTCTTGGTGTGAATCTGATCTTCGAATATCATTCTAAATTCTTTTACCCTTTCAAAAATATTTTCTGATTCTTTTCTAAATTAATCAAATATGTTAGGAATACACTGAAAAGGATTCTTAACATTATCTCTTTAGAAATTCTTTAGGGTGTCCTTCCAATCATATATAATTTTAAGAAAATTCATAAGATAGTTTGGGATTTTTTTAAGAGATTTTTCATATTCCTTTAAGTGTGTATCCTTAATACTTTAAACGATATTATTAAATTTAAATTTATCTTTCAATACAAGGGACTCTTTGATAAATCCTAAATAGTATATCGTCATTATAATATGGATATGGATTTCATTGATCATATAGATAGATTCAATTGTATTACTTTCTATTTTCTAGCTTTCATTTTCTAGTTCTTATTAATAATGTAAATTCGCTTCATCTATTTCATATGCAAGCGTATTAATTAGTTTATTGACTTTTTCAATTATAATTTGATTATTCTCAAGCAGACTTTTTAGATAATCAAGGGATTGTTAAAATATTGGAATAAAGTTGAACAAATTTTGAATTTATGAGTTTTATTTGTTTGTTTCATTATCTTTATCATTTTTCTGTTTATATAATGCATAGAACTGCCAAAATTATTGATCTGGTAATTTGTCTTGATTCATAAGTTATTGCTAAAATTCAGCAAGTTCATTTAAGCCGATTTTTGAAAATTCTTTTAGAAATTTCAATGTTTCTGAATTTGTTCTATTAGGGAAGCTTATACATTTCCCTTATACTTCTTCTTATTCGGATTTATATGGTAATTATTCAATACATTAATGTTTTATTAGATCTTTCCATTTATCCTTTCTCTTAGATTAATTTGCTATACTTGATAATAAAATATTCATATCTACAATTGGTCTGTATGTTAGTAACTCAGAGATCAATTTAATCCAGCAACAATGTAGCATCCAATCTTATGAATTTTTAATAAATTAAATGTACAAATCATTTAATTAACCTTTAATATTCTGTTGTTAATGTCTTTAAGTTATTTATGAAACAATATTCCATTTCAAACCTTCAAAAATATTATAGACTTCATAATTCTCAATTGGATTTTTTATTTTACCTACAAATTTTTGTAAAATTTCTTTGACATTATTAAAAATTTATTAAACAAGTTTATCACTTATTTCACATTTGGCAATTGATTAAAGAATACCCAAAGTAAAATTATTAGATTTCTCAGACTTTGTGGGTATGTGAGATAAAGCAGTCTTCATTATTGAAATCTCAAATTCTATACCAAATTCCCAACATTGTGTGACATTAGTATTAACAAGACTTTCGAACTCTTTTAAGTAATTTTCTAATTTTTCTTTGTAACTTGAATTAAGTTTTTCATCCTCATGCTTGCTGTAATAGCAAAATAATACTCTTACTAGCACATTACATTGTGATAAAACTTCTATACATATATATCCAGATATCGTTATATAATTTAAAATAGAATTTAACAATAGTTCTAAGGATGTTTTAATAGCTCTTATAAATTTAGTTGCTTATTACTAATCTAAACATAGTGTATTAAAGTGTTTTTGATTGTTAATAAACCATTAGATGGAGGAAATCACTCTTAGTTTGTCCTGCTTATTATACACTGAAAGTGCTTTTGAATCAAGAATTTTAGAATATTTCTCCATCAGTGGGCCAAAATGTGCAGGGATTGATTCAAGTACAACTATTTTATAAGAGTAGGTCCTTGAATTGTTTATGCAACAACCTCCTCCTCTTAAATTCTATTAATAGAATTAATTTGTTAAATTTTTTCCATTACGCATGGCCATATTATTTCTACCCAAAAATTAAGAATCCAAATTATCTAAATGAATACCTCCAAAAAGAATCGAAGATAGGTTTGATTTATCATAATTAGTTTCGCTGTTCATTTCTTCGATTGAATTGATTATTTGATTTATAAAAAATATAACAGAATCAATCGCAATACTAGATTCGTATTTATATAAATATTAATAGAAAATAAAATGGTTTTATATTACATTATTTTCTACATTGTGAGATGAAGGGTTAGCTAAGATACTTAAATTATTCTTACGGTTATAAATCTGAATATTTCGACATCAATTGATTCTATTATCAATTCATTTATTTATTTCAAATCTATCGCTTGATCCATATTGAGGAAAAGAATGCATTGAATTGCATAAGCATCAATCGCTAGAAAGTATGATAGTTGATTTTGATGAACAATTTTACACCCAAAGTGAAGCAGATTCTTATGTATTTTGATTTGGCTTTAATCATTTTTGCTTTTTCGGAGAATTTTATTAGGTACCCTCTGTTATGTATGTATTTCCTTGGTCATGTATTCCTTTTGATGATTTATTAATCAAGATGAAGTATGAATAAAAACAGCTGCATTTCGCTATTACACTATTCCTTTTGATTCTTATTTAATTTCTAAACTTAATACAAGCGATTATTAAAAAGATGCTTCATGAGAAGTATAATTCTTTTATTTGTGATTGTTCTTGTGCTTATGACAAATACTTAGTGCTCAAGCATTTTATCTTCAATTATATGAATAAAGAATGTAGATTGCAAAAAATTTCCTAACGGTAATAAAGAGATTTAAGTGACTATTGTAATATTAGACCAAAAATAATGGAAACTACAATGTTATTTATGTTATTTATACTTTATCCAAATGATAGGATTAGAATATTATTCTTAAAAAATATAGCCCATAATTACGAAGTAATTTTCCTTTTAAGATTTATTGTGAATACTTAGAAGGCCGAAATGATGGAAATTACTCATTCTTCGCATTAATCATTACTTACTATATTGGTAATCTTACTTTAGAGAATAAAAATTTATAAACAAAATTTTATTAAGAAATACTATTATCTAAATAAAAATGTTATGATAGAACTTAAAGATTGCACTACAAAATATAAACTGACAAGACCATATGAAGAATGTAATTAAGGTTTAAAATATATATATATAAATAATTCAGAATTCAAATCATAATATCACTTATAAGACTTCAAAGCAAATATCAAGAAGACGAAACTTAAATGAAAACTCGATATTGAATTAACTTTTATTATTTGCAATAGTAAGAATATTTTGAAAGGGAAATCTGCTCAAAAAAGTGAATCTATAAATCAATTTCAATTATAAATCAGTTGAAACTATATTTGAATTCCTTCTTACCTTATATTTCATATATTTTTAATTCTGATTAAAGACTTGAAATTTAATTTATTTATCATAGTAGATTTATCTATATTAATCCCGGTAATAAATTAATATATAAAACTATTGTATTATTTATAAAAGCAACAACTAAACAATGTATTTAAGAGATACACATTTTTTAATAATATTTAATAAATATTCTTTTTAAATACTAACATTTTCATAATTAAAGGGGATAAAATATTAACTTTATGAAGAAATAAAAAGTTATCATTCATTGTTGTTTTAAATTAATAATTCTTAAGGTTTTAAATGATATTGTGATTTGTTTAGAGAAGCGATATTTGATACTTTAAATTTTAACTCACAAGCTTGACATCAAAGTGATAATTTCAAAACAATAATTATTTTAGAAGAAATGAACAAGCCTTTAGAAGTTTGTTTGCATATATGTTTTAAAGTAAGAATAATTAAGTTTAAATTTCATTTATTATGACAGTCCAGACTAACAAAATAGTTTATAATGAATCCAATTCATTTACAAAAATTCAAGTAACATAAGTTTGGAATGAAATGATCACTTAAAATATCAAATATATGGTCATTTATGATAACAATTTAAGGGCCATTTCCAATCAATTTGAAGAAAAAATTAATAATAATCACAAAAAGTTCATGAAATTGCTTAGATAACAAAACCTAATATATATGACAACAATTTTATTTAAACTGTAAAAAAAAATTTGATATTTCATAATTTTAAACTATTTATTATTTTATTATTCTTACTTTGTCGTATAGAGGATAAAGAGTGGTTATTTTTAAAATCTTTACTGGTTGAGTTCAATTTACTGGAACAAAGAATTAACTTTGTTTCTTTCCTTAGAAATTACATTCCATCAAATGCTAATGAATAACTGAGAACTTGTATTTGTTAAATAAATGAAACATTTTACATAAATGTTAATTATTTCTAATATCTAAAATCAATTAAGTATATCATCAAATATGATTTGTGATTAATTTATATTGATTAGAATAAGAAACATATTTTACAATCAAAAGAGTTCATTTGATAATTTATAAAATGATCCTAAGCTCTGAGAATCAAATTGTATTTAAATAGTATTTATCACCTTTACATTTGTGATATTACTTCTCGGATCAGCGATTAATATTGAAATCTCTATAAATAGTAATTAATTTTCAAATTTATTTGTTAATTTTTTTAGGAAACACTTTTTTAATTAGAGAAGTATCATCATTAGTTATAATTAAAAAAAAATCTGACGAAATAATTTTTAATTTTTAGTTTATAAGATATAAATCATAAAACAAAATCTTTTTAAATTATAAAAAGAAAATAAAATTGGAGCTTGGAGATTGCTGACAATAATCTTAAAATATTTAAATGTTGATATCAGAAATTTATGATTTAATAATTGCTACCAAGAGATGATAAACAAAATTGCTGTTATAACTATACTTTGGTTAGCCAAGCAAATAAAAATTTTTATTTTTTCACCTCAATTTTCTTAAAATACAATCAAAAGTATTTAAACTATGCAATATAGCTTTTAACAAGAAGAACGTGATCTAATACATTAGTTTACCAATATCCTGTAAAAATATATAGCTTAATTAATTGGGAAAGCCTTTACATGAATTAACAAGAATATTATATTATTTAAGATGTCCATAAATTGTTTGTGTAACGCTAGAGCGATTCTTATTAAAGTAACCTAAATTAGCATCTGAAATGAAAATAATTGGTTTAGCTTTGGTAACATTTATACCTGTATTAATATATATATATTAATTAATTCAGAAAATCAGTTAAGATTATTAAAGAATTATGAGTAAGATTATTAATACTATTGAAAAAATTGATCTATTTAGTGTTCCTATTTGTCATTTATCTAATAACAATAACTAAAAGTACTAAAGTAAGCTTGAAGAAATAGTCACAATTGCTTTAAGTAGTTTAAGTTTAGCATATTTTTAGATATGATTCACCCATTATAAGTTCGAAGTAAAAAACAATAGGTTATGCTGAATTGAATTATAAGAATCTGTGATTGAATTAATCTTGGAAGATTTCATAGGAGATGTTGAAACATTTAGAAAAGAAAATAATATCATAACTCCAACCCTATAAAATTGAATTAAATAATGTTAATCTTGTTTTAAATACATTGGATTCTTCTGATGAAACATAAGAAAAACAAGTATAACATGCAATTGTACCTTCAAGTTGCTCTAATTTTTATAAATGGAGCAATTGCGCTGGCGAACTAATAATTGATTAATACTTTTCGAAATTTCATGACTGTTATTCATTAAAATACAATTAAGTTAATTAAATCTAGAAAAAAAATGATTTAGAACAATTTACAAAATTATATTTATACAAGTTTTGACTCTAAGAGCCCTTGTACTCTTAAATAATGTTGAAGCAACAACAATCAATAATAGTATTTTATTTAATTGTTATGTACATTTTAATTTCTTCAATAATTATGAGTTAATTACTAAAGAGACTGATAAACAATATCTAGCAAATGTAATAAATGCAACCTCAGATTACAAATATGAAATCGAGAGTAATGGTTGTTACCTAATTAGTATTGATAAAAATATCTACCTTTGAGGAAGGAACTTATCCAAAATTAGGGTTTATTTTAGGTACAATAGTCTAAAAAAAAGAATAAATTGAAATGCAAGTTTGTACTTCCTTTATTGGTATTATTTTAATACTAATACAATATTTGCAAATGCAAAGTAATTTAATTCACAAATAACTTCAAAAATGTTAAAAGGAAAGAAAAATGATTCATTATTAGGAAGGGGAGGTTTTTAAATTCTCTTACTCTTAATTACCTAGATAATTTTGTTGAACTTAAGATACATTTCTTGAAATTAAAAAATGGTTTATTCTAATTTCATCTTCATAAATAAAAACAACTATATCAGGATGATTTATGTTCTTAAATTCTTTACTAAGTTATTAAAATCGATATAAGGTTTGATAATATTGATGAAAGGATTACATTTGTTTATCACTCTCGAAATGAAAATTTAACTTTAAGTTAATAGGATTGGGATTATAATTTAGTTGAATTTAAAAATTTTATCTAATCATCATTAAATCTGAATGAAAATTCTAAGAATTTTCAAAAAAAAGAAATGATATTTTCTTTTAGAAAATGGACTTCTCTCATGTGAGCTAAAATTATCATTATATAAGTCTAGATCTATAAGAATTGATTGAGAGATCATCTTACGATCTTAACCTTATTAATCTATATATCAATTAATCTTCTTCATAACCCAGATTGCTTTAACAATTTCAACCTTTCTTATCGATGCCTCATGAATTATGATCACAAAAAATTAATAGCAACCTGTTTGCTAGTGGATCCAAACATTCTGCATCCCTATGTCGAAATGTAGTAATATAAGCACTTTTTGAACTTTTATTAGTACTATTGATTAATTTAGAAAAAATTACTTAACTTTAGATTTCGTTTTATATTTTAAGGTCTGATAATTAGAAAGATCCATTCAAAATTACCTTATACAATACTTCTTATAACTTCTGTTTTGTAGCCTGTAAGATTTGCAATGCAGTTACTTTTATAGAGATTTGAAGGAAATTATTTCAAAAAATTGCAGCATGGATGCAGCTTTTCTGTCAATTTGATATTATTAGCTGCTAGACATCATTCATTCTATTTGAAACAGTTATATCTGACATTTATAGAAAGAATTCATATTAACAATAATTCTAACCTCATAAAAAAAGTCTAAATTATTAAGTAATGGCAAATTATAAATTGCGACTTATAATTAAATTAATAATCTAAAAGTTGTTCAATTTAATAACAAAAAACTTTCTAGATACAGATTATGAATTAAACTTACGTTACCGTTATTTTTTTTTGAACATATTAATTTATATAAAATGATATCAATATTAAATGAAGGAGCAGTAACTTGCTTATCACCTTGATAAGATGAATAATTAATTACTCTCTTTTTTCTTATTATAGTACAAAGAAAATATTTATTTTCTAAGATAATGCTTCCGATACAGAAATTATCTTGGGGGACTTCTACTATGTTATCAATAATAGAATTAATTAAATCTTTGAGGGTGTAATTTGAATTTTTAACAATGCATTCTAGATACTAAATAGTTATTAGAATGAAGCGTTTAATACAGAATACCAAAATTCAATAAAATAATATATTTGATGCTAAAATGAAAAAACTCATTAAGATTTCAAAAAAATCATAACCTTAAGTATCAATTTCGATCCAAATTTAATTATAGTAAAAAAATTTTAAATATACTTTCTTTAATTCAAAATATCAGTTGTTGTGAATGGAATTGCAATTAATATATTAAATAGGAAATTGAAAATACTTAATTATCATAATTCACAACTAAGAAATCATTTTATCCGAAAAAAAACCTAATCTAATTTTAAATTAAATCATTTGTTTAAATCTTGAATCCTTCTCTATGCTAGTCTAATTTACAAGTACCAACTTATAATTCTATTTTAATTATTCGAGTTAAATTTGGAATAATCTTGGTCAATATGATTTAATATTCATAAAGCCTACTACTAATAAGATTCTAAATTGGGTACCTGAAATAAAATTGGTATTTTCTTGAAAGAGTTTATTTGGAATGTCAAAATTCTATTGAATACTCATAATAAAATAACTTCATTATATATAATTAATCAAATAGAAAAATAACTTTCTTTCAGCAGCTTTGTTGTTCATCTATATTGAATTAGTGATTAATTAAATTTTTAAAAGACAGATACAGCAATTAAATCAACCGTAAGAGGAAATTATTTAAATACGAATAGAGGAGTAGTAATCTACTCAAAAACATAAAATCATATTGAAGGAGGTAACAAAGGAAGCTGTTTATGTGATAATAATTACATAGTATAATATAGATTTGGACATACAATAAGCCTGATTGGAACTATAACAAACCTATTAATTAAATACTTTAAAAATTTGGTTTGGGGGATCTAAAAACAACTTTCTACTCAATATAGGCTTTATAATATTCAATAATATAGAAACAATAATTATGAAAGTAGTCTTGGACAATCAATAACTAGTATTAAATTTCCAGATTAGTAATTTAAAAACTCAAAATAAATTAGTTACATTAAATACCAAAAATAAAATCACTGATTAATTATATTAAATGTAAATGGCAATACTTAAGATATTGGACTCAACATCATCAAAGCAGAAGCTTAATTTAGGCTCTAAAAATACATGTGAAATAATTTATCATAATTTATTCAATTTATTTTTATCTAAATATCTTGCATTTAATGCAATCTAGCAATTATCATTCTTTCATTTGATATTTATTTCTAGGATTGTTTTAGAAGGATTGTTGTAAATATTCTTAATGTTAGATTTTGGATTATTATATAAATTCAATTCCTTTGTAAAAATTTTTGGATGAATTACATTTTTTTCAAGAAACCACGATAAAATTTAAATTTAATTGAACTAATAAATCTTGAAGCAAATTATTTTTCATTAGGTTTAGAATTATAGGAAAAAATTTCTCTTAATATAATTTTTTTTAACTTGAATTTTAGTGAGGTAATTTTCTTAAGATAAAATCATAAGAGAAGAAACATTAAAACAACTTATAAATATGTGAAAATTGGCTTTATTTATCAATCCAAATTAACATGATACTCTCATTTTTTAACCTAAAACTTAGATATTACCACTTCAATTAAAGAAGATAATCATTATATTTCAAATTATTCTTGAAATGTTTAAAAAAAAAAATTTTCAAAAGAATTAAGATCAAATATTACTATTGCTAAAATGCTAATACCCGGTTCCCAATCGTTAAAAATCATATATACATATTGTAATAAGAATTCTAGTTTCCATATATGTGAATCAATCTAATAGATGCAGGACCTAAACACTTGATACTGGGGANTACTCTTGTACACAATACATTTTCTTTTTTTAAAATTAATAATGAATTTCTATTACTATATTTTGAGTTTTATATTACAAACCAAAAGAATCTAACATTAAAATATTATGGAAGATAGATAAGCGATTTAGTATTGTAAATTGTACAAGGGAAACTCATTAACCTTGTGCATAGTTGATTTCTTAAAATATAGAATAAAATAAATGATCACCAGCTTCAAATAATCACCTAGATATGCATTTATGATTAAACATTCATATGTTCAATTTAGTACTTTCAAGCATTTAAATCTTTAGCATTGAATTACTGAACTCACAGAGGGTTAAGAATTATGTAAGTTTAAAGAGTGAAACATTTTCTAAATTAGATTTATTCAGGCTTGTGTTTAAAATTACTCTCGCTTTTAACTGATATTATTTCTATAAATATGTAAAGTTTTCTGAAAATAAGAGATCTCTTTCTCAGTTGAAGAATTTCGAAGCATTACAGATATTCTACTTACACAAATTAAAAAATTTTTAGAACCATTTTGTTGAGTAAACATTCACAATTAACAGTTGTTTAATGACTTTTAATTCTATTTTAGACCCTTCTCTAAAATTAAACTACCTTTAGATTTAAATAATGATCTTAAATAATATCCACTATAATCAAAAACTATCCTTTCAAGGCCAGAGCTCCTAAAGCTTCTAAATTAGGATTTTAGGAAATTTTTAGATTGGTAGAGCTACGAATAGTGAAAAGAAATATCACTTTCTGGAAGAACATTCTATTAACTAGTTGAAGGGTTATCTTTATAACGATTATTTGAAGATGATATTTCTACCCTGCCTAAACACAGGATTTTAAAATAATTCTCACCGAATGGATATAACGAAATTTATGTTAAAATAGAAAGATATCCTGTGTGTTATAATAAGCTGCTCTATCTCTCTTAGTGTTTGTGCCATAACATTAAAACGTTTAAAGTGAAAATAATACAATTATTTAAAAATTTAGTTAAAAATTTAATGTCTAATTGGGTTAAACTCAAAGAAATAGATTAGAACAGTTTTGTTATTTTCTAACATTATCTTCAGTAATTTCTTAATTTCATAATGATTTAAAAAATTGAACTAGTTGACTAATATTATCGTTGTGTAGATATTAATTAATTTGTAAAAAAAAAATCAGTTTGAGGTAAGATTACATAGTTCTTATCTGAGCGATTAATGGCTGTTACAAAATTATTATTGAAAGTATCCTTTGGATGTAATTCATATAGAACTTAATTAAGATTATTGTTAGGGATGGATATAATTATGATCTCTAAATATTAGGGGTTAGAATACTTAATGATGATTAATATATCTTTTCAGTCTTTATTAATCTCTAATACTTTTAATATCAATTGAAAATAATAAATAGCTGTTGTTAAATATTACCAAGATTAGAGTAGAGTAATTGTAAAAATCATTCAATCCCAATGTTTTAACTATGTTATCATTTAAGATTATTAGTAAGTTTAATTTTATTTTTTAAATTATTTAAATGTATCTTTCTTCTTACCTTTGTTATTAATTGTATCATTACCTTTTTCTAAACTAAAGATCTTTCTAAACTATTAGTAATCTTTATTACTTTATAAATATTTTTAAATTAAGCTTACTGTACTGTTTAGATTATAAATTTTATGTAGTACCAGTTGTTTATGACATCTCAAGAAATACTATATCTTTTCATATTTGTAAATTAAAATGGTGTAATCACTTGCTTGAAAACATGTAATTATCTATCTTAAGAAATGAAGATCAAAAAGTTGAAAACAAATTTTATTAAATTGTAATTGTAATATTTGTAATGAATAATCAAATTCACTTTTGCTTTAAGTCTTCTAAAAAGCAACTTCCTTTGGATTTAAACAATGGTTTTAAATCTATCCCTTAATAATTCATGAATTGTCCTTATAGGATGAGTGTTCCTGATGCTTGGAACAAAGGATTCTAGCATATTCTAAGTATTGTACAAAAAGGATTAACTAAATAATAATTAACAATAAATACCATTTGGCAATAAGGAGCAATTCTGAAGTGGTGATTGAAGTATTTCCTTTTAAGTTTTTACAAGTTTAGGAACACTTGAATATTTAGTGGCGTGGATTCTGGTAAGAAA